GTTAAGAAATACCCAAGAAACTCACGTGAAACTGCGAAAAATTCTTTTACTGAAAATGATACTTGTTCAACTAACAACATGCGTGGAATTGTACATTATCATATCAATTGACCAAGTTCCCGAGTGGCAGAAACACTGGATATCCCGAGAATTATCCTTCATTATCAATCGCTTTGGAATCTTATACTTTATCTCCTTCATCGATTGGATCAATTACCATTTGATATTTCTCTGCCAAGAGATGAGATTCTTCGTGCAAAATACCAATGTTAAGCACACAGGAATTAATAAAGAACATCTCTCAATTGTCAACTTGAAAATATTAAAGAACATTCACAATTTACTTCGAAATTCGTCAAATTACCTCAACAAGAGATTCGCGATTTTTCTCCTCTTCGTCATCACCAGCATCATTATTTGCCTGATTTGTGATCTTTATTGGATATTTGCCTATCATCATTACGCCAACAATTCATACGCTATTCGTAAGTTCTATTATTTTAAAATATTGACCAACTAATTCCTAATTAACCAATGGTTACTGTGGTTATTTTCCCTATAAAAGCACTTCTCTTTCTCTAATTTCAGAATCGCATTTATGCATAATTCCGCCACTCATCACGATTTTTGCTCTGTTCCATTCGTGCCAGCAATGCATACAAAATTCACAAGTTCTCGGAAATACTCTCCATGCATTCAGTTTAAGCTTTCCATCGCGAAATACCCATTCATATAGAGTGGTGAGTGTAAAATTAACACTATTAGAGTTAAGGATTTTCCACAAAAACCACCAACAATAACAAATCCTTTGTTCTTTCATTACATTCAGGTGAAACAATTCTCCCTTCAACTCCTTCATGGGTGTTTTACATGGTCTGGCATGGGATTTTTCCTTTTCTCCAACAAATTTCTACTATCTGTCATTCACTCCATTGTCAATTACATGGTAATTGTTGTTCTCTGGATGCCTGACATGAATATAATACAGAATATAACATCGACAAATTAATTATATGAAAATTATGATGGGAATTAATTGCATTACCATCGCCGCCAAGACAGTCTACAGCAGTTTGCTTATAAGTTGACAAAGTTTTTCGTCTGGCACAATATAATAATAATAATGTGCAAAAAGTTAATTTTTCACACTGTAACATCACCCAATATTGCCATTTTAACAAGAGCCTTCCAATGGTCTGGCTTTTATACGATTTCCACCACATTCAGCTGGCAAAATTGTGCGTGGATTGCAGTAAATTGTACCCTTTTGGCCGCAACATCAATCTACGTGGCATTTAATGCAGCATTTATCTTCAATTTATCATCCCAATTCCGTACATTTCTCGATATATTACAAGTGTACTATCCCATTGGGATGTATTTCATTGCAATTTGCGAATCCATTCGCAAGCGTGACCGCATCTTCAAGATTTGGACACTCTTCACCCACATCAATGCTCAGCTAAAGTCTATCGGAGTGACAGGATATCTCGTGGTGCTGGAGGGAAAAATGAAAAAATATCTCATACAGGGGACAATCATCAATATCATGGCATTATTCATTGAACTAAAGATTATTTGCGGTCTCGACACATCAACTGGATGGTTTCAGCACAGACTCGCCGTCGTTTTGCCCTTCAACGGCAACCGAATGGCAATCTTCCATTTTCTACTGTACATCCACATCACTCTAGGATATTTGCAAATTCTTGTTACACAGCTACAAAGGATCCACCACAGAATTGAATTTTTCCCCCAAACAACCGCCACAGCAGCGCAGCATTTGCTGGCAGAGATCAAAGTTCTAAAGGTTATTCATAGAAATTTATGGGAAATATGCTACAACATCAATAAATCATTCACATGGACACTTTTGTGCATCACCACCATGTACTTTCTCATCCTCATTGTCGATCTCTACTGGTGTTTCCTCAAAATCCTCGTTGGATCATCATTTCGTGTCACAGGTACATTGCCCTCACGTATATAAAATATGTAATTCAATATTGTCAATTCTCCCATAATGCAATTTCACCCATACAAATTACATTATTATATTTATTCTTCCCGTCTTTGCCACCGTCCTCCAAAAGAATCCTTCCTCTGTCCAATTCCTGTCATCCTCTCATTCGTGCCACTTGTTTGCACAGCTGATTCCCTCCTCACAACACTAAGAATCATCCTCAGGAATCTCCATCAGATCCAGGCGGAGGCTCAACATAACATTCTCCATCAATTTGCTGTGCAAATTCACCTCTTGCAAGTCGAATTTTCTCCCAAGGGGATTTTTCTTCTTGATTTTAAACTCTTTACCGCGGTAAGTGGCATTTTATACTTTTTTCCCTCATCCACACATTTTTCTCAGAGCCATAAATCCTTCTCACGTGTCAGTCCGTCTCACTTTTTTCCTGCCCTCCCTTTTGCAAATAAGCTCTCTCTCTATGCATGTTTGTAACTTATATAGGACATTTGATGTGTTCAAGAGCACGGAAAAGGCACAAATTCCACCCATATATTTTCACGAATTTTGCGTGATAAATATCCCAGAAGCTGTGTGTAAAAGTGCATTCTAAAATAGCTACATATACGAGAACAATGTCTAGTATAAAATATCACAGTATTACTTTAAAGCGCCTCTCAAGAATGCAAAAACAATGTGTTGAAAAGGGATAAAGTTCTAAAGCCACGTCCCATCAAATACTTCGCTCAATTCAAAGTAAGTTTTATAAGAATCTTCACTAGATGAACTTGAGATGAAAATACAAATTTGAATATCAACATTGTTCAAAAGTATTACACAAACCATTCATCTTATATACATATTTCCTGGGATCAATAACCATAGAATTAAATATACATTTTAAAATTGACTAACAGAACTCCGTGATCCCATTTGTAATGATCACACAATCATCAATCTTCATTTAGTCCAATTAAATTTCACAATGCAAGTCCGGCAGAATTTACAGCCATTTTATAAAAATTTTCATTATATGAAGCACACAATATTTCACTCTGCTTTTTGGGACAATAAAGTACTGAAGAGGGAATTCATTTTAAAAATTCACGCGTTCTGAGGAATTTTTTTCCGGCGACTAACAAACTTCACTTTCGTTGGCGCGAGAAGAAGAAAAAAAAATTCACTTTCTGCTAAAAAAAGTCTCTTTCTTCACACGCATGAAACAATGAGGGGGAAAATTGCATAAAATATTTATGAAATTTATATTTATTCAATGAAGTTTGTTTATATACGTGATGCTAATCTCTCACTCTTGGCCTTCTCTGTCTGTCTTGCAGTTCGCCACTTCAATGGGGATGTACTTAATTATACTGATTCAATTTGAATTTGGTAGATCACAGATTGGACTCGTGTTCAAGTAGCGATAATGCCATCGCTTGAGTAAACAACACTGTCTCTGATGTTCAATTGAGTTGAGATTTTATTGTCACGAGACATCGTATAAAAGGTGTTTTCTTTGTCAGCAATTTCCTGCACTTGCAAATAAATCGTGAGACAAAAATGTCAGCAAAATCGTGTTCAATTCTGATCTTCTTCCAAATTCTCGCCTTGTTCCTCATCACTGTGAATAGGAAGAGGTCAGAGGAGAAATTTCTCATCTCGCTGACAATCTTTTACGTTGTCGTTGGAATTCTCATCCTCATCATCGCTCTGATGTACAAGGAAATGATCTTCGACGTGCGAACAACTTTAGGAGGAATTATGGACATTGCACAACTGGTCTTTGCCGTGGCTACGCAAATTCTTGCGATTGTGGAAAGCTTCCGAAAAAGAGAAATCCTGAGGAAGATTTGGGAGAAATTCACCAACATATCACTGCTTCTGACTGAGATTGCGAATAATCGAGTGGATATCTTTGGCAGGATTTACACCAAGTTCCTGTGGAAGTTCTGCTTGTTCAACGGCGGAGCGACATTCATTGAGATATTCATTCTGATTCGACTCCGGGAAGATTATCCGTGGCTCAGACATCGCGGCGCAGCGTTTCTGCCTTCGCTGATCAGCAGATCTCTCGTCTTTCTCTACATCCTCCATGTGGACATTCTGAAGGAAATCATACAAGAAATCGAAGAGATTCTAGCCAGAATCTCAGCGAAAGGCAAGATTTGTCCCTCTGATCGACGAACAGTGAAGATTTGCTGGAGAATAGCGAATGAATTGTGGCTTTCTGAATCCTTCCTGATGACGATCTTCGGCTTGTCAATTCTCGGGATCATCACGAGCTACTGCGTTCTGCTCACAGTGGATTTTTACTGGAATTTCAAGGCATTCTTCAGATCGTCCACAACCAATGTTCTCGGTGAGTTAAGCTTCCTTTCTCTCTCGAAAATTCAACTTCACTCCAAACTTTTCCAGAATCCTCTCTGTGTTCCACCCCATTCATTCTCACCCTCCTTCCGCTTGCCATCAGCGGGGAGGCGTGCAAGAGGCGACGGCGGAGAATCTTCGTGGAAATCCTCGCAATTCAGCCAAAGTGCGCCTCCATGGCGACCTTTGGGCTCATCCTGAGAAACTTCATCCTCAGCGGTCTGCACAACTCTCCCGGCCTCAGAGCCTGGCAGTTTGTGAGTGTGGACATGAGTCTGCTCAGCGAAATGGCTCAAACAATTGCAATCTACCTCACAATATTCATCCAATTCGAGATAACATACTACGGGAAGTACAACAGCCGCTATGTTTATGTTCCGGAGTAGCATCGATTTGGGGGCGGAAGATTTAACACAGAGTGCGAAAACTCACCCAATTTACCAGGCTCGTCCACCTCAGGCGGCGACAGACACCTGGCCAGCCGTTTGTTTGCACACTCTTGTCTCTGCTTGGGCACTTTCAGCACGGATAAGGTGTCTTTTTCCAGGAGAAAAATCACAAAGCCGCCGCACATGCACAAGAAAACACTTGCAAAATTTCCCCCACCTTGCCGCTTCACAGTTGGCCCGCTGGCGCTGGTGAGCAGCACACAGCGAAAATTCATCGATTCTTCGCTGTCAGCTGACAGTGAATATCGCTGTGACGTTTATATAAGCAGAAAAAATTAGGAGGAAAAACACAAAATCACTATCTTCTCTCTGAGACTGTTTTTTGTGGAATGTCTAGCAGTAATTAACAATGGAGGAGATCCTGAATGAGATTGTGCCCCCAGCGGAGTTGGAGGTGAGTCTTAAACGTCTCTCGTTTCCGCTGTTCTGCAATCACAGTGAAAGTGTTGTGAAATGCTGGGCTTCCGGAAGGTCGATACGCAATTGCAGTGACTCATTTGCATTCTCTTCCTGGACAGAAATTCGAGAAGAAGTACCATCAGGAATTGGAGCAGCAGAATGTCACCCACAAGACACAGTTCGAGTACGCGTGGTGTTTGGTGAGGAGCAACTATGCGGCGGATATCAAGAAGGGAATTGTCCTGCTGGAGGATTTGGCCACGAGGCATGCGGAGGGGAAGCGCGATTACATCTACTACCTGGCCATCGGACACACGCGCATCAAGGAGTACACGGTGGCTCTCAAGTACGTGCGCAGCTTCCTGCAGATTGAGCCCAACAACCAGCAAGTGATCAACCTGGAGCAGATCATCAAGAAGAAGATGGAGCGCGATGGTCTGATTGGCGTGGCAGTAGCGGGCGGAGCTGCTCTGGTGGTTGGTGGGCTTCTGGGCCTAGGATTCGCCCTAGCCAAGAAATGACACACAGCGAATATTCCAAAGAAGTGATCACATTGTGAGATTGTGGATGTTTTTTGTCGAGAAGTCTGCGAGTAAATTGGGAAGAATATGTGAATATTTATCTGTCTCTTTATTGGCAAACTTAAAACTTATCGTCTTATTGTATTTATTTACATAATTCATTTCCTATTCTCTCGTTATTTAAATTATAATATCCTATGCAACATGCACACATTCCTCAGCATGGTTCAATTTATGTTCCATCCTCTTTTTCTCCCCTTTGGAAATCATTCACACTTCATTCATTAATCCTAACTCTTGTTCTAAACATTTCTCCCCTTTAAATAATTCCACCTGATTTTCTTTTTTTTTTATCTTTTTCTTCCTATATATTCACAAAAACGCCTAATATTACAAATAATACACATTTTTGCAATTCTCTTTGTTCTCGTGATTTTTTATTTTTCTTCCGTCCCCGCAAAAGTCCACTGCGTTCGTAGAAAAAGAAAATGCACTATAATTGTCAACTCAAATTCCTCTCCCAGAGAAACACATTCTTTGCATTCACAATTCTTCCTCCAACACTTTTTTCCTCTTCTAACTCTCATTCTGCATTCCCTTCGTCTTAATGATAAAACCTAGTTCAGCTACTCTCTTTCTTAAATGTCTGTCCGCCGCTCTACTGCGAGTTCGCCGGCGGCTGTCGGCGATCATATTCACGACGGTAGTCAACATACTCTCGATCTCTGTTCCAGTCAATCGAACTACCGCCCGGCAAGGCGTAGCGATCCCGATAGCCAGAAGGCATGTCGCCCGGAGACTGGTAGTAAGATCCCGGCGGCAGGTAGAGTCCGCTCCCGTAATTCCCATGGCCAGATGGATATCTGCAAGTGAGAGAAAGAAGCGAGAGAGAGAAAAGATCAGTGCGCAAGCAAACAAACGACCTTTGCTGTGTGTTTAAAAATAGATGTTTTCACTCTTTAAATTTCAACAAAGAATTGCACAAAAAAGCCCCAAAATGATGTTGAAATAAATACAAGCTTCTGAAATGCATTCTGTGTGATTCAGCCAAACAAGAACTTTGACCCCTTATCTTTAGACAATGAAGTCAATATTTACACAGAGACGCGCTCTCTGTCTCGAGTAACACGCGTCTTATCATACCTTCTCTTATCTATTCTACGATCCCTGTCACGATGATCTCGCTCCCTGTGATATCCTCCTCCGCCAGACGGTCTTCCGTACTCGTATCTCTTGTGATCATTGAACCTATTGATGGGACAGAAGAAATGTATTCACAAACCTCAGAGATCACAGAATATCTCTCTCACCTGTCCCTGACATTCCAGCGCGGATCCAGCGAGGGGTCGGAATAAGGCAATCGCCCATCTCGCAGATCACCTTGATACATAGGAACTCTCTGATTGACAGATGATATCGGAGCTGATCGTGGCAAAGACATCAGTGGCGACAATTGACATCCAGAATTTCGTCTATTCCTTATGCGATCACTCCCAGAATTGTAGTCATCCCACTTTCTATCCTTCCTCTCATCCTTATCGCGGATCCTAGTGAAGAACACCACATTTCAAATATTTGTTTAAATACTCCCTAAGCAATACAAAACCCACTAACCTTGAATCCGAATTCAGTCTTTTATTGTAGTTGATCGAATCCTTTCCATCCGGCTCACATTCACCCTCCTCCAGGCGTCGCTTTCCACTATCAATTTCAACATTGTTGCCCTCCATCTTCTGGTCACTCCTGCCGCCATCCTTCGTCCTACTCACGCCCGCGCCCGACGACGATCCGCCCTGCTGTTGCGCCTGATGTCGCCTCTTGCCATCCTTCCTCTCGCGCCGCCTCTCCGAATTCTCCGCATCATTGCTGTTCGTCGACGCCTCGCTCTTCATCACCTTCACAGGTGAAGACTTGACGCCCATCTCCAGATTCTCCGCAGTCTTATCTTTATCATCATTCTTCTTGAGAGCATGTTTGTACAATTTAAACAACTTCTTCGCATCAAATTCCGTGAATTTCGACACAAAGTACCACAAATTGCTTCGCCATTCCTTCACTTTGTCCGGATCGCGATACTGTGACAGACACTCATCAATTTGCTTTCCTATGCTCAACAGACAAGCCCTCGTGTGATTCACTTGCTCCTGCGTACTCAAGCTCTGGTCAGGATTGTCCAGAGCCTTGAGAGCCTTCTTCACCGGTCGCATCTTCTCCTTGCACTCATTGAACACCGACGGATCGAGATCACCGAGAACCACCAATGCTCGGGGTTCATTGTTGGCCGTAAAGTGCATTGGCCCATCGGAGTTCCTCTTCTTCGCCTTCTTTGACTCCTTGGGATGCTTCATTCTTGTCTTCTTCTCAATCGGCGCCTTCACACCATTCGACGAATTCTCCTCAACATTGTTGACACTCGTAGAGTCCGCCTCGGAGATTCGCTTCTCCTTCTTCGTCATGTGCTTCTTCTCTTCTCCCGACGAGGCATCCTCATGCTCAACAATCTCCTTGGACACCACCTTGGCCGCCTCCTTGGCCTTCCGCGGCCTCTTCTGCTTCATAATCCCCTTCTTCAACTCCACATTCTTCCTGATGATCTTCAGCAGATACTCTGCCCGAGATTGCAAATGCTTCGCCTGCGGCTTCTTGTTGTCATTTGAGAGAATCTTCTCCGACAATCCCAATGACGGATCCATCTTCATCGCCTCCCATGAACCAATGCCGTATTGATATATGCCACATAAGAGCTTCGAGTCCTCCTCCACCAGCCATTCCACATCAAAGTTCGCCGGACGGGTCTTAATCTCCAGCACCCACTTCAATCTCTCCTCCGCCGAGCCCGGAATCACTTCATCCAGCGGCTGAAGTTCCTCTTCGCACGCCATCAGAGTGCGAGCATTGAATGATACACCGCCAAATTTCACCGAGAATCCCGCTCTTGCTCCTCGCTTCTTCACCCCATTTGCATCATTGTCATTCTCCTTGGAATGTTCATCAAGAAATGTGACACATCTCTTTCGCAGCATCTCGCCTATCTTCTTCAACTCAGCCAGAGGTTTCTCCTGCAAATACACCACAATATCACATTACACACACTCAATTGTGAATGTCTCTAAGAAACCATAAAAACATACCTGCAACTCCGCATCACATGCAATAGCTTCCAGTCTCTTAAGTGGCACCGGGAACTTCTTGTAGCTCCGGATGAATCGCCTCAACTCCTGATCCGTAAAATTGAGAATCTTCTCCTTTATCGGCGGCCTTCCTCTCTTCTTCGGTCGATCCTCAGCACTCACTTCACTGCCATCATCTGAATCATCTGTCTGACGCTTTCGCTTCTTCTTCCCACCAAATGACGCGCCACCAGAATCATTCGCCTGATTGATCTGATGGAGAGTCTTTCGCCTGGGCGGCAAGTACAAATCCTCCATTTCTTTGTTCTTCTCCTGCTCCTCAACAGCCTTCCGGAAGTCTTCGGGTATTATATCATCCCAATCCTTCGTATCGCCATCATGCTGATCATCAGCATTCGAATCCATCGGACTCTGTTGCTTGTCCTCCTCAAATGCCGCAAAACTGGCCACCTTGAAGGCACTCAGTAGCTCATCACCCGCCATCGTTGGTCCCTCATCACGCGTCTCCGCCCGCCTCAGGATCTCATCAATGTCACACACGAGATCATCATCATTCTCCTGTTCATCCTTGAACAACTCCTCAGCGCCAAACTTGAGAATGGCCGACAAGTCCTCCTTGTTGAATGGCGTGGTATTACTGTTGCTCGCCTTATCCAGCACAGTTCTGCCCGTTGTATCCATTCGCTGTATCACCAGATGATCCAGAACCATCTTCTGTTTCGCCCGCTCAACAATCTCCTCCTCCACACTTCGCGCCGTGACCAATCGATAGATATTCACCTGATTCTTCTGGCCAATGCGATGAGCTCTTGCTTGTGCTTGCAAGTCATTCTGTGGATTCCAGTCCGAATCGAAAATTATCACTGTGTCCGCCGTGGCGAGATTTATGCCCAAACCACCGGCACGAGTGGACAGGAGAAATGCAAAATCCGGCGAACCTTCAGCATTGAAGTGATCCAACGCCTGCTTCCTCAATTCACCTTTGATACTTCCGTCCAATCGCTGAAAGGGAAAGTGCCTCTTCTGCAGATACTCTGCCAGAATGTCTAGCATTCGCACCATTTGTGAAAATATCAACACACGATGGCCCGTCTCCTTCAGGCGACACAGCAACTTATCCAACAACACCAATTTCCCTGATCCGCGCAGCAGTTGCTGCGCCGCATCCTCTTGCGTCATCTGCGCCTCATACTCAAGTGGCCGAATCAGAACAGCATGATTGCAGCACTTCTTCAGTTCGATAACAATATTGAGAAATGTCGACATCGATCCCTTCACACCCTTCCTTAGTGCATTGAAGTTCTTCGTGAGGATCCACTTGTAGTATTGCTTCTGAATTGATGTCATCTCCACCCTCAAGATCTGCTCCACCTTCGCCGGCAGACTCTTCTCCACATCCTTCTTCACACGCCTGAGAATGTATGGCTCCAATTGACTGTGCAGCATTGTATATCCCTTATCTGCCGCATGGCCGTGCTCTCGCTCAAATTGTTCCCACGTCTCAAACTTCGATGGCATAATGAAGTGCAGAAGTGCCCACAATTCCTTCAGAGAGTTCTGCAGCGGTGTGCCTGTGATGAGGAGTCTGTGATTCGTGTCAAAATCCTTCAGCGCCTTGTACAACAAGGAGTCATCATTCTTAAGTCGATGTGCTTCATCCACCAGCAGTGCTGCCCAACTCAAACACCCCAGGAACATCTTGTCCTTCAGCAAAATCTCATAAGTCGTGAGAATGGCATTGAATTTTAGTCTCTTGGACGATGCAAATGACCACTCGTACTGGCGAATGATCTCACGCGACTGCACATCACCCAAATAGGTGACAATGTTCATCTCCGGTGCCCACAGAGTGAATTCCCGCTGCCACGCGGTCATTGTACTGAGTGGCACGACACAGAGGAACGGACCGTGGAGGGATTGCACCTTGAACAGGTAAAATAAGAAGCAAATGGTCTGAATTGTCTTTCCCAATCCCATTTCATCGGCCAGAATCACCGAATTCTCCTTGCACCACGACAATATCAGCCAATTGAGACCATCCATTTGATAGTCACGCAAGATGAGATCAGTGCCACCGAGAAAGTCTGGCTGTGTCTTCAAATGGTGAAACTTTGGCCGATACTTCAGTGCCTTGCAATGCCTCGATGGGGTCTTCTTCGATGCCTCCCGATCGTTGAACTCATTAATCTTCTGTGGCCACTTTCGGCTGACTAGGCTCGCATCTTCCCACGTTGCCTCAGAGTACGGCAATGATTCCCATTTGCAATAGTAATCAATGCCACCGTCACTCCGCACCGTCTGCGCAATTATCCTATCCACATAGTTGTAGCTCTTCAGCAACTCCTGCTGCAACTCCATCTGACACTCAAAGTAGTCAATGTCCTCCGGACCAGCATTCCGTCGCCACATCTCAATATCCGTCTCGCGCTTGATGTAATTCTCCAGCTTCTTCAGCCCCTTCACCTTCTGCTCCCTCAGCGAATCCTGACTCTCCCATGTGTTGTGAATGTGCGACCATCCCTTCCACTTGATGAGAAACTGCTCCTCCGTCTCATCATCGCCCACCTCATTGGGATCCACGCCGGCCTCCTCTATCGCATACACCGTCGTCTGGTTCCCCGTCACGCCCTTCTTCCCCTCCCGCCGCCCAATGATCCTCTCGATCGTCTCCGACTTGTTCGCCTCCGCGTCCGCCGGCGGTGACTCCACATAGTCCACGTCAATCAAGTCCTCTGAGCCAGTCTTCTCATCGTCACTCGCCTCCTTGTAACTCACGGTCGTCGTGGCGGCGCGCCGCGAACCACCGCGCTTCTTATCATCCTCACTGTCGCTGTACGCGTCCGAGGAGTAGTTATTCCTCACCCTCTTCTTCACCGGGCGCTTCTTTGAGGTCACCGCAGAGCGTCGATACGACGCTGAATCCTCCTCACTCTCACTCACGCTGTCCGACGTGCCCGAGTGCCACCGATTGCTGTTCATGAAACACAATCAAATCAAACAATCAAGTTCAGATTGCCACTTGCAATCTCAGCAAGAAAACCAAGTGATAAACTTTTGAATTTCACCCAAAGGAAGTGAACAAAGGTTCATTTTAAACAGAAATTAAATTTCAAGTTATATAAAATTACACAGTGGTCAAGTTAATTTTTAAAATTTACACATATGTCACGAGAAGAGTGTAAAAACATTGGCAATTTTTTAACATATTGTTATTTTATCCCAATTCTCAGTAAAATTTTCAAAACTGAATCTTAATTTTCGATATTTTTTGTTGCTGTAGCTTCTTCATCAATTACATATTTATAGGCTAAAGCTAATCATGGACATAAGTGAAGACAATTTCATAGTTGTGCACGCTTTTGATCAGGCATACATGCAATATAAAAAATTAAAATTGCAAAAATTCTATTTTCAGATATTTATTAAAGATATTTTATTATTGTGTTGCTTAGAAACTCTTGTTCTAGACTCACTTTTTAAGTTATGCAGTCTTAAATAACATTTCATTTCTTTAAATTCAGTTTCATTCAATAGTTCTTTAAAAAAATTAGACAAAAATTGAAAAAAATATCAGAAAACAAATTAAACACATTAAATATTCAGAAAATAAATCAAAATATTCACTTCACTTTGTAATTTCTCTTGAAAGATACAATTTCTTTCGAAAAATCATCACCAAAAACACAGGGTCCCAAGAAAATCACTGGAAATTAGCTTCAAAATCACTTACTTTTTCTTTTTCGGACGACTCTGGGTTCTGGTGGGCGGGGCTTTCTTCTTTGGGGGTGGTTTTCGTCGGTATTTGTAATCCTCATCGTCCTTCATTAGCATTGGAATGGATTTCAAAAATAGGGTCCGAAGAAAAACCACATAAAAATTACGATAAATCGCTCGAAAATCAGGAAAACAATAAGAAATCACTCACATCGGGACTACTTTTCTCCGAATTCTGATAATCCCCACGATTTCCTGTGCGGGTATTTGTGTAAATATCATCATCACTCGAATCCTCCTCATCTTCTTCGCTGTTCTTCCCGATGTTGTCGTCCTCTGAGGTGTTGTGGCTCTTGTTGTCCTTCGACTGATCGAGTGGAGACTTCACGGGACTCTCGCTCTGCGATCCCTCCGATTTCTGGCTAGATCCCGAACTCGATGTACCCGAATCCGATTCACTGTCGAGAACATAGGACTTCCGGTCAAAATCAGGGCTCTGGAAAGCCAAACCTGGAAACTATCTTACACACCTTTCGGATTCCGAACTCGATTCACTTTTGCTATTATCACTGCTGGACTCATTATCGGAATCACTTTTGTCCGCTTTCGCCTGGATTGAAAAGGGATAAATGGAGAGTGAGACTTCCTTCACAATTCCCACGGAAAATTCAGGTGAAATTCAACGATCTTTAAGACTTTTCTCCAACTCTTGGGGATATTGAGCACACCAGGAGTGTTTAGGGAATGTCTGGATGCCTTTCCCGGTGGGATTGTAGAAGAAATTGGCGGGAAAATCCAAACATAACCTAATAAGGGACCCATTTCTTGTGTTTTCTGCCCAAAAATACCCTTTAAAACACAAACTTTTCATCAAAAACTTCAAGAAAAATACACTTGGGTGTAAATTAATACATAGTCGACACAAAATTAGTGAAAAATCTAGCAAAACTAGATGAAATGATGGCAAATAGATGGTTTGTTGTGGTGGAAAGGCACAATTTTGGGTGCAGTGTTGAATAAAAGTGAAAATTGCGAAAAAGGGTCCCCTTTCAATTTTCACGAAATGCACCTTGTTGGAAAGCTGAAAAACTGGAGAATCGTTAGAGACGAACAGATAGGTGGAACAATTAAGGATTAATTACATTTTTAGGCATTTTTATCCTGGTAAACAATGACTTTGTAGACTCTGGAGAAGTGTCTTTTTTCCCGTGACTCCTCAATGGCAGCCACACCCTTTTTCACAAAAAAGCAACCAGGGAGGACCCTAGAAGCGAAATAGTGTTTTTCTCAGCAATAATATATTATTTAAACAGGATTTTATGATATTTTTACCTGATTCATTTTATTGATTACGTAAAAAAATACGAATATCTCTTGTGTCCGATGATTTTAACACCAAAATTCTTATCTGTATCACATAGAAACACTTTAAATGGTTTTGGCATTATTAGTATTCGCACACGTGATGGTAATTTTCACAAGATTTTCTCTACTTTGGGGGCGAGAAAAATATCTCTAATTTTCAGTCGCCATCTTATTTCTCGGAGCACTCAAAGGCGACAAATGTGTACGGCGGAGGTTGTGCGAAAAAGTCGCGATACACCCAATTTTGGACACATTCAACTGCATCCAATTGATCCATGCGTTCTTGGGCACAAATTGAGTATGTTTTCCACAACAAAGCGGGCTTTTTTTCACCTGTTTGAACCACAAGAATGTTTTGCACGAAATCCTCGAAAACTTTGCCAAAGATGCTGATGCTTCCGCCGAATTCCCGCAAGAGGTCGCATCGGTCGGCGATCGATTAATTTTCGCCGCGTGAACGTCATCGTTTTGCTTTCGATGAGTTTTCAAAACACACAATAAAGTGGAAGCGGCGAAGATGTTTGCCCAGTTTTCTGGAGAAGAATGGTCTTAAATAGATCAACTATGTGAATTTTTAGAATATAATGTGAGAATTAAAATGAAATTGATGTAATTTATGATGAAAATGCCGTCCAACAGTGCACAGTGGATACATTTTCTGGAAATATCTGTTTACGAAGCCCAACAGTGACTCAATCTGCAGCAGAATTTGTCCGCGGACAATCCGATTTTGCCGCACGAGAGAGAAAATACCAAATAACGTTATTAAACATTTTATATTTCATTTCATGCTTTCATATATAATGTGGCCAAGTTATCATAATGCTTGAAACCTGTCGAACCCAAAATATATCAGATTTTTCCCAACACACAATATCTTTGCCTTATCGAGAAATGAAGTATTAACGAAATTAGGCTATCAATTATTTTTTTTACTTCAGCATAGATATAATCTTCCATTAATTTTCCAGTGAAAGAACATAATCTTTCGCGGTCTATAATATCAGTTACTACAAGGGATACATGACGAACACTCTACAATAGTAATTTTTCTTTCTTGTGGTAAATAAAAACACGAATTTTATTTTTGCTACTTTGCTCCGCATAATTGATAACCTAATAACTGTAATTCCTAATATAATTTATCACAAAAATTTCATCTCTTTCGCTTATTATTGAAATCATCTATTTATGCATGTATATTTACTATTTATTGTGAACTTAGTACCTAGAAAATTCGGAAAATACATTTATTTTGGTTCATTCAGGTGTATTTTTCTCATTTATCGCACTTGATGACTCTTTCAATCTCAAATGTATTGATTTTATTGGCCTTCCCTCGCGCTCATCAAATTCACTCACATGCACACAATTTGTATCGACATTCAAAGATTTTTTTTAAACACTTAAATTCTTCTCAAATGATCATTTTTGCAAAATATTCCGAACCCATTTTTTATCGGTGTTTGTCTTTTGCTCCGAAATTATTTCATAAATCATACGTTTTGACAGTTTTTTTTTATATAATTTCTTAAATTGACTTAACATGATTTTTTCGCAAGAAATGTTTTGCGAAAATGAACTGACACTTTTCTCAGTTGGTCTTTGAGGCCAAATTTTAGTCCAAATCTTAGGAAATGACGATGACAACGTATGTCCAATAGAATTTAACTCTCCAAATTAGATCAAAACTGCTTTAGGGTATTTTTTCAGTGGTTGAATCTTCCATTTTCGCAAAACATTGCAGATGACGCTGTATTTGCAATGATTTTCCATCGATTTTTTTTCTTGGGAGAAATTCTATTTCTCTCTCATTTAACTCGACTGTGAATTCTTGATGGACTGAAATACTCTTGAATAATGAATTTTACAATTATTCTTTTTTAATTCAATACCTAAGATCCATTCATCAAAATAATGTATTGCTTGGCAATATGAATTTATATAAAAAATATTTTTAATGTATTTAATTTTGTGTTTTTTAAACCCTTTTTTAATAACTTCATTTTTAGTATTCATCATTTACTTGCTCTCAATTTACGTTTTCACTAAATTATTTTCATATCTTTTATACTTCTTCAATCTCTTTTTTTTTAAATTCATTATAAATAAAATATAAAAATTTCGCATTTAAAGTCTTTACTTTATGTGTATTACCATTTAATTCATTCTTTTCTTCTAATGGTGTATACAGTTTCATTTTATAAATATTCAGTTTTCTCATCTTTTTTTTAATGATTTGTCACTTTACAGTTGCTATTATTCATTAAATAGAGCATTTCATCGAGATTTTAATTCGCATCATTCGCTTAATTCTTTTTAGTCTACGATTTTTCTTCTGTCTCATTGTAAATTTACATTTCTTTTTTTATTCTTTTTCTTTATTTTAAAGTTTAATTAGTTTTAAGAATAATATTTTCTTTTAAATACAACAGTTTTCAATATGAAACAAATAAATAAAGAGGGAATAGTCTCAAAGACATCACCTAATAAATTTTATTTATCCCATTTTTCACATTTTTTTAAAATAATTTCACTCTATTTGTATCATAACGACAATATTTCGGTGGCAAATTTTTTATATTTGAATATTTCACTATTTCTCTTTTCACAATTTTTATCTACTTACAATAATATGGACACATTTTTGAGACGCTCTTCTTTATTTTACTTAATACATTTATCTTCCTCGTGGTTTTTCCTGTAACGTTTATTATTGTGACTGGACATGTGAACTGAAAAGGTTCGCTTCTTTCTTTTTTTTTTTACAAAATATAAAGAGTATTTCTTTCTTAACATTCCTCCAACATAATCGATAGTGGCAATGTTTTCTCTGAATTTGTAGCTTCAATTTTGATCTGGTCCCGTGCATATTGACTCTGGGAATAATTACATGCTTTGCTCTTGTGTGTGTGAGTGAGTATTTATGAAAAATATTATCATTATCTATCCCTTTTGCATTTCTTATTCATTAAATCTCGTCAAAAAGTCATCTCAGCACATTGTACCGATGGTAGATGAGAAAAATTCTCATTATATTTATTTTTAAAATAATCTCATTCATTTAAAGTTACACTTTCCATTGGAAAAGATCCACTCCACCTCAAATATTTTGAAGTTGTGAAATTAGAAAATTAAAAATATACAATGTACGTATTCTATTTATCATGGCCTCATCAAAAATGCTCGCACTCTGCAACCTTGTCCGTCCTTTTAAAAATACCCTTTAAGTTCGATTACATTTTATATCAAATCCTTATTCAAAGCTACATTTCTTTGGCGCAAATTTTGGATAGTGAAGAGTGTGTGAAGAAGTATTTCATATTTTCTCGCGTGGAATAGATAAATATTTGTATGTATATTATGTATTTTCTACTACCTTTTCTTCTCCAAGTTTAAAAAATAGAGAGTGCAAAGAGATTCCCTCACTGATTCCTTTTTGTCTGGAAAAAGGAATTTCTCATTCATCTGAAAAATGTGTCCATAAATTATGTGTAAAAATTTAAATATAGCATGTCAACATGACATAAAGTTGTAAAGTATATATTTTTCATTTATCATTCTCCTTTTTATAAAAAATTTCAATACATTATTTGAATGAAATACGAGATAAGTTGTCTATTCGATGGAGATAATCATTTCTTTTGCTTTCCTCCACAGATATATTGAAAGTTGACCATGAGAGCATTAAGTGGAAACTAAAATGGACTTTTTACTTTACTAAGTCACTTAATTGCAAATGAAAGGTAGTCGGAGAGCGGTGAAATAAGAAAATCATAAGATTCAAAACTGTTTTTTAGTTGAGTAATGTTTCGTAGCAGATTAACAAAATTTGCTCTCATGAACAATATTCTTTTATCTGATATTTTCTTGTAGTTTAAGTGTCTCGTCGGATACTTTTTCTCATTTGCAACATATAAAATTATAACAGAAAAATTTCTTTGCGTCTTTTTCTGTTTGATACAATCGTGAAAATTGCATTTCAATTTTTCTTCCTTTTGACTTTACACAGATTTGAACGATACATTCTTTTTTGGGTTTTTCATCTTCATTTAACTGTATAATTGTTTAATAAATACATCAGGCAAGATGTATTTAATTAATAACTCTCCCTTCTTATTAAATTTAATTCTTACTTATTGATAAAACATTCAATATATAATTAATTTTTCATCTTTCTCACCTATTTTGTGTAATTATTCAATAAATCTTATAGCATTTTCGTCAATAATCAATTCATTTTTTCTCCTTCTTCTCCCATGAAATATGCGTAATTATGTATACCCAATAATATTTTATCATCTTTTTTATTTCATCTTTAATTAATCGTCAATGTGACGAAACATTGTCTGTTTATATCGCGTAATTCGACCACAGACGTTATTAAAACCATTTCCATTTAAGATTTCTTTCTCACACTCTCAATTTAATATGTGTTTTTTTTTATTGAAATATGAATTATTTTTTTATGATCTTTTATAAATACATATCTTTTATACATTTCTTTTAACTATTTATATATACTCCATTTCATTTTTTTTAAATATAGGTCTTAATAATTCTCATCTTTTAAAATTTGATTACCCTTTCTAAACATATCTCATTATTATATAGCTTATTCCTATGACTTAGAGTGAAATGTGATTAAAATAAATTGACTTAATGATAGAAGAAAAATGTTTGTGAACAAATGATAAAATTGCAATTTTACCACCTAATTTTTATTTCCCCAACGTTACTGGAAGAATGTGGATTGAGTATTTAATTGTATATGAAAAGACAAATAAGTGAAGCTGCAAAGAAAACTCACGATTGAACTCACATTACACACTTTCGATTTTTTAGTAGTCGATACCCCGTTGCGGGTGATATTTTAACGTTAAAATCTCTAGTCGTGACAAGAAGAAATAAAGTCCCTTTTTTAGTTCTCGCTAACACAAAGAAATATTCAAAAGTAGTATTCTACGGCTTATTTTTTGATTTTTGCATTATCCGCTACGGTTGCATTGTCACTTCCACATAAGTGAAAACCAAAGGTAATAAAATTAGATGGGATATTTGAAAGTAGAATGTGTTAAGCAAGGTGTTGAGTGATACTGTAGGAATCAAATTTTTTTTTTAGAATATTTGACTTTATAACTTTTACGCTAAGTCACTTACATATATTATGTGTTTTTGCGTGTTTTTTTCAACGAATGTCTGCATTTTATGTCTATTTTATGATAATGCCATAACAATTATAGTATTATTTGAATTCTTTTGGGTTCACAACTTGTATCATTAGTTAAAAAAAATTTGTATTTGGTAATAAAATAAGAAACCAAAATTGGTCAATCTTGTCATATTCTCAATTTAATAGACAAAAATATACGCATATTATATTGCCATCGTAACTTTGAAAGTAAAGTCAATCAAATCGGAATCATATCGGTTCTCATTATTTTATGTAGTGTGCGTTCCATATAAAAAATTTTACGTATATTTTAAACATATACGCCACATTTTACTTATTTGTATAGAAATATGCATTTTTTCAACTTCCCATCTACATATAGATGATTTCCAGATGTAAGATCAATTGAAATTTGAAGAAATTATGTATGTATAAAATCCCTATAACCATTATGCTCTAATCCTTTGTCTCTTTATGCTGATACTTATTATTATCTATTATATCCAATGATAAATTACTTATTTTCTCATTTTCCTCTTTTCTCTTCTCTTCAATAACATAGTGATTGATGTAGTTGTTTTCAGCAAGAACCCGTCCGTGTTTTACAGTAGGTATTATACGTGATTTGCATTTTCGAAATTCTTGTGTTTTTTTTTAGCAAACATACAAATGAATTTAACTCTTTCACGCCCGAACCTGAACGACAGCGTTTTTCGCGAGATTATTAAGTACAGTTGGCAATGGTAGGAACAGTCACAGTATTGTGAAAGGAAAGCTATAACTTATCTCGGCATTTTGGTATTTTCGTTCACGCATTTTTTGTTTAAAGAAAATAAGATCATTTTATTCGTCAATGTGCAAATGAACCAATATTTTTTTTTGTACCATTTCAACATGCAACTCATCACATCTCTCTATAATTCCATATTTTTTCTACATTACGGCAGTTTCGTTTCGGAAAATAGTTCTTAAATAATTCCTCCGCCTACAATTGGTTTTCCTTCACGAATACTGGGTGATTCTACTGCACGATAATATGCGGAGCAGAAAGTAAAACAGTAACTGTCGCAACTATAGTGAATAGTGTGAAAACAATGAGGCAAAACCTGCAAACAGAAAATATATTTTGTAATGAGAGCTTTGTAGAGCATTGTGCATTAATTGACGCTATAGATATTTTAATACCTATCGACAACCATGGCGGCGAATTTCCAATCACTAATGAGTTCAGCCTCCTCGTCTGCCTTTTTCATTCTTGCCGTAATAAATTGCAATTCCTTTAGTATTAAGTGCAAGTCTTTATGTGTGCATCCACCCATCGAGTGATGCTCCTCCACAGTATTTGGTCTACTGAAACTAAAAGGTCACATAAAATTTGCAATATGGGTTGAAAATTGAGACACAAACAGCATAAATTAATAGAATTATAGTAAGAGGTAATCCACTGCATCAATATACTTGCATTCTTGCTCACATTTTGGTTGAAACTACCTGAGATAGTTGCTGTATTTCAGAGCATAATTGTCTTTGTGACAAGCATCCGAATTATATTATACCTTAAGAGCAGTGTCTTCGTTCATCAGTAAGACAATTTCTCTACACGATTACAATATATATTAATTTTCGATAAGTTTGCGCAAAGTTAGCTTAGAGTTTATACATTAATTATGGAAATCTTGTCTGTGCTAGTTACGCGAGATACTTGAAAAGAATTGAGTTTTGCCACGTCTGTGGCTAGAATAACATTAAAATTCATAACAATATATTGCTTGGCTCACTCCTAGATAAATATAAGTTGAAGTTTTATAGTGTTTAGTCATTTATCTCGTACGAAATTGATGCAGAGGATTTTTTCTGTGTCAAAATGTCAAGAGAAATTCAACGAGAGCTCTCTTTTCAGGAACACACAACACACAAGTTTTACTTATTATAAATTGTAGTTGCTGCATTGTGATATGAAGTTTGTGGAAATTAATCAGGAAGTTGAGTTGTCTGCTTAAGGTTTGATGCATCAGTGACTCCTTAATTTTAGATAGGAAACTTTCCTGGAAAGCTATGACGCTAGAGGTCAAGAGAAAAGAAATTAGGTTGTGTGTGTACAGAATTGGTGATGGTAGAGCTATTAAAGTCAAAACTACCAAAGGGAGTATGACTTAATTGAAGATAAGCATTTGCGCTATGTGTGTGTGGGATTTTGCGATAAAATCTTGTAGTGCTCATCAAGTATTGAAATGCGAACACATTTCACTGTGATCTATCAACTTTGGCATCTGCTAGAAAATTCCCAGCCCCCATTTTCACGTTATTTAGTCATTTCCTTTTACCTCTCTGACACTGCACATGGCGGAGTGTGTGCCAATTTCACGTGAGAGCTCTCGTATGACATAACATATAATCATGCATAAGTCACAGATTAGATATTTAATTAAAATACTCGTACGCTGATTGGCCGATTGCGGTTTGTGAGCCAGATATTCCTACATGTCGAAAATCATCATCAATATCTAGTACATTAGCTAATAGTGATTTTGAAGAGCGCTCTTTGAGTTCCAATTCCTTCATGCGATTGCTCAGAAGAATTGTCTTTCTGGTAATCTTTTTACCAGGCCTTCCCATGCGCAGGATCCACGGAAGCCACTGCAGGAAGACGGATTTGATCTGAAAGCAGTGTGATATTTAATTCCGATAGCCATAGCTGCGCGATAGTGAGGGATTTCAATTACCCATGGTGGCATTTCGTGAATATCCGCTGTTCTATGATGATAATTGAGGACTACCACAGTTAATACAACGGAAGATGCTACCATGAACATGATGCAATTGAAATATGTGCCTATAAGAATGAAGGAACTTATGAAGTATCACACGATGGTCGCACAGAAATGTTGTTAAGAATTCTTTTTGCTAATTATCAGGTAAAACAAGGATGGTAAAAGTCTATGGAAATAATTGTTGAAAACAAATCTTTAATAATAAATGAAAAGACCAAGAATTCTAATACACACACGCACACACAGGTTTTTGGCATTCTTTTAATTACAATCATGCTCTTATATACTCACGTACATTTCTTTTATAATTTTTGGTTATATATATTTTTTCAAATAAATTGTACCAAGTGTGTGAAAAAGGCCATCATTCTTTACATAAATCCAGTGTTCTTTATCCATTTAAATTGGACTAAATTATAACTTTACTAAAAATAAATATGCTTTCGTACCATTTATTGATCGTACCGAGTAATATTTGTATCTTTCTTTAACACAAAGCATTTAACATGCACTTTCAATAATATTAATAATATACCATTTATCACCAATAATTCTTCGTCTTTAATCTGAATTTAGTTCGAACTTGGTAAGAGTTAGAAAGGTTTGAATTTAGATTCAATTTATCTAAAGTCCTAATGATATGAAGAGATAGAAGGCAAACATACAGCTAGAGAGGCAAAGAGTGAAATAAATTACTTTAGTAACTTTTATAATTCCATTTTATCTTAACTATTACCCTTTTTAATTTATTCTCTTTCTTTGGATTTACATTTCTCAATTAAATCAGAGATTGGAAAAATAATAGATCACAGAGTGAAAGTGAAGAAAATATAGAGCGAAATTCAGGTGTATCATATTCTTTTTTCTTTAGCTTGTCTATTTTTTTTGTTGAAATTAGATCATACTTTAAGTTTGTATATTAATGGAAATATATGTATATTAACTAGCTACAGTTTAAATTTATCGCCATCTTTCAAAATGTGTTTTATTGCATAACATGTCTAATGTAGTAACTTTATTTAATTAACTATTTTTGATTTGGCATCCTTTGATACTTGGAGAGTTTGAGGAGAGTAAAGTAAATGACTTAGTCAATGAATGATCTTATTTTTAGATAATGTTTGTTTAATTACATCTTACTTTAGTGGTTGAACATAAAGGATAGTTGAATGTAGAAAAGAAGAATAAAATACTCGAGAGAGTTCTATTTTATCCAAAATCTTCATGAATTAGTGCTCTGAAAAAGGATTTATATTTTTATTACAATCATTAATCAGAGGAAGGTGGAATTAAATCTTTAATGCACAATATAAAATGCTTCAATCGTAAAATTTCATACTGAAATGCCACATCGCATCTAGACGAAATATTATTTATTTTACGATTTAAGCACATAGTGCAATATGAAATGTTAGGCTAATAACTCAAAAGATTTCAAATGAAAAGCGAAATAGTGAGAAACCAACATTTTTGGGGCAAAATAAATTATCAGCAAAATGCACTTTATGAGTAAAATGCAGCTTTGCTCATCAAACAGTGCATTTTGTCAATGAAACCGAAATATAATTGAGGAATGAGGGATCAAAATAAAATTTAGGGTGTCTTTAGTGATTTTTTCTCCTTCTATTATCTCGAAAAATCAATAATTCTATCAAATTACAGGAATCAATTGAGTATGTGCACTTAAGTTGCAAAAAAATCCCTGAAAAAATCCGTGCTCACTTGCAGTTTAATGAATTGTATTCAGACTTTCTAGACTATGCAGTGAATAGATATATTTCAGGGGTATTAAAACGAGGAGAGGCTGCGAAAACAGCCGCGGATGAGTTTAAATTGGATTTTTTCCATAGAAAAATAAATGAATATTGCACTTTGAGCGTTTTTTGCCACTTCTGCACACATATTCGATTTATTGAGAAAAAGGGGGAAGAGTGTCTATTTAGCCAATGGATTTCCACTACCATATGAGAATCTATTAAAGTTTCTGTTTGCTATGAAAATACAGGGAGAATAGTACCTACTCATGCTTCGAGTGACCAATAAAAATGCCTATATAAGGAAAGCTATATCCTCTGTAAAGTATACTTTGACACTGTAAAAGAAATCATGCTACAATTTTGATTGCATTTTCCCAAAGGGGAAACATGTGTGTGGACTCATAGTTGAATGTTGTTGAAGAAATAATTACTTATCCAAAACGCTTGTTCTAACACTAAAGTGAGAAAGCATAAAAAGCGCAGATTCATACAACGGAATTAAAACAATATAATACTTTTTCCATTAAAATGCTTGTTTTCTCTTTTTGACAGCACTTCATTTAATTGGTGTTTATTGTGATTGTTTCACATATGTAAATGAAAGAATTGACGTGTTAACATTGATTTATTATTATTTAATATGAGATATGAAGAAATACGGGGATATTTTTTTTTGATAGTGAAATTAGCTTTTACCTTAGTGAATAAATTTTATTTGTTCATATTTATTTAAGGTATAAAACATTCTCTTTTTCACGGGTTTATAATTTGATCTTCTACAAAATAGTGACAAAAAAATGATTAAGTGAAGAGAGTTAAGATTTTTGTACGAATATTCCAGGGAGATTTTTTTGCAATAATAATTTAATGATAAAAAGAAATAAAATATTATTCAGTTTTTATATTTGTAGGTGTGCAAATTTGGTCTACCTAGAAGTGGAACGGCTTCACTTGTCTTTGTAATAATGTGGGCCACCAAGAGCGAGAAAACAACTTGAGACAGCAGAATCGTTACACCTGGAACAAGAAAACCTTGGAGGTTTTAATGTTCTACCTTTTTTTCTGGATGATGTCAAAGTGAGAGACAGAGAAAGAGTTATAGACTTATGACTACAGCCGTCCAGATGTTCCTCAATGTAAGTTAAAATTATATTTTTGGTCTTTAAGCGGCTATGGTGAGATTTTGTAACATTGATAACTGTTACCATTTCCTAGTGGATATTTCTTAAAAATTTGCAACAAAAATCATGATTTTCCACTAAAACACATTTTCCTTCTAACGTGTATTTTCTTTCAACATTCAATCGATATAGCAAAATACAATTTTTTTGCAATATTTCCTTTAATACATATAATAATAATTTTTGTGCCAAGTATCAAAATTTGCCTTCAACACTCTTAGAACTGTCTTACAACTGAATTTTTGTTCTTTTCTATGTGTGTCTCTGACATTTATGAAAGAAATAAGATAATATTGATGGGAAAATGATTTTTTGGCTATTTGTATTTGTTTTAATTAAACATTTTCATTTATTATTGGGTATTTTATTTTTAAAAAATCTTTTATTTACATACGTCGTTTATCTTTTAAATTTGTTTTTCATGAAAAATCTTGCGAGTATTATAATGTCTTAATATTTTTTTTCTTAGTAAATAATAACGAACAGAAGTTGTTGACAAGAACAAATGAAAAATATTTTACACCCTACTAAATAGAGCTACAATGCAAATCTAATGGAAGAATTTAAGTTACAGTAATTTGTATGATGGAGGTAAATGTTATAGTAAAAATATTGGTATAAACATTTTATTTTTAGTAAAAATATTCAGGTATTATTTTATTTGCCGTTTTATTTGTTGGACTTTTTAATAAACATGTTCTACGTTTTCCCCAAAAATGAAATGAATATCAAGAAATGAAAATAGTCAATTCTATCTTTGCCCATTTGAAACACCATAATTTTTGCATTGGAACTCTAATATATAATTTGACTACCGTAAAAAATGTTTTGAAATTGTGTGTACCAAAGCGAAAGGATCTGTTTTTCATTTAAGGTTAAATCAAACATCTCGCGAGCAATATTTCTAGCTCTTCGTTTGTCTTGGGATTTTTTAAAATCATGTTGTAATAGAAGAAACATTATTCTGTTATTGCACGCGAGATGTCATGAACCAATTCAAATTTCACATACAATATTCAGTGAGGTGGCAGAAGAGAAAAAAGAATGTTATGCACATGAGAGAAAAAACAACATTCATTTGGCAAAATAATTGACTGTTGCAGACATGAAATGAATTTTATGCAATTTTTCGGTGATTCTACTGGAAAAAGATTGGAAATGTGTAGACAGATAGAGAGAGATAGAGTGAAAACACATCGGCGTTGTGGTATAAAAAAAATGTACACTTAAAATGAGCAAAGTGATTTTTGATTTACTTAAACCATGCTTGCAGGTTATTGTACAAAATTTGCAAGATGATATTAAATTTGCTAAATACAGTGTTGCACCAGTCAGTAAAAGAGAGAAATGAAAAGGAAAAATTGTGAAATTCTCAAGAGAACCTTTATAGAATGAACTGAGTTATAAAATACTTTACAAAAGACTCAACATAATACACAAGAATTGGCGTGAGTATGTGAATTTAGAGATTGAAAACAATTAAACTCGACAAAGTTATTATTTGTTAAAAATTCTTCTCAGTAACAATGAAAACATAAATGATCAGAAAAATCGTTCAATTGTCTGGTTAATATATAAAAAGATATCACATGAATAGCAGATAACATGATTTTATATCGCAAATTTTTAATAAAATAAAAAGTATATTTATATACATGTATACGGACGTAATTGTTTAAAGTATAAATTCATTGCTTTTTTATCGTAATGTCAAACCAAAAAATATATATGATTCACATAGTTATTATGTGCGAACTACCTAACAAAGGAATGGCATCAGATACTTGAGGCAAAGTCTCTGCCACTAGGTTGAGAAAAACCGTGAGGGAAAGAAGAATTGTCACTCCTGTAAAATTGCAAATCTTTCTTAAAAAATTTTCGTTACAGACAAAAAGCATAATTTTCATGGCTATATTTTTAAATATTCTCAATATTTGAATTAGTATAATGTGATTATGAGCTCCAAACACCTGAAAAATTTAATTTTTTGCATTGCGGTGAACTCTTCGCAGCAACACGTTTCAGCTGTAAGAGAAATGGTGCCATATGTGGAGAATTTTCCATGATATTTTCCTCACTTACCCACCAAGTATCAGTTGTATTTTCTTCTAAAAAATCTTTCAATATAGACTGACATTCACACTTTCATTAACTTGACTGCCTTTTATAGTGTTCTCTCTATTCTTATTTTTTCAAGGTACAACTGCCTATTCAGTTAACACCAAGTTGTGCATAAAAAGTTGGTAGTTATTAAGAGAGTTTCTTTCTATGTTGGTTGTGTAGTGAACACTTTGCATCCTAATCATACCCTTTTGACTCTAACTTATTCTAATTACTTTTCGTTGTTTTTCTTTTTTTACTCTCTTATATCGCGAAAAAGTATAGTTTTCTCCCTACCTACCAATCGCCTCATTTGTACGTGGTTTTGTCTTAGAAAAAAAAATCTATTTGCTAGAATTCATGCCATATTTACAAAATTTAGATACACCGCATTTTCACTCGTTGGTTTGTGTATATTTCAACATGACAAACACTTCAGAACAAGTGAAAATACTTTGTTTGAACGTAAAAGACACATTGTAAAAAAAATATCCTAATTAATGACAAGACAATGGGTAGAAATAATTTAGGAAAAACTTCAATAAATAAGCTTCACTGCATCGTGAAATCTTACTTATTGCATCTAACATTTATAAACATAAATGCAATGCGTATTCTTTAAATCAAATTTGAGTACTAAAGTGAATTCGTCGATCCGTAAAATTAAACTGTAATATCACAGACAAGTGGCGTCACTCTTCACAGTTTGGTCATGACTTTGATTTGCATATTCAACAGATTTCCATTGTCTCGACACATTGTTGACCAAAGAAAAGTGAAAAGAAAATATTGTATCCAAAGAAAACACATTTTGTATAATTTGTAGAAAACTTTTCTCATTATAGTTTATAAACTTATGTTTCAGCATGAAAAAAGTTCTATACACAGAAATAGAGACATGACAGAAAAAAAACCAAATGACGAGTATAACTTAAGCACTCGTGGCCTTCACTCTTTTTGGTCAATATTCTTTTTTTCCATAACATAATAATAAGAGAACTAAGAAGAACACAAAAAATCGAAGTAATGCACCTAACGAATATGGTTAAAAAATATTTATACACAGACTTTGCGTATACAACAGCATCTAAGAACTATTTGGAAAATCCCTCGTCATCACACACTTTTTTGTTACACAACTTTTTATGTACCTATCAGTGGAACAGCGTCTGATGTTGTTGGCATTGATTCGGCAACAAGATTCAAAAATACGGTTAAAGATAGAAGAATTGTTACCCCTGAAAATTGCAAATTGTTTTAAAATCGATATGCCAACCTATTTGTACATTTGGTTCTAAGAAGGTCTTTTTGTTCAGTTCTCTGGGGATTAGCTTTTTGTGAAAATTTCCCACTTGTTTTGCTATTATCAATACATAAATCATGTCATAAGGAGTATATAAATGGTTTATGAGTACTTCATTTTGATCTTTTTTTTTAGCTATAATAATGTCCTGCAAGTAATTATGTAACATGGATTGTAATATGGAAAAGAGAGTAACAATGTCAACATACACTCCACATAGTAAGAAAGTATGCTAAGAAATTACCTAGTGTCAATTTTTCTCCTGAATCCGGCGGTAATGTAAATCCTAATAGAGCCATTGATGAAATCAAAACACACGGAACAATTAAATTAAAAAAGTAATATAATGTCCTTCGACGAATTTGTATTGTAAATGTAATGTCGACGTAAGGCTCCGGACAACACGCATAATTTATGGTATTCTTCTTCCCGGGCATTCCTGTCGAGAGAGAGACAAAAAGAGTTGTGTGAGAAATTTCTCGTTTGCATGAAGTTTTTCTACACAGATATTTTGAGCGCCATCTTCAAATGTTAAGACATCGATTGGTATTGATATTGTATCAGCGACTTACCGAGGAGGTACCACTCCCCGTTTGTGATAAAATCTGATAGATCACCACCATCCTCTGAATTAAGCACCAAATCCAACTGTGAATGATTTATTTAGGAGACAGTATTAAAGAGAAGCCATCATGATAAGAACACCACACTTAGAGATTAACACAGCATTCACCAGAAAAAGGGGTGATTTCATCTCAAAATCAATGCACTTTCCTTTCCTTTTGTGTATCGTTGAGAGATAAAAAGTATGAAGCATCTTCTCAACTCAGTCACGTTTTGTGAAGTAACACCAGAGATTTCGTAAAATACAGAATGTAATGTAACTTTAGCAACTATATACTAATTTAATGAGAAAAAGCCGCCACTCTGAATGTGGTCAATGAATCATAGTCCTAATATAGTATATACATACATGTACACACACACACGATGTAGATACATATGTAATGTAGGCAAAATGTACCATTTATTCTTTAAAAGACCACTATAACTCGATTTTTGCGAAGCGTACATTGGAAGTTATGTGGTGCTTCTCGTTAGTTTCATTGCTAAAACTGAATTATGTGGTTCTTTTAGAGAGAATGAGTGATACGTAATATTGAGTGTTTCATTACCTATGTGAGAACCTTCTGGCTGGTAATATATTGTCTTGTATGCTGTCAACAATAGGGGCTGCACATTTCAATAACGAACATTGTACTCAGGATAATTGTGTCTACATATCGTGAGCATGAGCAATGAGCAACCCCTTCAGTATATCTAAAACAAATCACCTCAAATACGGATGCAATTTACAAAACAAAACACACACATAATGATTTGAATATAGGAATATAGTCTAAAGAACAAATGATAACAATAATTATCTCGATTTTAGGAGATTTGCAGAGAGAGTTAAAGAACTTAAACAATATAACATTTCAATCAACAACGAAAGTAATTCCGACTTATATATCATGTTAAGTCCATCCGAATGCCAATATATAATGTACTATATATAATTTTGAAATATGCTTTTCGAGATAAGAGTCTTCATCGAGCACCATGTGGTTGAATGCGCTTCATGCAAAATAGGTCCAATGCGCGCCCAAGTGCTGCTCTCACATGGTTCCTAGATGCTCTTCACCACTAATTCTCCAAATTGGGATGTTAATATCTTTTTTCTTTAATTCTTGCACTGATATAAATCACGATGTGCTGTAATGTGTGTGTGTCCAGGCAGTGAACACAAAACCCAGAGTCAATTGTGTAAATTGTTATCGATTGATTGGATTGAATTGGAATTGCTCCAATCTTGATGGGAAGTAGTACAATTGTTGGTGATTTATATGCGTTTTGCCATTTTTCACATGTTGTACCATTTTTGGCCTTGTCTTACCAGTGATTTAAGGATGCATATACTTAGTGGTTTGGTCTTTGCACTCAAAAACAAGGTAAAAAAGAGGAAGAAATTATATTGACATTTAAGCCAGGAGCAACTTTACTGTCTACATAAATGTAGCTGTATAACTAAACAAAGAAGAAATGAACATCTATTACGCTTAGTTAGCACAAGGATAGCGGGATGTTGTATGGCTGAAACACTGACCAAGTGGGATGTGTGGTTGACGTATTTTAAGGAGGCACATTGTACTAAAACAACATCACTATATTTAGTCATTTTGGATGATAATATTACTCTGAGGATGTCGATGATGGGGTGCTTTCTGGGACTCCCAACACAAATAACTCAATATAGACAGAATGCCCTCGCAATGAATGTTATGATATTCTAAGTCTAAATGATGATTAGCTCACTATGAAGGGATATGGTATATGCATATCTACATTTGAAGCAGTCTAATATGTATAAGAAATGCTTTAGTCAGCGAAGATGTGAAAAAATATCACCTCATTTGTCTGAATTGGTATTTCATACTCAATTTCTTTTTTGTCTCTCAACAGTATTGCGCATTATTTCGGAAGGAAAGTTACAGCAATAGGTATAATAATCCTCTAAGGTATTAAATTCAACTAAGAAGCTATGAAGCCTAGTTGATGTTCACAAAATGTATTGAAAATTGGCAAAGGATTGCTGTCACATTGTACAAGAGCCACTATACCTGATTTCCGTCATATGTCCAACTACCGAATTTCATATCACAATGTTGATCATCAAATGGGAACCACGTGATGTCTATCTTGCATGTGCTCTTGAAGATGCCAGGGGGCACGTACAGACAACTGCCGTTATGTTTGACCACAATATTTGTGTGGTACGTGCCATCGAATCCCTCATCCGCACTACATAAATAATTGCATGAATATCATCTATTCTTCAAAACTACGCCACATAAAAGATTTTTTTGCTTCTGCGATGTATCGTTTTCCAATTTACAAACATCATATTGCATGTATTTACAAGAAAATTTTGACAATGTCTTGTTTCACGCGTGAAGCACAAAGTACATATATCTTATGTATATGTTTTTTTTGCGACAAAGTTAAGAGTTTATGTGTTGTGTTAGTTATTTAGGACGACATTACTTTTTTTATTTAAAAATCTCAAACAAAGGAAAGAGAACTCAAAACTCGTTTAAAAAAGTAAAATCTTAAAATTCAACTTGATTATCAGAAATCTTTGTTAAGTTCAGTGTCTGATCACAGAATCTAAATTGATTTTAATTACTCGTTGCAATGAAGGAAAGCATTCGTTTTGGAAAATTCTTGAAATGTCCTTATAATCTCCGGCTACAAAGAGACTTGAATGTTAGAAATATGCGGAGCATTTATTCGTACCTTAAATGCTCTGGCAAAGAATTTAAATTGCTCCGCTAAACTTTAACTGTTTGTGATTTGTGTCTTGCCTGTAGTTTTGAACTATCGACGTTGTATTTTTTTTCTTTGTGTATCTGCTGATAGAATTGTGTAAAAAGTTTTCACGAGTTTCATACTCATGAGCAAATGTGAAGCATTTCAATGGTCTTTGATATGAGAAAACTTATTAAAAGTTTCAACAATTCTCATTGTTGGAAATATTTGATTGCCATCAAGTGATTTGCTTCCATTTTGAATGCACATATTTGAAAATCTAGCAAATATGGCAGAATAATTGGGTTGTTCCTGAAATTTAGTCACGACCTGTATGTCCTATATTTGATATCATAAACCAAAGTGCAATTTTCTGTAGCTTCCGTGCTCGATTTTTATTATTTTATGGGGAAATTTGATTCTCAAGAACACGGTCGTTCGTAAAAGAGGAGAATTTTTGAAAACATAGAGAAACTTTCCTATGTTTGGCTTTCAGTCTCTGGCACAGAGATTTTTATTGGGAAAAGTCATGACAAGATTAATAGGTAGGATGTAAGTGAATGTAGAGAAAAACTGGAAAAACTTGACGAAATATTGCCCTGCAAAGAAGGCATATAAAATGCATGGAGAATTCTGGTGAAAGAAGAAAGAATGGAAATTGGGACATTCTTCGCCATAACTTGGAAAACTGTGGAAAGTCTCTTCTTTTTGGAATTTATATGTAATGTGAGTTTGGCAGAAAGAAGTGATGGTTATATTGAAAGAAAGTTTGAGTGCAAACAGCGTTTCTCTTCTGTCAAACCATATAATTTAAATTTTGCTTGAAAGTAAATTAAGTTCAGAGAAGAAAAATATTGGGATTGTGCTGCGCCATTGTTTTATATACATTACATTCTATACATTGCATATATTGAAAAAAGTGTAGAGAGTGTTTTTTGTGCAACATTTCAGTTTTATACACAGTTTAAATTATGACATGTATTCTTTATTATTTACTTTCATCATTTTATTGATTTAATCCTTCAAAGTTAAAAAAAATAACTTTTTTTTTTGTACATACACCTGATTGGATATCGGATGTTAATAGGTCAATTAATAATTCATGTTAATAACTTTGATGGTAGTTTTTCGTCGTTGTGTTATTATATTTAAACATTTTCAGTGTTGCGTTTTAGAGGGATTTGATTTAACGTTCAACCCACCATTGATACGAAATATTTTCAAGCAAAACTTACATTCACTGCACTGAATGATTGTACAATTTTGCTGTAGCTTTGTTCACCTCATTGTGGCGAACATGTTGCGAAAATACCCCATAAAATGTTTCAAATTACCAGCAATTTTCTCATTTAACACCGCAAGATATTTATTGTCAAGGCATGCTTCCTCATTCTGTATTGCAATATCAATACAGGAGGTGCGAATAATGACACAATCTCAATAGGCCACATCCCCAAACCCTCCCACATTATCGGGTGCTCACCTTTCCCCAAGTGGGAACTGTTTATTGTGATGTTCGCGATGATATTTGGAAAATGTACATGAATTATGGGGTATTTTTGCACTTTTTTGCTCATACGAATACATTAATGGCTCATCGTATATATTGTGGTGAAAATATTCCGTAAATGATGGCAAATATTATTAGCAGCTTTAACAGCTTGAGGCCCACAATAACGGCAAGCTGAATTGTACCTTCCCACTAGACCACTGCACGTGAACTACTCTTGAATCTCACAGTGAAGAAGAGTAACAGAGGAATATGTCAAAAAGTAACTAGATAATAGTAGATAAGATATGATTAAAAAATGTGAGAAATCTATAGTGAAAGATTACTTTGAGAACAAATTGCAAATGATAGTACACAGCGGTTATAATGTTATATAAAGTCATAATGCTCTGATGGTCTAAAGAAGCGGAAAATGTTTGAAATGTGATAAAGAATGGTTATACAATATTTTTATTAAAGGAGCAACTCGTGAATAGATGCAGGTAAAACGAACTTTCTTACCTCAAATACTCATTTAACATTATATTAAAGAGAAAATTGGATATATTGTGTATAATTCAATTTGGTATTCACTTAAAACATATCGAGCATTTCCTTCTCATGAAAGGTAAAAAGCATTATTTTCGAATAACATGACTTTTACCATTGGTCTTAACAGTAATTTTGCAATGAAAATGAGTTTGTATGATTAATGTATTTATTTTCGACAATAATGTGATCAAATGTGATTTTCGGCAAACATAATTAATTGATCAAAATGATATAAAAAAAATCAATTGAGTAAACAATACTGAGTTACGCATAAAATCGAACTCGGACGTGAAAAAGAATGAAAAACAAACCATCGTTTTTTTTAATTTGGTGTTATTTTGGTATGATTACAGTTGCAATATTAGGCTTCATATGTGGATGATTTTCATCAAATTTTAATTAAATTAATACAAAGTGAATTGTCGGTATGGAAATTCCACAACTAACCTGTTATACATGAGGACATCTGGCTTCCATAATTTATTTGGTGTTATTCGTAAATCTTTCACACCGCCATATTCACTGTCATTCCATCGAAGATTGTAGTCATTCCATTCCTAGATTTTTGTCATCAAGTTTAATTAGATAAATAAATTGCCAATTTATCGTACACCGAATAAAACTATGTTCTATGTATTCATGTTTTAAATTGTATATGCAAAGTAGTACTTGAACATATATGTATAAATGGAACTTGTTATATTGAGTATAGTTTTGTACAGTGAACGGAAAAACGACCTCACGGTAAATTAAATAGTGACAAATTGTGAAAGTGGAATAGAGAGTAAATAAAAATGGCATAGAATAGGAAGAGAGACATAGAGAATGGAAAAAAATGCGAGAAATAAATTATCATGCAGTTTCCAGGGGTGACAAAAACAGAGACAACATCCATTTTATATACAGTGTTTATAGTCTGAATTAATGAGATAAAAACCACACTATACACCAAAATTTGCATACGAAAAGTCTCTTCGACAATCATGCATGTAATTTTTGCTTTTTGCATTTTTGCTACTGTAAATTAGCTGCACTGGGAAAAAATCATTTGCCAAAATAATGCACTGATAGTGTGTGTATCTTTTTAAGTGTTCATTTTCAGTGTGAATGACAGATATTTCTGTGGTTTATGGCATTACATTTACAAGTACTTTGATGAATGACTTGTGCACATTTAAAAAATCTATATATAAGCGCATTATACTGCACGAAACATAGTATAATTAGCCAATACACGAGCATCAATTTGGTATTCTGCCATTTAAAACCTTGACCTGATGAACATGAGCCAATTGGTTAATACGATTTCATAAATTTATAATGTTATTCACGCCAAATCTGATTTGCATAAAGATTTAATTAAAACACTCAATTTTAGATTGTAGTTTCAGTTTCGTGGAATATAATGACAATTCGCATTGATGAAATCCAATCTTCTAAAATTGTGTTAAAAATGAGAAATGTAAAAGAACGTGTAAAAGAGCAATCTGTGAGGAAGAAATTTTGAAATTTGCTATAGTCGACGTGTAAGTAATTGCATTGTTGACACATCCCTTCTGTAATGGAAGTTAGCGCTGACACGAGTAACATTTTGCCACTTGGAGCAAATTAATGCAATGTTCATCACTTTTCTTAATGTCTCATTCACTCTCTGTTAAATCGCACTGAAATACTTCTCGAAGGGAACTAACTTTTACCATTTCCGAGAGCTACTCGAAAGCTCTCTACTTCATCTTGTTTTTTTTTCCTCTTTTGTGTGAAAACTGTATTGATATATTGAATTAACAAAAATAAATTCATTGTTAATTTGTAAAAGTATTCACCTTACAGTGTAAATGGAAGATGTGAAGAAAAATAAGGGTGTAAAACACAGTTTCAATTGCATAACGATGAGACACAGACAAAGCTTTTCTGGCGCTATGAGGTTAATGTACAACATATCACACAAATTGTATTTCTATCGTAATATTTCACGTTCATTCAGTCAGCTATTTTGTGTAGAATAACTGATTCTATAATACTGAAATGTCAAATAAAAGTACAAATCTTCCCTGAATGACATTCTAAAAAATAAGAAAAAAAATTACACATAGCACACACGTAAGTTTCTAAGCCACAAACGAAACGACTCTCGTCACACAAAGCGTCAAACAAACTTCAACGGGAGCACGATTTCATACTAAAGAGTTTTTATACATGTAATGGGATTAAGAGAAGACATTTTTGGTTTCTTAATTGTAAACAAAATAAAGAAAAACACATTATCGCGCGTCATCGGAAAATACTCCGAGGTAGATACAAAGGAAACCTAAATTTGATTCGTAATAAACTTGGCTATTCTTTTTGTCATTTTCGCTTGTGAATTAAACTATGTTTTAGGCAGGTCATTAAAAATCGGTTTCATTAAATTATCCCTTTATTTTATTTAATTGACAGAGTGTGGCTTCAATAGAATTGAGTGGGAAATAATAAGCCATTGCAGGCGGGGACTAGAGGAATGTAAGTTCACTTCAGTGATGTATTTTTTAAGGCGGAATTTTCAAAGTCAAAACATTCATTGTTTAGTAAGAATCGTTTTGGAAAAATGACTGGAAAAGCGGTTTGCATCAGATGGTGTTATGAGTGTTAATGGGAATTTTACGATATTGCTACTGGTGAATTCAATTTGGGAAAATTGAATTCAGAAAAGTTTTAAACTTTTCCGATGGAAATTGTAAATGCATCGCGGACGTTAAAATCACCACTGTGTCGCCGATATCGTTTTTTTATTGGTTCTTTTGTTCACACTTTTAATGCAGAAACTTCATTATATCTGTTCTTTTTGAAAATTTCCATATATGCATTAAGCAAAAGTGAATTTACATTTTTAATCACGCTGGAAATATTCTGAATTATTGTTTTTAATGAAAAGAATGGTAATGGTTAGGAAGTGGGGAGGAAGTAAGAAGTTTTTTTTTAATATCCTAAATGAAGCAAAGAAGCCACGAAATAAAAATTTTAATTAATTTTTAATTAATATTCGTGTTTTACTAACACACACGGCGAAATATTCTTTCAACTACGGCTATCTCTTTTCTCTTCCAATGAACGATTCAAGTCAGAAATTTTGAAATCAATTATCTGTACAATCTCATGAAAATTGATAGTTTTGTTTCGTATTTGGATGAGTGATTTTGGCAAAATCTTCTATAACATGAAATACAATGTTTCAGCACCAAAAATTCAACAAGTGAAGAACAAAGTTCATTTGATACGGTTGACCTGTTGTTAGACAAAACGGATCGATGCTATAGTGGTTGAAATTTCGCAAGTTTTCGTTTCTATTCCATTGAATTTGTATAAGATGGGGTGGATAAAAAGGCATTATGCTCTACGTATTTGAATAAAAGAGACATAATGGGGGAAAACTGTATGTGATGTTCGTTTTTTTATCTTTTGACTATGCTTTTTAACTATTGGAAGAATGGGGAAATTCAAGCTTCTGTCTTATGTTCATTATTCTTTGCTACAGAGAAAAAAATCAATATGTATAGGGTTTCAACGGTTCAACTACAAGAAAACTGTCAGTAGTGAATGTTAAGAAAAACTAATGCGTAAGTTCAAATTTATCACTACTTCTCAATGAAGATGTTCATTCCAAAATATTTATTCTCAATCATGGACAAATTCAATTGAAGCACATAATTAGGAATCTGAAATTGTATCTTGTCTACTGAAGTGTCTCTTTTAATGATAAAATTGATAAACTACTTCAGTGGGGAAGGAAAAGAAATGCGTACAAACGAAATATATACTGAGATATCTCGCAAAAATTCACTGTCTCAAGAGAGAATCACTGTTTTTTTTTTCTTATTCGAAAAATCGCATCATTACATTTTATAGTCGGAAAATTGAAAATGTCTGTCATAATTTAATTTTACTATCAACACATGGTATTTATTGTGTTGATTGAGAGAGAAAAGTATGAGTTAAGATAATTTATTCTAAAATATAAGAGGAATAGAGACAGAGAAGGTAGAAAGAGAATTCTTGTTGTGAGTTTATCACCATAGAAAGAGAGGATAGATGTTTTAGAATTTGACGGTTGAAACAAAAAAGAGGAAGTAATTTGAAAATTGATGAAATTTCCAAAAGAACAATACTCAATTTACATTACATAATAGTACAAGAGAAAGTAGCGCTGCCGTGTGTGTAATTAATTATAATTTATTTGTTTCATTTTTTCTTTATTTGTCCACTTACCAAAGAAAGCCATATATTTGTTATTAGGAGTTGATTCTTCTCGTCCTACAATAATTAATATAATATGACGAAAATAAAAGAATATGTTTTTTTCTGGTAATTAATTGAAGAAATATATGGATATATTTCTGAGGTAGACCAAAATGATATTTGTGATATTAAAAAAAACATAATTCAAAATGTTTAATGAGATTTTTGAAATGAATATGCCGCAATCATGAGATTTCTCATGTGGAATTTTGCATATTGCAAAATGCTCTTCACGACCCTGATGAATTTCACTTTATTGTCCCAGTCATATTTATTTGGTATGACACGCATGCACTCTCATTTTATGACATGTACCCATAACTAAGCGACATTTATTTTAAAATCATATACTTCATTATCATTGTATGTATGTCTTCTCATTTGGTTAATCCTTTTTGGTTAATTTGCCTCTGCAAATGAGAGAATTCGTCAGTGTTCAACCAAAATGATATGCATTGTTCTTCACAATATTCTGATTTTGCAATTTCCAAAGAAACTGATGGACTTAAAAAAAGGTACAAGAGAAAATCAAGAGAATTTGTAGAGTAACGTAAAAGAAAATGCCTAGCCAGACACCGTGTATCGGAATAAAATATGTATTTCTTGTATATATTATAATAAACAGTCACCAAGACGTCAACTATAATGCAATTTACACTTAACATGGTTTATTATACAGTAATATATATGTATGTAAAACAACCCATCTCATGCGAATAATCATAAAGTTCATCGTGTCTGTTATATTTTTGTTTTGTCGCACACCTTTCGGGTACATGTCACTTACCAAATTTAACCACGCATTTGTAGTTAGAATCTGATTCTTTTCATCCTAAAAAATACACATTCGAATTTTTATAATATAAAAAGTTCAACTAATTTGATATGTAAAGATATATGAAAGTACAAAAAGAGCTTAAAAATGTGTAGTATTTTAAACTTTGTTTATTTAATTATGCTGATTTTTAGTTTATCGTATTTGGTTTATTTACATATTCACGTGTTATCCAGACTTTGAAAGAGAAACGGTATAATTTTTATTGATTTAGAGCGATATTTTATTTATGGTTTAGCTATTTAGGAGAATTGTATGATTTCTTTTTCATTTTATTATGCATCATCTTCAAATATATGAATAACAAATTATATATGAAATTATTATGAAATTATTTGATGATTCGATTTAAGGATGGAGTAATATGAGAAATACATTTTAATGATTCTGTGCAATTGAATATAGGATGGGAGAGTGAGTTTGTGAGATGTATAAACTTACCACATCAATTATTTGTTGTAGAGTTAGACCGAATTTTACCTCCAATGCTTCTGATTCATTAGCAACTGGTCGTTCGAGTGTATTGTACGATGCTAAGAGATTATTTAACAGTCGTTTTTCATGTGGGCCCTGTAAACTTTCTGCAAAGCAAGAAGAAGATGAGGAGCTTGTGTGAGAAAATTGCCAGTTCAGTGTTATTAACATTGATGCCTCTGAGAGTGTCCCACATAATCAAAACTTTCGACCAATTTTGGCTTATCTGCCTCAATCATCCCCTCGAGAGCCACCTTCGCATTCCATGAGAAATAGTTTTTCCCCCATTTAGTCCATTGTCATAGAATATTTGACAAAAGTCTCTTGGAATAACCCAAGACTTTGGCCAGCACTATTGATGTCACTTTGTGGATTTCCCCGAAAGTGTTATTGTATCCACTGCAGAGCTTTCTAGTCGTAAAAGGCAAAGCCAAAGTTATTAAAATATGATCCTCGTGCTGCGGAGAAAGTATGTGGAAAAATCCTCTCGGCTCCCTTGGAAAATCGTAAAGATTTCAATATAGTGTATCCACTTTGGACAAGACAATTGCCGCCTGTTGCAGCGCACATACCTCCCAATGTTTGCCTTTCCCGATATTTGTGCCTGTCTATATACCATGTATACACTGTATGTGCTCGAGTGTACGAAATGCTTTCTAGGCATGATTTTGTTTTACCCTCTGTACTTGGCTTTTTCTCCAATGTCTCCGTATTCTTTCTCTCTATATCATTATTAACCAGAATATCGTCTTGTTGCTCCACCTCCACGCTTTCTCACATTCATACGATTCATACTATGTAAACGGGAATATGAGGTGAATTTTTCCATGAAATCTCTCATCTATTTCCCAAAACATGTTATGAACAAAACTCTTCTGCAGAATTCAATCATTATCAATAGACTAGGGATTAGTACATATGTATGCTTAAGTTTCCAGTAAGTTGATGTGGCTTTGTGAGAGGCAAAAGGGTGTGAGCGATTGAATTTTGGAAGTTTCACTACTACAGTTCACTCGAATTTGTTTGATTATCCGTAAATTTGTGCTGTTCTGTTTGAGTTTTTAACCCACTTTCTGTGGTTTTTAAGTTTGCCGAGCAACAGTAAGTTTGTTTTTAAAAAGTTCCATTGTTTCTTCTGGATGAAACCCACAAAAGCTTTAATACAATAGTGACACTATATAGGGAAGTTCTTGTGCAACATTTGCTTATCTTTGGAGTTCAACCACTGCAAAGAAAGAGATTTTGCCATATATTTTCTGAAATAATTCTCTAACTAGAGCATAATAGCTGCTAAAATATATGCAGTGGATGTTCTCACTTGACCCTCAAATAGATCTTTCCACTGCGGTATGTATTCAGCATATATTTTTTCGGCTAGTGGTTGCTAAATAATTAAAGTGCTTTAGCTGGAAAAATGACTTTTCCAGTAAATCGTCTGCTTTTTCTGCTAAAAAGTCGGTTGGAAAAGAAACACATGGTTATAAATCCATGTCAGGCTTTTGAAGTGGATGAGAAATAAGCCACTCAAGTAGTGGAAATATGTGTTTTGTCGGATTGGAAGGGTTTTTCCGTTTATACCGCTGCACACACAGGCCCTTGCACAGTCGAATGTGGTGTACATTAACTCGCAAAATGGTGAAAGGAAGTATGTTTCTGAGGATTTTCACTGTGAACATATCGAACAATCTCTTCCAATACGGTAATGTAGATTTCCCAACAATGCGCGTATTCAATCAGAGCATCTATATCGTCAGATTGTGATGATCCGAGCGCTATATGTACGTACCTATTCTACATTGTTCAATGGTCTTATTGTCTTTTTTGCAGTATCACACAAGTATGCCATATAGTTAATGTTGTATTTCGTCTCTGTAGATTTCCTCTGTGATTTATTCTATGTTACATCATAACAAATGTATGATTTAGGCTTGAATTGAATTTTCAGTCCACGCGAAAACATGAATTATGTACACGCTTGTCTCTCCTGAGGGCATAGTAATCGCATATTATTGTATGACGTAACTGGATATTTTCCTCATTTTCGCAATGTTATTTACACAGACAAAGTTTGATATTTTAAGCAAATTCACGTGCTTGCAATACTTTTATCCCCATGTCTTATGTAACAGGTCTCAACCTTGGTCTCTGTCTCGAAAGTTAAAGAAAATACTTTCGTGGAAATGATTTATGTGAGTTGTTTTCAAGAGATAAATCTCTAAAAAATGGCACAGCATTCTTCTCTCTGTGAAAGACGATTTGATCGGTCAGTGTTGTTGCAACAATTGGCATTGCTTACTCGGGAATGCCTTGAGCAGTTTGGTATGCATATTATAAGCATGATGTCTTTTGCAATTGAATGCGGTTGAATTTATTCTAGAAAGGATACAAATTGTTATTTCACCACTCAATGGTGAAATTGCATCCACTGCTTGTGACATATTGGATTGGGATGCGGATTTGCTGAACTGTTTCAACATCACAGAATTTACCTCTGTTGTCCACTTCCTTTCAACCTTTCAATTTGATAGGAAAACACCATGCAATAGATAGTGGATGCTCTAAGTTGATTCCATTCTGTGTGATTGTGATTACACATTCTGGGCTTTGGAGCACTGCGGCGGGTTGAGGGAATAAATTTTCATGGTCATGAATTGCATGGGTAGAAGAGAGCAATTTACCCAGAGCAATCATCATATAAAAGTGTCAAAGTATTTATGCTAATTTCCGCAATGGAAATATTGCAAGAGAGAGAAAATTCGGCTGTATAAAAAAGTCATGCCTACATTTTACTTGTGACAAGTCACACATATGTAATGAGCATATGTATTGAGTACATAAACCTCAATATGTACCATTCTCACAGCTGGTTGAGTATTTTTTTTCCTCCGCTTTGGTGAATGTGCGCAAGCGAGGAGTCGCGCAGGAAAATTCCCCATATAGTGTGGCTATATTGTACAAAAATCAATAGATTTAATACAAACAAGACCATCTATGAGTGGTGTTAGTGTGAAAATTGTGTGACGATAAAATGCGCATGCCGTATAGACATAAGATAGACGAAGAGTGTACAAGGGAGAAAGTGAGTTAAGGAGCGATATTCATACATAAATGTTGTGTATGTGTGAACATATGTATAGGAATGAAGACATGAAGCTTTAAATGAAAGCTCTCCTATTTTCCACACTCTAAAATTTGTCACATATTTTTCCACCCTCTTATTTGTCCTCTTATTAATTAACATCTCATTCAATAATCTCACACCTCCGAAGCTGACACACAATTCAGACTTGGTTGAACAATTTGCAGTTTTTTTTTCCATAACGCCACTCTCATGAATGGTTCTGCTTTTGAGCGCCAAAAATGTCACTCACACGCTCACAAATAAAAGTGTGAAAACGCGCTTTTGCAGAATTAATTATGTATTCTTGCTACACCCAAGTTCTTTATTGGCTTTTGATAATTATGAAAATTGATTTGCCCAATTTGGATATTAAATAGATCAAATTTCAGGTTTAACCGATGCCTGTGTAATCGGCATGGCGATTGTATCTGTTTTTATTGGTGTGTCAAGGAGCAAAAAACGCACACCCAAATTGAAATATTAATACACGAATGGTGTTATTCTCAAGGGAGGATCCCTTTAGAATTGAAAATGTGTGATTTTTGTTGTTGCTCTTGCCAGAACGATTTTTACGAGAGTGCTCTTTTATGCCACCACAGCTGGGTGGGGTTTTCCATGTTACCACCAATTCTGTCAATTTCAAATCATTTTTCACTCAAATACATGTGTGTGTGTGTTTGCATGAAATATTGCAGAGCTTTCCGGTGCACTTGCCAAATGTTCCATTAAAAGCAATTGCAGGTCTCAGTGGACAAACACTCATTCTCGCGTTTAACCAGATGCAAAATGCAATTTCGAAAGGATAAATTGCATATTATATTGCGCGTGACAGAGGCACAATATCGCAAGTCTTATTACATTGCTGATATGCAGAGGCAGTGGTGGAGTGCATGCACTTTCAACTTGTTGAGATATTCAAAAATCTATCGTGATACTACGTGATTTATGGAAATCTCCGTGTTGTATTTGGAATAAACAATGCAGAAAAGGGCTGAAATGTAACTTTCAGCACAGATGTACAACGAGTAATATTTTGATATTGATTCAGAACACTAATCCTGTTAAACAAACTACAATTCAAAGGGGGGATATGAAATATATTGTAATGACTGTAATAATATTGTTGTAAAATTTTATGCAGACATTGTGGCAGTTTCGACAGACAATCAATGATATAACTCATGGTGTTTTTGCATAAATACACAATTTATTCCCCTGTACGTGTTGCATCTAGCGACGTGAAGTTTCTACCCCTTTGCTATGCTAGTCTTGTTTCGCAGAAATTAGGTACACTTGTTCTGAGAGATCCTCTCTTAAAACTTTATGAAGACATTGGAGGTTGAAGCTCTACGGGGTCGCTAATGCCATAAAAATTCTTTATCCCACTACTTTGGCAGACGAGTCAACGAGGTAATTCGTAATAGATTTTATGTGTTTTGGGTGAGATGGAGAAAGAAACTTTCGAAAATATTCATCCTAATCTGCTGTAATGCTGTGTAATATTGATGTTAAACTTGTAACGCGAAAGCTCCCGATGGAGACGCCTGGTTGCTGAATATTATAATAGCGCATTTGACCTACATTCGACTCCGTAAAATAATACTTTTCACCCTTTTTATTCTCATCCACTATTTAGATTTATTTCCACATAAGTTATTTATTTAAAATCACTCTCTCGTAAAATGTAATGAAGTGTTGTAGTGCAGAGAAACTTGTTTGCTACTCACCTGTAATAATCATAAGGAAGACCAGTAGTGTGAGCAGAAGTGTATCCATCTCCAAAAAGAAATGATTTTTATCGGGGAATATTTTGATGTGATCCCCAATATTTTTCCGAATTGATTACAATATATAATCCAATTAGTGCGATTTTTGTCTTGGGAAGTATAGCGTTGCTCAAGTGATGAAATATTGCCTTTTTACTATCCGAACATAAAATTTCCTCGATCCTGGCAGCTCTCTTTCCTTCTCTTTAATCAATCCACTCACAACCTCTGTCTCCTATCAAGTATTTTCGATCACAGTCTTGTTTTCATATCTACTATGGATTTTTGCAGTTTATTAGTCGATTCTTTTCCGGCCACATCGTCGCACGAGCATTATCACCAACGGTCGGGATGAGATGGAAAGAAGGATAGAAGAGATGTGATTTTTATTTTTATCTCGTTATGCACAGCAATGAGATGAAAAGGATTGTTTACAAACTAAAATGGTAAATGTGTGAATTAGGATAATTAAATTCACTGAAGTGTATAATTTATATGCGGATATAGACCATTAATGAGATATGGAGCATAATTATGTGATGCTATGGGTTTTTCTTTGTCCCTCACTACTCCCCTCTCGCTCTCTCTCTCACCCTCAGCAAGCACATGAAGCTCGCCTCGAGAAATTGACCCTTCGGAAAATTTAATTCACACTCCTCGACTCGAGCTACATACACATAGTTCTTATACACTTGTTGGTAGGGACTACAATTTCTGCTGTAGTAAATCAAAATGGCGGGTAATAGAGTGTCTACACAGCATCTATGTAATGTATCAATTTGAGAAATATAGTTTTTGCCAGCACTGTTGCAAGCCCAGCGTGAAGCGGGATGAAAAGTCGATTAGAAAATTTGATAAGTCATGCTGAAACTTTTTAAAGGTGCACAATTAATATGCCTTACCTAATTTGCAAAATGTAAATGGATTGAAGTTTATACAGAAGTGCGAGAGGGTGAAAGAGTATAGAAAGTGAATTCGAAAGCGATATTTTCATATTAATATTCATCAAATTATTCTCCAGAGAGGGAGAGAGACTGAATTTTATCTTATATGATTTTAACTTGTGATGACAAGATGAAAAGAAAAATGTGATTTTTTTTGTAAAATTAATTGAACACGAACACTGTAAAGACGCTTTGGGATTGGCGAATGACATGAAGGCGAAAGATCCATCATCGCACCTTCGCTTTTTCGTTGAGATTTTCACGTGGCTTTTTCCACCGCGAAAGCTCATCAAATTAGCATCGGGAAAGCTTTATCACGATGGAGGCTGGCAGATAGGAGGAGAGTGTATCTTTTGGGTTCTGTGTTTTACGAAAATTAGGTCACTGTTTTATGTACATACAAACACAGCCAGTCGCTTGAGCACAACATATTCAACCTTGCACAATATCTCTGGATACACTTTTATGTGATGTTCACAGCATATGCATCATCCATCATTCACGTGTAATTTTGCTACTTTGCAAGCATTTTTAATGCGACTATCGAGTACATTTTCCTCAAAGTGTCTCAAGGTAAAATGTTGCGAGGGCCAAAATTTCAATTGAAATACATGTATTTTTTCGTGAAATTCTCATGGTCGTTTTTCCCGACAAACCATTAATGGGACGTGAATCACATCAGTGGGTGCTTTCATGATCTATCAGTGCGACGAGGAGATGGAGCGGGACACGAAGAGAGGGAGGATTGGTGTGAAAATGGTGAGAAATTAATGTGAATTGAAGAACATAATGTGATACACGCAGATGTTGTGGGGAGACGTAATAAATGTATCTATAAAATAGATTGAAACATATTCCTTAATTAAAAAGACAAGGGATGTAATATAGCAATAGATAGAAAGAAGAGAGGTGGAGAAAGAGTGCAAATTGCTGACGAGGAAAATTTTCGAGGGAGCGAAGGACTTACGAAGGGAAATGGTGGAGATTGTCGGGAAAAAGGGAGTGAAAAGATGTGAAAAATTTTCAAGTGGCGTCTCCAAAATGGATGATTTTTGCCAATGCCTGTGTGTACGCATTTCTACAATGTTCGTATTCATCGTTTATTGCATTTTTTTCGCTCTAAAGCATTTACTGTTTATTGCAAATATATGCTTATGTAATGTTATATTTAAGTTTAGATAGTAAGTTTATCTGCAATATTGTACCATTTGGTTGAGAGAAAGCTTTCCATTCATGTGAAAGAACCAAACTAGAGAAACAATCCCTTTCATCTTTTTCCGTCCTTTTGGTTTTGATGGTTTTTCTTCTTTTTTATATTTACTGCTGTCTTAGTGTTGTTTCTTCATTTCTTCCTTTTATTGACACCAAATTTATAATTTGTTTTAGACAGTTTATGCATAACATTTCGCATTTTTTCTACTAATTTAGTACTTAACATTTACTTTATTTTTCTCATTTATTCTCTTCTCATCAATATTTTTTAGTTTTACTTTTGCTCTTTTGCTTTTTAGTTTTGATGCTGTGATTTCACATGAAGATGTTTAACGAATCATTTTAACCATTTATCAATCATTTTTGCATTTAGTGTGAAATTAAGTGTGATAACTCTGGATTTATTATTGTGCTTCTTTTTAGAGAAATTCAAGTATACAATGAGAGATTTTTTTTTAATGTTAAAGCAAATATGAACTGTGTTACGTTTTGCAAGCTGTGAAACAGTTTTTTAGCACGGTGGAGGCTTTAATAAGAGTATGGTTATATGATGAATTATTGAATCGTCCATGATTGTTTAAGGGTGGAAAATTCTTATCAACTTCTACGTGATTTGCAGAAAATTGCTGAACAGTGAACATTTCTGGGTATAACGGCACTGAGTTAGGAGACAATTTTGAATAGGTCCAATTTCATTGTCCTTTCCTTTCTGTGTTCCTTTGCCAACTTCACCAGAAAATTTCCTATCGCGTCTCCACCTAAAAACTTTTCTCTCCTTCTTTTTTTAAACACACACGCACAACTTGAGTGATTCTAATGCCATGGGCAGCACCATTTAGAAAACGATACACTTTCCGAGTAATGAGTATTTAAGACGTGGCACACCAGATGAAATAAAAATGAACGACAGTAGCACAAGTATTGAATTTTTTTTCCTTGCAAAAATGGCAAAAAGGGGAGAAAAGGAGAACTCTCGAGAGAATTTATGGCGGAAAAAGGCAAAAACTTCTCTTCAACACATATCAATCGAAAGGAATTTTCACAATTAGTCCACTTTTTCGTCTTATAGTGCAAATAAAATTCAGAGATAAGTCATTTTATCTCCTTTTTCTTGCTCTATGGTGAGTTAAAAAATACTCCTGAACGAGACACTCGGACTTTCCTCCAGGTATCCGAATCACTTATTGAGCTACAGTCTCACAACTGATGGACCAGGAAAATTTTGCGAGTGCGCGCGATTCCCTTCTGCACGCACACACCCACAAATTCATGAAATATTCAATGGAAAAGCTCCACTATATACGAGGGCTGCGAAAGCTCCACGTGGGCAAGTGGTTGGTTGGGAAATATGGAGTTTAGCACACGAACGCAAAAGCTTCCGTGCTTGAATAGAACAGCGAAGCTCAGCAGCGTCGCTCGTTATATTCAAATAATCAATATCTCTTCTCCCTTTTGTTTTTTTGCACACTTCCAGTCTTATCACGAAAATTCTCTTTTTAACCTCCAAAAGTACTGCCATTGACCGTGTTTTGAGAAATGCTCAATAAGCCGTACCATTCGGAGCAATTTTCTGTGTCGTCTCAAAATAAATCTGCTGACTGAGGCGCTATTAAAAAATGCACGATAAGCACAAGCTTGGCTTGGCTTTGGGAGATGAAATTTCTGTGCCCAATTCAGTTCAGATTCTTTCTTAATAACTCAATAGTCTAACCTGAACATAACATAACGTGAACCAAATTGAGAGATTAAATTATCTTCCAGCATAAGCTAAACAAAAGCTAAATTGGTGGTATTTCTGCGAATTCTACATGTACTTCTATCTACAAATAGATTAAGTCATCATTATATAGTGAAAATTGCAACTGAAACAAATTGTGAAGTTTGAAAAAAGAATTCTTTTTGCAATTATATGCTGTGTTCTGTGTGCATGACGACGACATGTAAAATGAATTTTAATGAGTATTTTAATAAGCATTTAATTTCTTTTTCATTCTGTATTGTTCTCCCTAAAAATTAAGCAAAGAAGAGCGTAACCCAATTCTGTGAAATCCTATTCGAGATTCGAGCTTCCCTATTTTTTTCAATTTCCCGACTCTGATCTTCTTGTGCGACCACAGAAGCGAGAGTTATGTTTTAGCCCAGCTATAAATTGCCTTATCAACCCATATCGTCGTAATGGAAAAAATATGTAACGGAGAAATGGTGTTATGCAATTTTTTGCAGCTCTGTGAGCTTGTATAAAATTGACAAAGCAAGAAAATCTCATTTCACCTACTCACTTTTTAATGAACAATCGACAAAAAGAAATCATTCATTCATCCTCAATGATTCAGGAGAGTGCTCAAGAAAATGAGATTGTCGTGTACAAAAACAAGGAGCTCAACATTGTGCCAAAGAAAGCAGAGCTTTTTTCCAGTACCAATATTCAATCATGGTGGGCGATGCATGATTGACCTATTTCGTCAAATTAACTCATTATCTTTTAACTCTCACTTGATGAAACCCGTCGATAAAAGGGTTTCACAACATTTCAGTCGTAATTATAATGAAAAAATGTACACCGAAGGTTCTTTAACCCTCATCCAGTACAAGGTAATTTTTCTCACCATGTCCTTAATTAAATCTTCCTCGGGTAATTTATGCATTCTTACATCCAATCCAAACTTTCTGCTGGTGTAATTACAACTTGCTCCATAACATACAGGGGCAAAGTGTTGTGAGATGGAGAAGAAAGACTGTCTTTTTGTAACTAAAATAACTCGTTTTTAAGCATTGACCTTCATGGAATGTTTTACTGATAACAGAATACAAGCAGCAATATACAAATGTGCATGTGGTAAAAAAATGTGGAAAAATTCACAGTCCAGTTTGTGTATAAACACATTTCAGTCATCTTAGCCGTGCTTTTTGTCACATATATACTATAAATTACTCCCGTGTCATGGAAGATTAGAGCACCTCCTAAATTTACACTGAAATCTGATGATACATTTGGCAAATAATGGGTGTAAATTTGTCTCGTGCATATCGTAATTCTTACTGTCTTCATCAACATCACTTACTACAAAATATTTCTCCGGTGAATTTACATCTGTTTTGTGTGTTAATTGAGTTCCTGTGAAATGTGCATTAGTTTGACGTGTGAAAATTGAGACGCGATAAGGGATTATAATTTGTAATTGTGCGTCATAATTTTGACTGATCTGGTCTGTTTCTAGGTTTACTTGTTTTTGCTCTGTGAAGATACTCATGTTCGGCATGACAAGTTGATAAGAATTCGTTTCTGTGCGAGAGGGAAGATGGAAAAAATGAGAATGATCTCCTAAGACAACAAATTTCTTATCACAAGAGCAGTAGAGTTGCATTATAAGTGGTGATCTTCCCAGCATCACTCCGTCAGATCTTATAGAGCAGCCAGAGAGTGAAAGTCGTGAAGTTTTAGTTGACAAAGTATTTCATTAATTTGCCAAAATGATGTCAAAGAAGCTCCGTAATGATGCCAACTTGAGCACCAGTAGTGAAGTGGGTGAATACATAATCAGTGATTATGGCTACGGGAAGGATAATGTGAAACTGTAAATATTTCTTGATATACAATTTCATCATATATGCCTGTTATCCCGTAGAGGGTCCTTTATTAAAGTAAAATTGTTATTTAAGGTTGCACGTGGTGCGAAATGGTCCTGTACACTCCATAAAAGAACTCGAAGTGTGCTCTCATCTGAAGTTGTACGATAAAAAGGACTATTTATACGGTGAGTCTCACATACTTTCTCCGTGTTGTTCGTGAGTAAATAGGAGGGACAAACACTCTGGAATACAGCCCTTTAAACTTTCCCCCGAGACGGTTAATTTGGAAAGATGAAAAATATGCAAATATCTCAGCGTACAAAGTAAAAGCCTCTATCTGCAGAGTCAAGTAGCATGTCAAAGATCAATCAAACGTCTCTCTGGAGTATGCGAACTTTCAATCAACTTGCGACCATTTATTTTCAGGGGATAATTCAGATATTGTGGCGACAGATTCCCAGAAGAATACAATTTATCTGTTGGCGAAAAAGTACGGAGTGAAGTCTCCCGAGGATTACGCTCTCCTTCTCTGTGCCCACTTTCTCAGCAAGTACAGTCATGTGAAGGAAGTGTCCATCCAAGTGGTGGAATATCCATGGAAACGAATTGGAAGTGGCGACGGTCCATTCAAGAAGCTCCACAATCACGCTTTCATGTTCTCGCCAACATCAACGCGATACTGTACGGTGACTCACGCCAGAACAGGTATAAATCCAACTCAAGACAATCCCTTTTCAGCACTTGCTAACAAATTTCAATTACTTTTTCATCCCCAGATCCCGTGCCAACAGTAATAAGTGGCATTAAGGATCTCCGTGTGCTGAAGACGACGCAATCATCTTTCGTCAATTTCATCGATGATGAGTACAGATCTCTGCCGGACATGAAAGACCGGATCTTCAGTACAATTGTGCGATCATCGTGGCAGTATTCGTCATGGAAGAATCTGGATTTTGACAAAATCCACAACCGCGTGATGGAGATAATTCTGAAGAACTTCGCTGGCGATGCTGACAAAGGAATAATGTCGCCAAGTGTGCAGAATACTTTGTATGTGGCGGAAAAGGAAGTGCTCGATGTGATACCTGAGGTAATGTTGGAATTCTCTCTCAAGTGAATTATTTTATTAGCTCCTTAACCCACTCATTGTGCGCAAATTTAGTATATTTGATATTTTGTTGGAAAATTTTACGACAATCCCTCCCACAGGCGTTATAAAAAATTCAGAGGAGAATCCCGGAGTGTCTTATCTTATTCCTGGGAATCACCCTGAGGAAATATGCTAAATTTATATACAATTTTACAGCATCATTAACCGGAAAACTGTAAAATTGAGATACGCGAAGATTTTCCTTTATTCCAGTCTTCTCTGATTTTCTCTCTCTCTCTCTCCCTCTTTTCCTTTTACCTTTTTGCATCACTTTCGGACCAAATTTCACTAATCTGTTGTCGTATTTAAATATTTTGTTGTCTAACACATCACTTCATTCAATTTCACACAAAGTCGCTGTCTTATCATTATTTTCCTTCGCTGAGTCACTTCAAGTGAATAATACATATATTTATTGTTACATATGCAGATTTCAACCATTGACATGGAGATGCCAAATAAACACTACTTCACAGTGGATCTAAGCAAATTCCCCAAAGTCGTCCAGGGCGAGAATGAAGAAGTCTTTCTCCCTGTCGATAAACCGTCTGGAATCATCTACGCACAGTTGGATAGGCGTGATATTATGAGCAAACTGTAGATTAAAACTTTCCCTTTATTTGCTACCACATAAGTTTTTTAAAACACCTCCATAAATGTTAAGATTAAATACACATAAGTGAGATAGTGAGATTGCAAAGAGCCCGGTGATTGTGCAAAATGCAAATAAACAGCCAAGAGGATTTCCGAATCAGGGGGAAATGGTGTCATTTTTGAGACACTCGTGCTGAATATACGAGAGTTGTGTTATCGCAAACAAATAGACATTGATTCTGAAAGAGTACTGATGTGTATGCCATTTTCTAATAATATCGGAAGATTGTGCAATTATTTGCAAAGTATACTCAATAAATTATATTGCTTAGAAAACATGTTTTGACTCTCGTTAAACTATGGCTTTGTCCCAGGTCTCATCATCTCAATACACAGCAAAACTGTTGGATTTCCAGTGCGACGATAAATCCATCAATTAGGCGACTCTCCGTGGGAAATTTGCCGCGAAAGTGTAAAGTGTTGTGCAAACAGAAGATAAAGTGTTTCCTGACGCGGTGGTCCGTATAAAAAGTCGAGTGCAGGTGGATTGATTTCTTCAGATAAGCAAAGTGCGTCTCTTGAACTGTTTGGGGGTGGCGTGAAAGATGTGGAATAAATCCACTGTCGTTCTGATCCTCATGTTGGGCCTGTGTGAGTGCTGGGACAAGGTGCAGCTCAGCCGTGTCGATTTTTCACCCATGTATGTGGGTGAATGTGGAGAGATTTATGTGACGGACAAAGTTGTAATTGAATCCCCGGGCTTTCCCAAACAATATCTGCCCAATATTCACTGTGAATACATCCTGTGGTCGCCGTGCCCGACCAATTTCCACGTACAATTTCACGAATTTGACCTGGAGGCGTCCCACCTGTGCCACAAGGACCAATTGAGGGTATCACGAGATGGTGAGGATGTTCATCTCTGCGGCCGTGTCGCCGGCGTTACGTCCTACCGATCTCAGGAAGGTGTGATTAAATTGAATTTTATCACCGACAATGCCATAGAGTACATGGGTTTTCGGCTCTTAATCACACGGGACTCCTGCCACAGTGGGAGTGTCAATGGCACAAACAACTTCGCCACAGTGACGGGTCCCAACACCGGCTGGAGTGACTTGAGAAACCACCGAGAGAGTGATGGCGAGAGAGCAATCACAATTCAATACCAGAACAGTGGGAGGAATTTTCCTGCCTTCAAGCTTTTTGTCAATACGGATTGGAATCAGGAAAATCAGGACATCAATCCTGCACCACCGTCAAAATGCAGTGCTGCTCAAGGGTGGAAGAATTGGTACACCTCAGTTGCTCCCTTGTCAATTGGGGGCGCCGAATTGGTGGGAAATGGCAGCGAACCTGCCCATCGCCAGGATGAGGCGTCATCTCACTTGCCACAGCAATTCCCTCAACCATTTCCGCCTCCTCAGCAGTTTCCACAGCCCTTCCCACCTCCTGTCCAATTTCCGCCCAGCTGCTGTCGCTTCAGCCCCCTCAATCGACCCCGATTTCTCATCTCGTCGCCCAACTTTCCGCACAGGAACGTCAACAACTTCGATTGCGTCTACGTTATTGAGCGCCTCGTAACATCGTGCCGCCTGAGAGTCATCTTCAGATACTTCCTGCTGCCGGATGTGGACCAGAACTTCTGCGTGAACTCCTTCGTGGAGATGGACGGCAGAAGATTCTGCGGATGTCGCTCTGGAGTGGTTTACCTCAGTCAGTGGGGCTTCGAGAACAGGAAGTTCATCCGCCTCAGGAACTTCCAAGCGCCCGTGCCCACCTCCATTGTCCAGGGATTTATCATGGAGGTCATTCAGGAGGAGTGTCCCTACAGATATCTCGGCAGTGTTTCGGGAGCAAATGACACCGCGCCAAGGGAGAAACTCGACTTTAGACCCGCTGACAATGCCACAAACTCAAATGAAAGTTTCCCGAGTCGAGCGGATGAAGGCAGGCCTGAAAGTGAGGATTACGAGCCCTCCATGAAGTTCTTCTTTCCCAACACCGCCAACCGATGCTATTTTGGGTGGCTTCAGTGGTTTCAGCTCACTGTTAATCCGCTCTGGATCACGAGGCCTCAGTGTAGAGTCTGAGGAAGAAATATGGTTAATTAGATTTTACAGTCTTGTGCGAGAAATGCTGTCGCTCACTGCGCCTCGAAGCAACTTCCGCTCTCTCTTGCAGATGCAGCACAGGCATTTCGCATATACACCTGTAGACACAAATATTTGCACAGCGCTTTTGTACATAAAGAGTAAAAAGATTAAAGAAAAAATTCTGTCTTTCTTTTATTGTATATCCCATATAGTTGAATAACACTGATTTGGCTCATTCGCTATAATACTTGTGAATTACGGGTATCTAGAATTATATGTATGTAAGTAAGTTATACGGATAGTATATGTAGTAAAATAATTTGCACATGTAAATGTTCTGCATTTCTGTCTCAATCTCTCATCAGGGTGTACGAATAGACAAAATAAGATGATTATTCATATGCATAATGGTTAAGTTCACAATGTTCATTATTTGTATTTATATTATGACACAGATTACGTTTTCTCGAGAAATATTTTCCCGCTATATGATTTCCACTATCAGAGGAAGAGGAGAGTCCCCAATATTTTTGTCTTCAAGATATGTTATGTTACTTTACATGAAATTTCACATTCTCCCGCTCAACCTATATTTTCTTCGGTAAATAATGTCATCTCTTTGCATACAAATTGGAAATTCCTATGATGTCAGCCCAGAGATTCAGCCCAGAAAGCGGATGTTTGTGAAGACAGCCTTTGCTGGGCGCTTGCGACTGCAAAAAGTCACAGTTTTCTGCTCATCACCGGACACAGAGACGGCATGGAGTCCCAGAAGTAGTCGGAAGACGTCCTCGCGACTCGGCACACACATGTACTTGGAGTCGGCATCGTAACTGCGAAGGAAGAGCAGAGCACGAGTCCCTCAAGAGAGATTAAAAGATTGATCCAAGAGCACAGCCCGCAGAAATGAGCACAAAAAGTCGAGAAGATTTATTTTTCGCCCTCTTTCCAATTGAATCACTCATCCTCTGAAATGTTATCCCAACATTTTGGACACCATATCAATTGTATAAGGAGAGTGAAATGTAATTGGATCACTCTTCACTGTAGATTATAAGTGTCTGAGCAGTCTTTTCTTTGACTTTTGGCTGAAGCCCACAGAATTTCTTCTAGATAAACTGTCGATTTCCCCTTGAACTTTTCGAAGAGTGAAAGTTGTTTGTTATCTATTGTGATATTTCTCTAGCTCATTTCGCTATATCGCTGTCGATTTATCTGGTGAAATTTCTGGGGCAAGGATGAGACATGATTTCCAGTGAGTTTATATGTCTGATTGTTCAACGCAAAAATACTCTTCGCAATTATCGTAATTTTTCCATTTAATGCACAAATCGTTTTGTGCACAGATTAGATATAAACTAGAGAGAGAGAGAGAGAAAGTGAGAGAGATAGTTCTCAATGGGACTTCAAATGTCTCCGTATGTTGCAATGAAACCACTTATCACATTCAGATTAAACCACTGAATGCTAAATCATGCGTGGGGGAGAAGAAACTCCAATGCCAGTGGTTTATCTCGGTCGGCAACACTTTCACAAACAGATGCGACAAATCATATTCAAATTTATATGAAAATTCTCATGTGAAAATTTACGCAATATTTAATCAAGTCAAGCTGAAATGTTTGAATAGAGCTGGGGGACAAAGTGTAATGAAAAATCTCCGTTCTTCGCTTATCGCAGGATTGATTTATGAAAATTTGTTCAACTTATCAATTATTCACAGTCTCATATTGAATGCCTATCGGCCCTTTTCTGTTTTTTCCATTCACCGATAGGCAAGCATAAAAGATATCATTCTCATTGGGAGATACAAAAGAGTGCGGACAGTGCTTTTTCATTTCCGCTGTTCCGCATTCACCCACCTGAATTGATAATTAGGCTTAATGGGGTCTTATAGCGCGTCAATATTGGAGATTATTGTCTGATAAGATACTCACGTTCGGTAACGGTTGTTCTGTCGCTTCCACGGGTAGCGCCGGTAGTATCTGCCCGATCTCTTCTCCATGACATCATCGTGGTAATCGTCGTCAGCCACTTGTTCGCTTTCCACATAAATCACTGGCAACGGGTCTCGTGTTGGCTCCTTAAGACACCAAATGACTCATTGACATAATGACTCATAGTGCAAATACAGTGCAGCCAAACATACCTGCAGTAGTTGTATGAGATATGCATATTTTAGGGCTATTTCCTCCTCCTGTCTCAAGTCGATGTTTCTCGCCTCCGCCGAATCATCAAAATCACCTCTGTGAGAGATGTCTTCTCGACCTGCTGAAAAAAATTTACAAAGCTCAATTACAGCGCCATAATGAACACTTTATTGAGTCCATAAGCTGGCAGTTTCTCTTAATTAGCCTCATGTTTCAACACGACATTCACTTTAACTGCTGTTTTTTTTACTACTGCTCTGTCTCTAAATACAGCGACAAATTCAATAAATTTGCATAGAGACGCAATGGCATTGTGGTAAATGAGACTCATCATCCGAATAGCTGTCGCTCAATTTGGACAATGAGACTTCTAACACGAAGCAATTTCTCTCAATTTTATCTCGTCAGGCGCGAAAGTATTCTGGGTATTATAAGGAGAAATTGCATTAAGCTAGTCAAACATCCCTCTTTGTCAGAGCTGCTGATGGATAGAATATTGCTAGTCGCCTTTTTATTTCCCACGTTTTCAACCCACATTCATTACGATTCTTTCTTGCTTTTTATAGCCACCCCAGCTTTTCTCACAACACACAGAGAAACCATTCACTTATTCCTCTCTGGATGCTCAAAGTCGCACATAATTTAGTAGTGAATGCAAGCAATAGTGAAGGAAATCTAATGCAGTGCACATTTACCTGGATTCTGGACGTTGATCAGTGGTGGTTTTCCATTAGAACTCGGTGCTGGGTCTGATTTATAGGTCTGTATCATGTTGTAGTGATTTGGCAAGGCAATTGCATCACAATATGCCAAACACAGAATCACAAACCCCACTATTATGCTCGAATTAATCATTATTCAATTGGCAATCTTCAACTGCAATTTGTCGATTGACCCTCTCGCTCTCGCTCTCTTAATTCTTTCCTGCAATATTTTAATAATGCCAAAATAAATTAATCCACCGTCACAGTGAGGAAAAAGTAGAGAGAGTGAATAACATATGAAACACTGCACTTGAAAAGTCAATTTAAATATTTGATTGCCTTCTCGATTGTTCAGGTGACAAAATTTCCGCCTGATAACTCTCAATTACCGTGATTATTTATAGAATTCACATTCCACTCGTGAAATTGATGAAAAATCATTTGATACTCCGCGAAGCACTTTCCACTTTCCGTTGGCAACTAGTGGCTCTGACTACAGTGTCAGGATTCTGGCTCAACGCCTGCCAGGAGCTTCTCTGGTGATCCCACGGAGTGCGTGAAGCAACTGGTCAATCCACAGACACTTGTTGAAATGTTTTAAGGAAGGACTCAGTCACTGTATCCTTTATATAGGGTGAACGCATTCCCCACCATGATTGTCGAGCGCATGATCTAATGAGGTACAAAGGGGAAGCCAATTTGTCGTTATCACTCTTGGTATCACACGCGCTTCCCTCGCCGCTCAGCCATCTTCCCGTCAAGTGATAACACACGCGGGAGGACGAATTGAGAGATTCTTTCCCACATAAGTTCGACACTCTCTGGAGTCATAATTACAGTGACATCACTTGTGTTTATGACGTCATAAATTCAATCAGAAATGGAGAAATATCCGCAAATGCGATGGTGGTCAACACATGGGTGTGACTTGTATGATTTTCGGGACGTGGATGTTTATCGGTAATCCTCAAGAGTGAGATAAATTCCTGTCAGCGTCTTTATTGCTGTGAAACGGATGGCGTTTGCAGCTATATTTAGAAATTAAGTAGAAACCCAATAAATAAAGCGGGAAATGAGTATTTATTGCAATGTGTTTATACCTTGTGGAATAGATGACATTTTGTAGCCAATTTAATTTGCCATCACCCAGCGTTATAATGCAATTTAAACACCTTGAGTGATGACGCTGAAGTTTTTTTTCTGTCTTGCTTTTGCGGCATGCAGAAGAATCCGAAATATGTACCTATTCTGTTTCATTGAAATACAATCACTGTACAAAATTATATTGCTAATGTGTTCCTTTTGGTGTACAGAAATTCATCAGTGTCATTGTGATTCGTAATCCTTGCTTTCTGGCAATTCAACCTAAGGTGTGCTAAAGGTCAAAAGTCTATCTTTATCCCTTTGACAGATTCGGTTTCACTTTTCACACTCTGTAACATAATAAGTGTATTATTTTGGTGAAAACGTTTCTCATTATATACATCAAATAAAGACCAGTGTTCAACATTATTTCACTTTATTATATCGAGTTATATACTGAACAGTTAATCACTTAAATTGTGCAATTTGTATAACCTCATCAAAAATTTAAATTCTCTCATGCATATTTCCCAAAATAGAAAAAAAACCATTGGCAGTGAATCAAATATGATTGGAAAATCCCACGTTTTTACGCTTTCTCATTACTCATCAACCAACATTTTTAATCCCATTTAATTGCCTGAATATTGCACAAGAGGATTATCCGGTATAATTGAGATTACCTGTATTTTCATGCACATGATTTCAATTTCAAAATTACACGAACATGTGGCAAAATATCATTGAATATTCATATGCAAAGCAAAATATCACTCTTTAAGTGGCAAACAACAATTTATGCTTCTTTGTTATCGGAAGAGATCATAAATTTATGTTTTCCCCGGGGCGGAAACGACAATGGGGAAAACGTGGAGCAAATGTGTGACTTGGGGAGGAAACTTGTGGCCTTATGCGTGTAAGAGGGTGCAACATTTGAGGGAAACGACGTGATAATATTTTGTGCACAAGGAAGCGACTATCTCTTTTCGCTCTGTAAAATTTCCCAGAACGGGATTGTGATTCCTTACCTGGGGATTTGGTCTCATGTGACACCCACTCTTGTGATTCTATCGCCACATTTTCCCAGAATACTGCATTGTGTAAACTGTTTAGTAGTGCAATTGTTGGGAATTATTTTGTACTCGCAATAGGTATTTAATGATAAAATATTTGCTCTATGCTGAAGATAATGCATCCGCAATTGTAGTACCAATTCCGCAATTTCAGGGCACTATCTCGACGTGAATTACAACACTCACTATAGCCAATGTTGAGCTGTAATTCCAGGTACGAGATGATATTGCAAAAAGCGTATAAATTAATTTGCCAATGTTATTAGTACGAGAAATTGTTGTGACAAAGTTCTCACACAACGCATTTAATGTGTTAAGGTAAGTGGCTGCATCAGAGTGTGCATACGATAATCACATTATAAGAGACGCGCGTGCCTCCGGAAATTGATAATAGAGTTGAGGAAATTGCATAGTGAGTGAGAGAAGCAAGTTAAGTTCAATCATAGAGAGCCTTATGTCTTTATTGTGTCCTAATATTTTGATATGTTCAACAGAGATACAACAAAATCTGTCTAAAAATCCATTACAACAGACAATTTCCACTTAATATCAATTCTTTCTCCTAAGAGTTTTCACCAATAATGTTCCATTTACCACCAATGCTAATTGTGATCTCCATTTCTGTGGCTATTATTCTTCCCATAACTTCCACTTATTATTTCATCTGCGAGAGCGTAAAGGTCATCCACATTCTGCAGCAGCGGAATAAAAGGTGAAAGAGTAAACAATATATATTGTTATAGAAATCAGTGATGTGGGATTAATTTGAGTGGCACTCACATCAGTTGCTTTTAGTAGCGTTATAGCTGGATCCTCATACTGTAGATGCTCCAGTGCCTCATCCTTCGTAATGGCTTCCCTTTCGTGCGATGTTCCATTGATTTCAGGTACATTTGTCTCATCCACATCAAATTCCCGGGAACCCATGTCGTCTGTGTCACTGTTGACACCACTCGATAGATCACCGTGGTCATATCTGTCGGTTTCTGAGAATTCATCATCATCATCTCTTCGTCCCCACTGAAAGTGAGGTTGGAAAGTAAATGTTTGATATCCAGTTTGCAAGAAATTTCCAGCTGTTTGCTCTTTCAATCTCAGCTCGTTTGGCTGAATCTCCTTTATCACAACTCAAGATTGTGTCTAAAGTCTCCAAATTTGCATCTCTATCAATATTCATGGACTTAAGAACGCCCACAGTTTGACTCTCACCTTATCAGTTTGTATCTGAATTCTGGTGCTTTGACCGATTTTAGCAAATCTCTCCTCATGTCCAATCATTAACTCCTCTTCGCGCTTCTTTTGCGCCTCAATTTGTCGCTGTCGCTCAAGTTCCAAGTTGGCCAGTCGCTCCTTCTCCCACTTGATGCCCTGCCGAACGAGCCTCTCAGCATTTCTCTCGCGGACAGTCTTCAACTTTAAATTTAGAAGCAATATATTTACAAAAAGGACAAATATTTGTGGGGGATTACTTAGTAATAACTCCCTCACTTTTGCACGCCTTCGAGCCATATCGCTGTGGGTTTGCTTACTAATCAGAACCAAGGGTGGACTTTCTGTGGAATTGGAGTTATTTCCAGCGTAGCCCTCGATTAGGAGATTTCGTGTTCGTTCAACTTCCTTAGCCTGATAAAAACAGAGGGCATAATTATATTTCGCGCCATGATAGTTGATTGTCATATGCAAATGTGGAATCAACAAGTGGCTTTTTCCCATTCCGTATCTAATGACTCAATCATTGATTGAAAGGAAAGAAGAGAGAAAAAGAATGAGATTCCATTAAGGCAAACCTTTAATACAACACCATGAAACCATGAAAATTGAGATATTCATCTAACCCCTTCAGGTATATTTTCCGTTCCGTCTGAGGGGGTGTGCAAAAATCGAAGTGGAATCTAATAAATAAAAATATAGCTGAAAGATTTGGTTGGGGCCACAAATTTACATAATCAATACGCCCAGATATGCTCTTCATATGGCATGGAATATAAATCACAGGGTATAAATATTCTTATTGCTTGATATACATAAATTTGTTTGTACATTTCGAATACATGCTATTTAATGTGCTGTTTTCTCAGAGGATTGGTAAATTTTTTGAAAGAAAAATACTGCTTTGATCGCTCCTAATAATATACTGTTCTTCAAATGTAAGCTAATTTAACCCTTGAAATCTTTCGTGCACATCCTCGCTTACCTCCCTCTGAGCGATACGCTTGTGAAGCACAACATTGTAGTCCTCCTTGATCCTCTTCCGAAGTTCTTGCATATATTTGCGATCCGTGAGTCGAACGACGTTCGTGCCCATGAGTCTTTCCAATTGACTACTCACTCGTGGCAAATTGAAGCTGTGGAAGATAACTTTAATTTCAGCCCTCCATCTCAAATGTCACACAAAGTGTAAATTTCTTTATGAACTCCCCAACTTTTCAGCACAACACAGTGAATGAGAAATACTTCACGGAACTTTTCCTCTGATCATCTCGAACTCAACAAGGGTGTAAAGAGAGAGCATTTAACATTTAACTCATCCTATAAAATATCTCACATTATCACTTCGGCCTTTATTGGGGCGGATGTCAAATGCTTTCCACTGAGAGACGAATATGATAGGAGAAATTTATTTTTGTGTGCTCACAAGCACAATTCTACACGAGAACTGAGTCACGTACTTAAGGAAAGCTTCAAGTCTCACTATACACCTTTGCTCGCAACACCCCAAACATTGTACATATGTATAATTTTGTTGATTTAGCCACGTGATACGGTGATATTCAGACTATGTGGTGAATTTTTTCTCATTTTCCAACACGTGCGGAATGGAATAATTGGCGAAATTGCTTTGGCAGTGCTAAATTGTGGGAAATAAACATTCCTTTATTTTAAATGGTGTCAGAAAAATCATTTGCACTGACACCGTTTCTGTGCATGTTTGGAACTACTTTCAAGTCACCCTGTTCTATTCTTTTAAACCGCCTTTCAATGCAACAGATGGTGAAAAAAAAGAATTTATCCCATAATTAGCCTCAAAAGTTTCTAATGAAAAATCAATGAAGAATTCATATTGCTTCTTCTCGATTCCGGCCTATAAGCTATTCCATTCACAGAAAAGGAAAGCTTTATGCAAATACGCGGAAGGCTCCACAGAACTCATTTGGAAGACATTAAATACTCATTTATGCAAATATCTATGAAGGTCAATGGTTCCTTCCCTCCTTTTTGCCATGTGCAAAGTGTTGTCGAAGCGAAAAGAAGAGCTTCTATTTCTAAATTCATTGTCTTCATAAAATAATGTCATTTCGGCCGTTATACTGTCTTGAGTATTGTTTGTGTCGTTTGTGTCTGATGGTATCGCGATGTTTCATTGAACAGAGAGAGAGAAGGAATCTTGCGTGTGAAGTGAAAGTTAGATTTTTCATGCTTCTCCGCCAGCAGATTAATACAAAATTAGCTTCAGGCACTTTTTTCACATACATATGTATAAAATATAATAAATGTGTGGAAAATGTATTCGTTTCATCACCCCAATGTGACTCTGTAACCTTCATTGGTAGGAGGGTGGGTTATTTCAGCACACGAGAACTTGTAAATATATCAAATTATCAATTTATTGTGCCCGAAAGAGCACTAACTTTCATACTTTCACGCTTTGGAGTCACTGTTTGAGACTCTGTGGGTGTTAAACCTCGAGAGTCTCATGTGCACGTTAATCTTGATGTTTCTTCTTGCCAATGTAGTGTGTGTGGGTCATTTTTTAAAATGAACTGCAGTGCCAAAAGTTCAGCAAAAGACCCTTCTTCACTCCCTTTTGCTCCCTCAGTTCTTCATATCTCGTGTACGTGTCACAAAATTGGGAACTCCCTGAGCGAATGGGAAAAGGGACTTCTCATAATTTCCAAAATGTCCAATAAATACACAATGAATGAAAATATAGCATAAAGCGAAACATGCTTTATAAATCAGTTATATGAGGATCATTTCATGTATTTTATGTATACATGCTCCTTGTGGGATTGTATATGGTTATCTATTGAGTTTATTATTTAGTTGCGTGGTTCCAACCCGTTAGCTCCAATTTCACTTAAAATTGCAAAGAAACGTGTGTGTGCCCTCGGCAGGGGAGGTTTTTTCCAGTATTTTTACTCATGTGGGGAAAATGCGTTCCCTGGGGAAATGCCTTTTGACATTCTCTCACTCAAGAGACACTATAAATGCTAGGAATGCCTAAAGAAAATGTGCACTTGTCGAATAAAACACACCGCAAAATGCGCTGAATTTTCTGTGGGATTCTTGCGAAATTGTTTCGAATTCTGAGAAATGCACCAATTGGAATTTGTGCATTTCATGAAAGCTGATAAGCTTTTGATGATTTGGGTCAATTTCCTATAGGTGAAAAACCATAAAAGACTCCGTGTGCGGCGACTATAAATTCACCTATAGATTTATATTGCCATTTCTCAGCTCTGCGAGTGTTTAGGGCGATAAAAAGGGAACATCATCGCTCACCTGCAGTCCACAATTGGTCCAACAACGAGGCCCTCATCCTCTTGCGATGGTTTCTTCTTTTTTCGCAGCTTTCGCAATTTGTAGTATCTCTTGGCTGTCCGTTTGCCCCGTCCACTGGCCCTGCTTTCTGGCGTCGAGCCGTTGGATTTAACGTGGATTTTCCGTGGTTTCTTCTTCCGTGTGGCCAGAATGGCCGACGTGAGGACTTTCATTGAATGTATTGTTGGATTTTCACCTAAATCCGATGACTCTTGAACTTCCAGCACAGGCTTGCTATCCCGTTTCTTCGGCTCTTCCGGCTCTTGTGGAGAGTTGAGGGAAATCGCCTTCCCGCCCAGCCAATTATCCAAAGCCTCATTCTGACGATCAATGAACAAATCGAGATTCAACCAAAATCCACTATCACCCATTTTGACTGTTCTCCAATTATAATCACGTTGATTGGTGGGCAGAAGAGAGAAAACTCTGGAGGCGAAGTGGATTTGCCGAGGTTTCCACCTTTAAAATGAGAGTGCGATGGTGAAATAATTTCCTTCCCACCGTCGATTCGTACTGGGAATTTATATAAAAAGTTTCCCTAGTGATGATGTTATCAATATATTTGGTGTTGATTGTTGTTTATTACACGCTATATTCGCCACCTTGTGTGTGTTTCATGCACATTTATGGATTCCCATACACTCCATTACATCCCCTGACATGCCGATTTACATCAAAGTCATATTCGTACATTCATCACGTACGTCTTATTGAGTTCTGCCCTCAAAATCTGCCATTGATTTCACTACGAAGCGCGCAATATTCATGAGCTTCATCATCTCTGCACGCTAAGTGTTTGACTTTTATCTGAATGAGCGGAACTTTGTGTACCTGCATAATGTGATTTATCGCCTGAAACGATAAGTTCCATTAAATGCAGCACGGCGGAGACAAAAGAGATTTGTGTCTCTAAAGTCGGTGATTTTCATCGCTACATTTCCCGTGAAATGCTCGAGGAGGACAAAAGAATATTGAGTTTCACTGAGAATCTCAATAGAGAAGAACTGTGTATAGTTGCTAAATTGAGTACATATCGCTTTTCTCCTATTCCATCATCTTCAGCAATACAGTTGAACTGTTGCAAAGTCAAACAATAATGACTCAAGGCGTTTTTCTCTGTAATTTAATCTCAATTTGACAACTGAGATGACGCAGAAGAAAATAAATAAATTAGATTTTTGCAATAAGTTGTCGGATTAAAAATTCATCTAACACATATTGGTCAAATTTTGCAATGCCTGGAAGGAAATACTAAGGAATTTCCATTGAAATATGCACTCTCTGTGAACACGGACTTCCATTAGCTCTATCAAGCATCAACAAATCTCCCACATTATGCAATTCTCTTGGGGAATTTCGTAAGGCAATCTCAAATTGACTGCGGGAGGAAAATAGTTGAGAGACAATCTCGGACAAAGACTGGTAGTTTCCAGATACAAGTTTTTTGTCATTCATTCAACTCACCATTCGTTGTACAATTAGAAGGAATTGACTTCTCTGTCAGACACCCACTTTTCAGCGTATTTCTTTCATTAGAATTCTGTTGAGTAAACATTTTCCTCCCTTTTTAGAAGGCCAAATATTTACTTCAAATCATCCCTAATTATCTATCAACACACATTTGATTTATTTTTGGCGCATACATTATGTAAATACTGTGAATTGCCCTCATGAAATCAATGAGGGACGAAATCACACTGATTTATGCATTTCATGCGGAATTTATCATGCTTCTCGCCAATTATAGACATGGTGTGCATATGGTAAACATAGTGAATGCAAGTTACTCCAGTTGTGAGATACAGAAAACCCACAAGATCAATGTCACATCTCACCAGCAGCTATAAGAGATCCGAGACTCGATATAGCAAGAATTTATTTATGGTGTTTGCAATATAATTACTGGGCGCGCACGGCTAAGAGACAATTCACCATTGGTGTGGTCGTGGACAGGCAAAAATAATTTATCAATTATTAATACATCCGCATTACAGCCGAGGCGTTGAGCCACTGAAAGAACTCTTGGTGTTTGTGACTCAACTCCATTTTTCGTCACTCACCTCAACACTCAGCTGCAAGTGAGCACAATTAAGCCATGCAAATGACATTAGGTGTATCCGTGTCTATCGTACAAGAAGTCACTTGAACCAGCCGCACATGGTGTGCGGACAGCAAGTATATAATTAATTGACAGGGTGACGGAGAATTTGAAGAAAAAAAACACAACTCCTTCGATGGTCCAATTGGCTATTTGGCGACGAGCAATGCGCAATGTAAACAGCTCTGAAAAGCTGCTTCCGCGGTCTTTTTGTGCCGGTCTGATTGAGAAGGCGGATCGCATCAGAGTTGTAAAATTTTATGTCATTCATTGAGCAAACCTTCACTTCTCGATTCATTATCATCTCGTTCTATGTGCCGCAGCTCGACGCGAACGCTGGTGATTGTTGTCGCGACTGTTGTGGCAAGAAAAATCAGTGTGAATCGCCCTGTTTGGACGATAATTTATCACAGGTGTTATTTGGAATGTGCTGAATGAAGAAATTCATACAGGGAGTCAAAAGTGTGGTAGGAAAATTCTCGCTCCGCCGATCGACCTATAAATATGCCGCCTGTCTCAGTGTCAGGCATCAGTCTATTGTCTTACGTTCAGTCTTCAAGAACTCCAAGAAGTCCACTTCAAATCCAATCACCATGAAGGTATGCTTGCATTCCTCGTGAGTGCATCGCGCCGTGTGCTAAAGTGTCCACTCTTTTGCAGTTCATCGTGTGCGCTCTCGTGCTCTTCGCCGTTGCTGCTTCCCAGGCCTCTCTTCTGGCTCATCCCTACGCCTACTCCCACGGAGTGTGGCCCGCTGCCTCCCCCTACTGGGCCGGTGCTCACCTGGCCTACTCTGCTCCTCTCGCCTACGCCGCTCCGGCTCCCATCCTGGCTCACGAAGGCAGCTACGTCGCCGCTAACCGCGGATCCGTCCATGTGGCTCCTCTGCCCGGTCATCTGCACTCCGCCTCGTCCATCAACCTGGCCCCTGCCCCAGGAACCTTGTAAATGCAACCCGCCACTCCACGAGGATGTTCCATCGCCACCGTAAACAGTCAGATAATTTATTTGTGAACTCAACAGAGAAATTGGTAGAGAAAATGTTTTGTGTGGAATTAAAAGACATTTCAAAGTAAATTTGTGACTTTTCCATAATTCAGGAAGTGGTTCTGTCAATGAATCGCGGTGTGGTGTTTAAAAACGACACGACTGAGTATCACATTCATCAGAATCTCTCTGCAGAGCCATTGTGGTCATTAACTACGAGAACCACAACGTGGTTCTAATGCCTACAACAAGCGACTTCCACTTGTATAAAACCTATAAAACGGTTGAAGAACTCAAAAACGGAGGATGTTGTCCTTCTGAAAAAAATCTGCAATACGGAAGACAAGTCCTGAGAGTGAAAGGATGATGCGTGACATTTTCACAAGGAATGATAAAGTCAAGGTGGATGCGATTATGACGAAACTGTTGCATTTCAACCTAGTTTTATTTTAATATCTATAATAACAGTCGCTGTAGTCAATGAGGGTTGAAACATTTGGCGATGTCAATATTGATTAGGACAACTCCATAGAATTGATATAAACTGTATGAAAGGTATGATGGACTCGCTGAAGCTATAAATGCGGCAATTGCTCAACCGCTTAAGTGAGATGCGACAGATATTCTCACCGTAACAATTTTCTAGTGTGAATTCTGGACAAAACCAAAATGAACAACAAAAATTTTTTTCAATATGTAAAATGTATATGACCCACTTAAAAGAGATGCGAAAATAAAAGTAAAAGAAATGCGTATATCCTGTGAAAAGGAAATATATACAATTCTAAAAATATTCGTCCTAGAAAATCTGAAGAATAGTCCTATAAATAGAAAGTAATTGAGCCTGAACACTGCGACATATGGAGTGTTTGTAAATTTATCTTTCTCTTCCTATAAAACCAGAAGGAATTGTAATAATTAATTAGCAATTTCTCTGCTATTCACGCATGAGATTTGCAAGCACACCTTCTGGTGATGCATTTAGAATGCAAATTTATGCACAAACTTCACACTCACTACAATTCACAAAGACATATCATTTGCACATCTATCAATTACCTTATTAAAGGTAATTATCATCAGATTAATTGATCGATCACTCAATGATGGCAATTCCAGTGTATAATTGAAGATAATATTCATTAAGCTGCTGAAAATTGTGCTGTTAAGATTCCAGAAAACAACTCATGACCGCAAATCGCCGGCGAATGTTGATTTATAACTTAGAAAGTGAACTCAAATGTGATTAAATCGATAGCGATAAACAAGAAATTCCCGAAATTTCTTGTTTTTTTCTCATACTTTCATTGCGCCAAGAATGTATTATTCGAACAACGATTAAATATGTATTACGTGATTTTTGCCATTGAACCATTTTTTGTGTTCTTTGGCGACCAGAAGTTGCTCCACTTCCTGCAAGTCCAATAAATTTGTTGGAGACAAAAGAGTCGTTGGGTGAGTTTGACCGTTGCAAATCAAGTTCTTGCTGAAATAATTTATTCAGTAGGTTAATCCATGCGAGAGAAACAGAGAGAGAGATCTTGACAAGCCTCCAAGAATTTCCTGGGCGAGTTTTGATTGCTTTTACACCAAATATTTTACAATTGTGTCAGTGTGAAATTTCATGTGCTAAATCGTTTAGCAATGCAGATGGGAAGCACTTTATATGGATTGCAGTCTGGGGCAATATTTAACCTATCGATTGGTGGAGTGAAGAATAACTGTTTGGGCCTGTTTAGATAATTATGACGAGATTTGCTGGCCAATTTCACTGCATCTCCTCCCCAAACCATCCAATTTCAGTGGCATTTCGTGAGTGGTGAAGGATGAATGTGCGACTAGTGTTGATTCTCTTGCACTTTTTTGCAGCATCACGGGCATTTTCCGTGCATGACAATGCAGCGCGTGAATTGGGAGACTTCTCTGTCGAGGATTCTCAGAATGAGATTGATATTGATAGTGAGGATGAAAAGCAGTTTTCCGTTTCGTTTCTCAATGTGAATTTCAACTGCAAGAACATCATCATCGAGACGGAGTTTAATCTCTTGATGCTGCAAGAGAATCATCTTTATGTTATAAACACAAATGATAGTGAAAGTTCTCTGGCCAAACTGGCCACTCTTGGAGATTTCGCTGCTCCGCCGCTGGATGCAAAGGTGAATTTTGCCACACCCTGTGATACAAATAATTGCTACTTTAATAATTCGCTCTTCAGGCTTCCTTCTGGACTGATGACAAAATAATCATCGTACTGGCGTTCCCCACCCACTACAATGTCTACAAAGTGGCCTTGGACAGATCTGGCGCAAACTTCTTGCCACCCATTCAGAAAATTAGCATAATTGAGGAGATTCCCGTGAAAATTGCCCTGTATCACCGGCGTGAGGAGCTCTTCTGTCTGCTCGTGACCAAAATAAGCGAATATCGGGGAATTTTGAGGTGAGACGCCAGAGTAGTGTGACGAATTTCTCATTAATATTTATATGTTGCCACCCACTCAACCCCTCAGATTGTTCACTTGGCACCTAATGCACTTCAAGGAAGTAGTTCATCAATATGTTTCCGGGATGACTAATGTGTTGCACACTAATTGGCATGATAATGAGCGTGCTGCCATTGCGACGGTCCATCGTGGGCGGGAAAAGGTGGAGATTCACCTGCTGGACGGATACAATCTCAGCCAATTCCAGACCCTCCACGCTCACGGGCAATTCGTGCGGTTCGTCAAGACGTCAGACAACAGCTCTCTACTCATCTGCTCATTATCTCACCACTGTGACATTTATCAGTGGATGGAGAGACGCTTCAATCACTGGCGGCGTGTTAATTTGTCCGGTGATTTCCATGATTTTCACACTGGGCACAATGTGATAATTTATCGATTTAATCACACACTATTTGTGAGCAATCGCGTGGATTTAATGCCAATTCGATCAATTAATTGTACCACAGCACGAATTTATTTGCACAAAGTGCACGACAGCGCTACAATTTGGGCTGTGTCGGTCTTCCTGGAGCCGCCACACACGAGACTCAATTTCATTAAAATCACCCAAGTGGGTGGCAATGAGGACAGCGAGCAGCCATCCGGGCGACACCTGGATGAGATTCAATCATTCACGAGATTCCTCGGTTGTGCTAATCAACTGAAGAGACAATTTGGCGCAATTTATGGGAGCATCACGAAAATGTCAGCACTCAATCAGCTAATTTTGCGCCAAGACAGACCAGTCGAGCTCTCCGGGAAGTTGACTGTGAGTAATGTTACTAGAGTGAGAGAGAATGTTACTATTGAACTGGCAAAAGTACCAATGAATATTTCACAAACACCCACGGAACTACTGAAAAATGTGGCTCATCTCAATGCACACAAATTGAAACTGGAGACAAATAGTGGGAGTTCCCTGGAAAATTCGAATCGACTACGCAGAGATGATGGCAACCAAACTAGGACGAATGGTGAAAAATTGACTTCAATCAATGCCGAAAGAATTCGCGTAAGAAATTTGCGAACAAACAGTGATAAATGGACAAAAGTTCTTTTGAAAAGATCGTCCAGTGCCCAAAATGTCACCATAACTGCACTGAAGAGCCTCCGCGTGGCAAATGCATATGTATCTGGCACCGTCAATGGAATTCACATGGAGCAAGTTCTCCACAACAGTTCTCATTCACTCCTGCAGAACAAGACCATCCACAATGCTAGCTACAAGAACTTAATCGTGAAGAATTCCATCAATTCCATTCACATTGACGACTTCTTAGGCCAGTTCGCCAAGGGACGCAGTCTTCATTCATCCGGTTTACATGTTGATCAAGTGATTGTGGAGAAAATTCAGGGGATGGACTTCGATTCATTCTATCACTCCCTCTTTTTGCGTAATTCCTCTCGTGAGATTGATGGAAATTTAACTTTCCACAATGTGACCACAGTGAAAGACGCGAAGGCGGAAACCATCAACAGTAAAGCCACAGACAACCTTGTGTCGCTGCACACAAATCAAATCATCAATTCCACCATTCGCATCAATCAATTCCGGGTGGAGCACTTTGAGGTTGACACAGTGAACGGCATTGAATTCAGTGAGAAGAATTTGGCACTCATCGGAAAGGATAATCATCTCGAAGGTAGGAGACTCTAATGTGGGTGTATTTGAGCCCGAACAGGCGTATTAGTGGTGGATTTCCCTAAGGAGCTTTCGCAAAATTGAATTGCAAATTCCACAATGCAAATTAAATGTCACAAATCAATTTATACAGGGGAAGAAAAGGCTACTCAAGACATCACATACAGAAGTGAAAATTTGTTTAGGACACCCCAGAAATTTAGGCCAATTTTCCTTTCAGTGCTAAAAGTTCGATATTTCTTATCGAATTATATGTAGATAATTCTTATTGAGAAATTAAAATTCATTGATCAATGAAAATAGTCCTAAAATTAGATGTCCAAAATTAATAACCGCTACTGTACATTCAACTTTCATAGATTGAGAAGCAATATCGCAAGCAGTGATTTGCTTTCAAATAAAAAATCAGGAAAGCCTCTTTCGAAGAAATGATTCAAGAGAGATTTTGTAAATATCATAAAATATGCATGTGACTTATTTGGTAGAAGGTCTTTGATTTTTCATTGAAAAATGAAGGCAAAATGTTATATCTACTGCTAAAACTATTCTCCGTAATGCTAATTATCTACTGATTACTCAAATGGATTTGAATATCAATTGAAAATGCTTGGTCGAGTTCTGTGAACTTCCAAAGATAGACTCTGATGATTTCTCGACTGAACAAGGTCCACTTGTTCACATATTTATTATTGACGAGAATATATCGACAAATTCTGCCAAATGTGTTCAGGTAGTTGAAAATATTGAACATATACTCTCTGATTTTTCATCGAATCTCCCCTTCTGGCGTTTTCATTACATTGAAAGGGAGACTTTTCATATAATCTGAATATTGAACATGTTTATCAACAACCCACTCACGCATTCCCCGCCCGCGTTTCAGGTCCAATTCAGCTGTACGACTTGTATGCGAGGGATTTGGTGCTTTCGGAGGGCGATGAGGAGAGCCCAGATCGAATTATTGGGACACATATTGATGACTTATCTCAAGTGTATATGGGTCAAGTGACGCTAAAGGGAAATCTTCACGTTGGCACACTCAGAGTTGCCAGCAAAAATAACTTCTTCGTCGACCAACCCTTCAACTTGTCCAGCCTCGGGGACTTTTGGGATGTAAGAACGAATCAGGATTTTAGCGGCAATGTGATTTTCTCCGGCAACATCACAACACCCCAACTTCAAGTTGACTTTGTGAATCAACACGCAGCCAGAGATTTTCTCACGACACGCCAAGAAAGAGTGGGCAACATCACGCTCTTTCTCACTTCAGCTCATGTGGCGGGAAGTGTTGAGATGGACGAAAGTGGCCAGACATTGGCCAACATAGTCAGTGAGTCCGTCGTGCGTGTCAATGAGAGAACAGTTGTGAAAGGCGTGAAGAACTTCACGGGTCGCATTCACGTGGGGAATCTCATCACGACTCACCTTAATGATGACCTCATTGCAAAAGTGGTGTTGAGAAATTTCTCTCGGATGGAATTTCCCAGTCCGAAACACTTTTCCCACCTGCATTTGGCAGAAAATCTCATTGTGGGGGCAAAAAATGTGAATATCAATAGTGTTCTGGCGAGTGACCTTCGTGAATTGATTGAATCGTGTGTGATGATCGATGAGGCTCAAAATATCACCTTCGTGCAGGCAAATGAAATCCAATCACGAGACATTGAAGTGGAAAAGCTGAATACTGTGCCATTCAGCAAATCAATAAGCGATATTGAGAAGATGAAAATCCACGTGGAAATTCAGGGGAATGTCACATTCCGCAGGAATGCACGGCTCAGCTACGTGAATGGGGTCAATCTGGAAGCATTTCTGCCTCTGGTGGCTCACAAGTCGAAAGCTCTGCAAGTTGGAGGGACGAAGAACTTCACAGGCGACGTCAAGATACTCAAGGAGTTCACAGCGGGTGCAATAAATGGTCACAGTGTGGAGAATTGGCTGAGAAATGCCCTGGTCAATGGCACGAATCAGACTGTGAAGGAGAAATGGACGGTGGGACACCTGAAAGCTCCCAAAATCAATGTGGATACCATAAATGGGGTCAGAGTGAAACACCTGATGGACTCCGAGGGAAGTGTGCACTTCGACGAGGACCTGCATGTGGAGGAAATGACGGTGAATGGTGGCGACGTGTTCGGCAGAATTGACATTGACTTCGACCAAATTGTCGAATTGCTCAAGATGCCCAACATCAGAGCGTGGAGTGAGCTTCGTGTCGAGAGGGATGCTCACTGGCCTCTCATCGGCAGTCTCTCGCCCCTCACTGAAATCCTCACAAACGCCCTGCATGCTCATGAAGAGCAGGAAATTGGCGGAGAAGTGCACTTCACGAGTGCTTCAGTGGACAATCTCACAGCCCGTATGAGACTCAACGATGTGTCCGTGGAGACCCTGTCTCGAGACTCAGTGCGACGGACGTCGAGCAGCCAAAAGATTACCGGCCACAAACACTTCCTTCAACCGATTGGGGTGCGAAATCTCATTGCGAAGGACTACCTTAATGTGCCAATTATAAACAATATAGACATACTTAAGCTCAATGCCACAATGCTGAGACGCAGCGAGAAGAGCATTTGCATTGAAGATTCCTGGACATTCAGGTGAGAATTCAATATAAAACAAACATCAAATAAATTGTATTACTAAATTATCCCTTGTTTATTCCCAGGAATATATTGAAGGTGAATGATTTGATGGTGCACAAGAGAATCAATAATGTCTTGCCTGAAGATCTCGCCACAGCCCTTGAACGCCACGATAAATATCTTCCAGCCACATTTTTCAACAATCTTACCATTGTGGGAAATTTAACTGTGACCTTTGTGGACAGAATGCCACTGGATCATCTCATTAACGAACGAGTGAAGAAGAGGGCAGAGAAGAATCAAGATTTGAAGGGCTTAATTACATTTAAGGATGTGATTTTAGCTGACTATGCCGACGTTTACTCCATCAATGGCATACAAATCAATTCTCTCTTCCTCAAGAGAGCCTCTCACGTGCAAGATGTCACCGGAGAGAAGGTGTGCCTGGGAAATTTACGACTTCTTGGGCCCTCAAGTGTCTCATATCTAAATAGTCGAGACATCGTGGAGATGCATCACAATTCTCTGTTTTTGAATAAGGATCACAGTGTAGATGATTACGGATTCGAGAGAGTTCACCTGAAGAATGCCCTGAAGGTGAAGGAATCCCTCAATGGAATTCACCTGGACACAATCAATTACATGGGAAACTCGAGTCATAAAATGAAAGACATTGAGGAGGAGATTCAGAGAATAATTCAAAATATTCCCGATGGATCGACATTTGTGGTGGCAAAGAAGAAACGCTTCGTCTACTTTGACTACGTGAACTCCACGGCCTCGATGGCGGGATTGAGCCCCAGAGTGGTTCGTTCTGTGAATATTGATGTGGATTTCGGCGGGGTGAACCTGACTGAGTGGCTCTGCTCGCGACGGTACAGTGTGAAAATGCTCGAGGATAGTAACATGGTGATTCGCCGTGTGGAAAGTGTGTCAAAAGGCAGCCAAAGGGCATGGAGTGGCGTGGAAATGGCAGCTGGGAATCACGTACAAAATTGCATTTCACGGCTTGAGACAGGCGAGAACACCACAATCACATTCACCGTGAGACACGCTGGAAGGGTGGCGAAAATTGAGAAAATATACCAAGGCGGACTCTCTTACATGGCCTTTCTCAAGATCAAGACGACCAGCAACGGAGTGCTGGCCATTGTCGCCACAATCCGCGGGAATGTGACACGAATCCAGCTCGAGAGAGTGAATAGAGACACCCCAGCTGTCTCCACGCTCCACACAATATCACTTTCTGCTGAAAACACCTCAATTCACGTGATGAAAGCCAAGGAGCACGTGCATCTAATCGTGGGCGTGCCCAAGAACACCCTCGATAATTCAATTTTGGTGTACAAACTGACGAAGAATGCCACAGAATTTTCACACAGCCACAGCATTGGCGGGAATTACGGCATGATCAGGTGCAATGATGCTCTTGGCATGATTATCCTGGGCAACAGAGGAAGCCATTTTGTGAATATCTACAAATTGGATGACGAAAGTGGCGAGTTTAAACTTTTCCAGAGCATCAAATTGCAATCAACTCCTCGTCTGCTCAACACATTCGCCGTGGCGGAAAATCAATTTTTCGTTATCACACTGGAAAATGATAATTTTCTCATCTACAAGTACAACTACATTGAAGTAAGTACACAAACTTTCCAATTTTTCTTGCTGGCAAATTTAAGGGAAAACAAATAGAATCGCGGAAATTCGATGAACTCTGGCCAATAATTAGTATTCAATCCCATCATGTTAATTTTCAATGCGAAATTTCTGCTAATAATATCCTTAGATGGACGAATCTTTGGAACATTTTGAAAAGCATCTGCTTGAGGGTGAATTTTATGCTTGAAAAATTTCACCGTCAACATAGAGATTAATTGAGAAATAATTTGAAAACCGTGAAAAACAAAAACAATGCTTTCATCAATTGGAATTTAAATCCTAGACGAGATTTTCAACTTCATCCTTAACTAAGTCCTATACTCACTCGTCTGCAGCTCATTATTATATCAATTTAATAATTCTGTACTCTTTCGTTTCAATAAGAAATTGCTGAAATTGTATTGTTTGACTGTCCAAAATTCCTTCTTCATCATACAAATTTATGCAGTTTTGATGTTGTGAGAAATTTGTGCTATTTTTCTTTGAAACACAGAACATTTCCATTATATTCTCACATTTATTTGTGAGTAGGTAATTAAGTGAAAAACTATTTGTCCTACTCAGTCATATGGAAATACATTCTATTTGGAATGTGAATCGGAATTTAGAGAGCGTTAAAACAAATGTAATTGTAGAGGTAATTTTAGAGTTTAATGAATAGACTGATTATTATGGCTAATGAAATGATTGCAAGATATGCGAGAGTGATGAGTGAATAAATCAGAGAATCTAAGCTTCCTCTTCCCGCAATTCCATGGCATTTCACACACAAAACATGGCAAAAATCGAGGCTAATTGGTGGTAATTGGCAATTCCAGGGCTGGGTCCTTATCTGTGTCAATCAATATCCAAATATTGAATCAGTGACACCCTTCAGCTTGGCCAACGAGGGATACTTGCTGGCGATCGCCGCCGATTCAGCCAGAGTCATCGCCCTCTTCACACAAACGGAGGATTAACCAATTTTCCACACGCATTATGTCTACACATTATAATTTATTTATTGCACTATAGTTTCCATTTAGTGTTTTCTGCACATATTGTTGCCTGTTGTCCATCTGTCGTATTCATCAATAAAGCATAAGTTTAACTGATTTGATTTCTTTTGTCATTTCATCTAACTTCCATATAGATTTCACACAATAAATAACAAGGTAAATATATCTTGGAATGCATTCTCCTGATAACTTCCACCTGGCTTTGCACTAATATATCATAATATTATCTCTGATAAATCTTTTTTTTTTTCAATAATTATTCGCTAGTGAGTAACTTTCTGGGCGCGTCGTCTCTCCACAATCTACGGGTTTTGGTTGCTGGGTCGTGCCGGAAGGGGTGGTGGGATGCCTGACCTACCTGGGATCGGGGGCGGTGCATTGCGACGCATTGGCAAGGGTGGCGGAGCTCCAGCTGGCGGCACACTCTTCACTGGACTGTGAGTGGGCGTCGAATCGAGATCGTAGACATCGTTAGCCTGTGGCGGCAATACTGGTGCTGGTTCCCGAGGCTTCGGGATGTCCTGAAAAGGGTACAGAAAGTGAATAAGAAGTCGCCTTAATGCAGATTACGCACTAAATACTTACAATATCATCGTTGATCTCCTCATAAATAGCCCCTGTGTCCGCCGGCGGCGATGATTGCGGCACTGGTGACTCACTCGGCACTACCGGAGGCGGTGGCGGTCGAGTTGGGTGCATTCCAGCCGGTGGCGGTGGAACGACAGGCTTCGCCTTGCCCAGAATATCAGCCGTAACACTAATCACGCCGGCTCTCGAGGGCAGATGCTTGGGCGAAGCCTGCGGAGACTTCGGCAGAGGAGGTCGCGATGGCGGCGGTGGCTTAGCAGGCACTCCCGGAGCAGAAGGTGGACGCATTGGTACTTCAGGAATGCCCAAGCAATTGTAGTCAGGCGTGACAGAGTTGGTCAGACTGCTGTCACAGAATGGCACGGTGTTTGGTGAGCAGATGGCAATCTCTCGCTCCACCAGAGATAGCCAATTGTCCGTCTTGAGTTTCAGCAGCAGCTCCACGCCACAGATCTGCAATCGCTCTTTACTAGCCGCCGTGAGGGCAGACTGACCGTCCCGGAAAGTCACCCACATTGTCTCCCTGACATATCGCACGAGAGTCACTTCACCGATTTCCGCCAGCTCCTGAATCAGCGCCGTCATAATGTTCTCATCATAAATACTCCCCTCGCCCTTCTCATCATCGCCCGCGTCTTCTGTCTGCACCACAATGGTGGCATCCGGTGGTCCCAAATCGGACATCACCTCCTGGAACACCTGCTGACGGCAATTCACATCAATCTCCGACACTTCGATGTCAATGATAGCAATCACGGGCCGATGATCACTCTGCTTTAACTCCGATCGACCATAGTGGATCAGTTGGCCATTTGTCCAGTTTGGCGACTTATCAGCGTCCGGATGTGGCTTGCGACGCTTCCACAGAACACGATCTGTCCACGCCGGAGCGCGACACTTCTCACTAGTGTCATAATCATCGCTAAACAGATCATACTTATACGTGGGTGGGAATGTAATTTCCCCTTCGAGAAACTCCCCAAACACATTTCCCGCCTCTTGTTGCTTTCGCAGTTGATCATTCTCCAGCACAGGCTCCAGTTGTCCCTGCTGCACGTACTCCTTGATCTCCTCCTTATCCATATCTATTCGGTAATTGAAGTCGCCGCACCAGAAGACGTAATCGTGAGATTTGAGAGATCTGCCCATTGGGAAAGCAATCTTCCTGGTAATTTCTGCATAGTCGGCATTCCTCTCAGTCACTTGACTTTGGCCAGCTGCAAAGTGAGCACACACGAAGCAAATGGAAGTGCCGTGAATTACGAATCTTATGGCTGCAGCACCCTTATTGCCCGTCGCACCACCCAGTCCAGTCTTCACCGAATCCACCGCCACATCTCTGATGTACTGTGCCTGCTCCGGGCGCACAAACACAAACAGACACACGCCAACCAGCTGTTGACTCGTGAGGAGAACATAAGGATTCTCGCGACTCATCACACGCTGCAATTCCTCAGCCCATGCCTTGGCATTGTCCGAACTGGCGGCCACAATATTGCTGGCATTGAGATCCACAATCTCCTGGAAGCCCACCGCAAACACATCTATGGGCATCGCCTCCTCATCCGGCGAAATATCCTGACTCACATCCACCAGCGATTTTGTGCGCGCCAAAATGTGCGAATCGAGCAGCCAATCAGCCAACGAGACATCCTTGTACACCACCGAGCGGAAGTGCTTGCCGCCATTTACATTGTACGTTCCCACGGCGATTCGCAGAGGTCTCGGTCGGACGTACTCCGAGTATCGCTTGCACATCTCCCGCAGGACAGGCGTCGGAGCGTGCAGCATATTCGAGGGCAGCAGAATTCGCGCCCTATCCGCCAATTCAGACGACAGCGTCGAGCCCACAATGAGAATATCGATGGCCTCCTGCTTGGAATTGTCCAGGAGATTGTTTTGAATGGTTCTGGCCGCACTTCGAGCGCCATCCATGAGCTTCGATCCACCCTGAATTGCTCCCGTTCCGGCATAAATCTTGCTCACTTCGTTGCCATTGTTGATCCACATTTGCTTAAACACCTCCTCAAATCGTCCCATCATCTGCTTCTTGTCCGCCAATCCCAAAAGGGCAATCTGCTCACTCAGCACATCCAGGCCAAAGTATGTCTGCACACAGTTTGTGCGATCCAGACAATCCAAGCAATTCGTCCTGATCACGCCGCGTTGCTCTCGCATCACCTGATCATCCGCAATGAAGAACAGCCCGAATGGGGCACAAAGACTCTCCAGGCGACTCTTTAACTTCGCGAGGGCTGACATATTCCCACCACGGCACTCCTGATGGTAATCGTAGACAATGTGAGGAACATCCATGTTGTCTGACTCCTTATGATGACGTTGAAATTCATTGCTCAGCATTGCCTCACCCTCTTTGCTCCCAATCAGACTCGTGCCCAGGAGATTCACGATTGCGTAAGCGTTGTAGAGATTCCTCATCATGCTCATGTGCCGATCAAAGGCGACTCTTGAGGCCTCAAAGCCGCGAGAGAGTTTCACCTTGTGTGAGCCCACTTGGACGCCCGGCTGCTCCCAGAACAGCGGCACAGAACCTCGCGTCTGCACGTAGGATGTCACGTCGTTGTCCAGATAGATCACTTGCTCTGTCTCCACAAAATTCGCCACGTGTCCCTCGTCATTCGTGCCCCTCACGTTGAATCTCGTGCCCGCTCGCTCGCAGCTCAGTCGCGAGATGATGGCAGCTCGCGCCTGGCGACTTCCCGCGTACACCGTCCTGATCTCCACGGAGCCACAGACAGCCCTCAGCAGCCAGAAGTCGCAGTCCACGCTGTACCGCATCAAGTGAATGTGCAGCATTCGATTCCAGAAAAATCGATTGTCGGTCTCCGTTGTGCGGCGCTTTCGCTGGGCGCAGATGGTTATGTCGAAGATCTGCTGCTTCACCGGCGATGTGCTCCATGCAAAGTAGAAAGTGCCCGAATTGAGGAGCTTCCGCACCTCAGAGATCTTCTCCTCACTCAGCACTTGATGCTGCAGCGAGACAAATTGCGTCTGAGTGATGCGAAACACCTCAGCGTCCGCAATCTTGCCCACACTTATGCATCCCGTCACCAGAACGAGGAACAGCACCGAAGTCTCGCCGGCATTGAGCTGCAGAACGCCTAGGCATCCGTAGGCGTCCGCAATCTTCACATATTGCCGCCTTATTGCGTCTGTCTCCTGGGCGGCTGGAAAGAGAAAAAAGTACACAGCACATCAGTTAATCACCTTTTACAGTCCTTTACAACTCTAATGGGCTCTAATATAGAGAATGGTTTGATATCAACACAATTATCAGGCGGTTTGAGATAAGGTTTTACAATATAATGGATATTTAAGCTTCAGCAAATTCTGCTGAGTAAATGCAATATGAATAATGCAGACAGAGCAAAGAGCTGAGTAGCGGGATTTCACATCAAACAAAACCATGGGAAAGAGACTTAATGATTCCGGGAAAGTCGAGACCTCGAGCGAAAGTGAATGGGCGTCTTTCACGCTAAACTGCCCACAAAGTCCGCCGCTCAAGCATAAATTCTCGTGTGCATCGCTGTTATGTAAGGCGAGGGTGGGGGCGCTTCAACGCCCCCAAATTCTCTATCAAAACACAGCCCGGGAAGACGCGCAATACTCACAGAGAACAGCCACGGCCTGGGACTCAAACAGGAGAGTCTCGGATTTGTTGCGATGCTCAAGGATGACACTGTGCGGACTCGGGGGTTGTTTTTTCTCCAGCACACGGAAACCCTTTGACATTGCCATCTTGCTTTTTGCTTCGCAACTTCCTCACGCGCGCACAAACTCCACAAGATCGCTTCTGCTGCCTCTCACTGGTCTTCTGATTGCGCTCTTCTTTCACTTTCTATTGCACATTTGACTGGAAATTCTGCACTCTCGGCGGAGCCACAATATTATCTTCTTTACTCTCCACGGCCAAACAAAAAACTCTCCGGACTAGAGGTGAGCGCCGAGTGGATTTCAAAGGGCGCCTTCGCGGTGGGGAGAAAGTGTGGTGAAAATTTAAGGTGAGTTGCATAACCTCAAAAAACTTTCAGTGGTTTCATCGCAGTTCTGAAGAAGATTTCAGAGAGTCAATTTGTGGGTGTAAAATGTCTAAGCCGGTGAAATATTACTACGACTTGCTATCTCAGCCATCGCGGGCGATGCTGATATTTCTCAAGGTGGCCAAAATTCCCTTTGAGAGCGCCCCAGTAGCCCTGCGGAAGGCCGAACACCTCACCGAAGAGTTCAAAACAGAAGTCAATCGCTTCCAGAAAGTGCCCTGCATCAATGATAACGGCTTCAAGTTATCAGAAAGTGTGGCAATTGTGAGGTACATCAGTTGACCTGGGGTCACAGACAGGAATAACTCATGGAACTCTTGTAGATATCTCGCGAGCAAGCACAACATCCCGGACAATTGGTACCCGACAGATGCGAAGAAACAGGCGCAGGTTGATGAGTATCTCGAGTGGCAGCACAACAACACTCGGATCAGTTGCGCTCTGTACTTCCAACTCCTCTGGCTGAAGCCCCTGATGACCGGCAAGAAGCCCACGCCGGAAGCTGTTGCTGAGCATCAGAAGCGAGTTGAGGACACTCTCAATGTCATCGAGAATGTTTGGCTGGCGAAAACACCCTTCCTGGCCGGCAATGAAGTCACGGTGGCGGACATCTGGGCTGCATGTGAGATCGAGCAACTCATCCTCACGCCCTATGACTTCCGCAAAGGACGTCCCAGGCTCTCGGCCTGGATGGACAAGGTGCGCGCCGCCACCAATCCGCACTACGATGAGGCCCATCAGATTCTCAAGAGAATCTCCGAGAAGACTGCGAAGCTGTGAGCAGAGCTCTAAGAGCCTGTTAATCCCCGGTTGAGGTGCAAATACAATTCATTTATCTGTGGGAAAAATGCTTGACCTTTGAACACATTGTTTACTGCCTCCGCGTGAATCGCAGATTAGCGTTTCCTGGCCACACTTCGAGATGGCACCACGCATTTGGGTATCTTTTGAATGGCAACGAAAAAAGTGTGTACTTTTCCAGCATTTTCTCACCAATTATTTACACTAAAAATGGTTTTACATTGACAAAACGAAAGAATGCTACATTTTTTAGTGCTTTAAAGGATTTTAAGAATTAAAATAAACTTATGCTCCGTAAAAGACATACGAAAATGAATGTGTGAGGATGCGCTTGCCAGGCTTTCCCAGGATGTGGATGAATCTCGGGACGCGACATCACTGGCTCCTGATGGAGAGGATTCGATTTGAGGCGGAAGTCGCTGTAATACTCTCGCATAGGCTTCAGGCACTTTGGCTCAGCAACAATCTGTCGCTGGATGGAAACACTCTCAGTTGTGCTCCATTTCCACCTCCTCCCGCTTCACCTCGGCGGACTCCACATCCTCCCTGGCGCCCAGTGTGGCCTGTCGCCTCGGCTGGAGTCGCTTCGAGTCGAACTGAATGAGCGAAGTGGCTCCCGGCGACTCCTCCCTGAAGTCCGGCACTCCCGGATTCAACTTGTACTTCTTCTTCTGCAGCCGATCCGCATTGGCAAACACATCGTGCCGCTCTGTCTTCTTCCACAAATAGTAGAACTCAATCAACTCTGGCACTTGCCGATGCGGCAGGAAATCCTCGTGAATGCTGCGAAACACCTTTCCGTGCGCGCGGATGCCTTCCTCGAACAGCCGGCACTCCTCCTCCGACCACGGGCGGCTCGCCGTGGGTGACACACTCGTCTGGAGGTTGCTGAGAGCATTCTCGGGATCGTATTTGGCGTGCAGGAGTGAATAGAGCGCTGCTTCGCTGTCACGCAAGTGAATCCCACGCGGCAGAGCGGCCAAATCCATGCCATTCTCATCACCCTCGGCATGGCTCTGCCTCTGGCCCGCTTCGGTGTCCGCGGCCCGCTTCAGGAAGCCCTCCACCGCCTCCGGCGACACCGGTGTGGGATCCCACAACAACTTGTCCTCATCAGGAAGGTTATCTGCGTCATACGGCGTGAGCCCCTCGGGAATTGTGGCCTGCCACTTCGCTCCAACCATGACAATCTGACAGTGGCCCAGCAGGAAATCCTTCTGCGCCGAGTCATCATCCCCCAGAGACTCCTCGTCGTCATCACAGTCTTTTCTCGTGGCGCCACTTGAATCCGGCATCTCAGGATAGAGCTTCCTGAGCGCAGACTGTGCTTCCTCCTCCTCCTCCTCGCTAGAAATCGACGCCACGTCACTCTCCGCTTCCGAGCCAGACCGTGAGTACTGGCAATTGTACATCTTCAGCACCTCATCCAGAGGCATCTCGGACTCCATCTGCAGCGTGGACAGCTCGGCGTTCGGATCCTCAGACTCCGCCTTGGCCAGCTCCTCCTCCTCTTCGAGGGTGCGCTCATCATCAAAATCGTGCACCATCATGTCCACGTCCAACTCGAACGTTGCGTCCGGAAGGATCTCTTCAGGCGCTCCAGAACCGCGCGCAGTTGTTCTCGCCGGGCCACTGGTGCGCCTCAGTTTCACACCGGCGGCGGACGGAGAGGAGCGGCGGCGTCGCGATGGTGCCCTGACTTGGGGCGGAGGCTCCAGTGTCCGCACTTCCGGCGGCTCCTCAGCGGTGGCTGTTTTGTCGTGCTCCATTGCACTCGAATCCATAAATGCGCACTTTACCCTGGGCGTAGCGCTCAAGAGATCATCTGACACTACACCAGTGATTGAGGGTTCACCCTTGGGGATTTTCCGCGGCGAAAAGGCGTGAAAAACACACGGAAAATTTTGTTTAGAGACAACTTTTTACGCGCACGATCGCCGTCCGCTGTCAAACTGCGAGCGCGTCTCCATCAGTGCGAGCGAGACAACCATACAGATATTCACCGCTGTGGTGAAATCGTGGTGTTGGACTCTCCTAACCTCACTCTCTGCAAGAATCCTCCTGGGAAGATTTTCTCAAGAAAACAACAAATTTCTCAGCAATCGTCCGACCATGGCTGCTCAGGTGCCGCTAGATTCCCTTGACAAGGACCAACTGAAGACGGTAGGGTAGCAATCACCAGTGGAAATCACTCATAACGCGTGTTGTTGTAGTTTTCAGACTTCCTCATGTCGTACAACAAACTCTCAGAGATGTGCTTCATAGACTGCGTCTCGAACTTCACGGACAGAACAGTGAGAAATGAAGAGGTGCGTACACTTAGAGATTTATTAAAAAGTCTGTCCTCCCGAATGATCAATCACATTTGTAGGAGCGATGTGCCCTAAACTGCATGGAGAAGTACCTGAAGATGAATCAGAGGGTCTCACAGCGCTTCCAGGAGTACCAGATGATCGCCAATGAGAATGCCCTCGCGATGGTGCAGAAAAGCGGGCAGTTACCAGGCTAGTAGTTCTCCGGGAGAGCGTTAATGGAAATAAAATAGTTAAGGATTAAGGACAGTTCGTCGGCTCTTAGTGTTCCCTGTCGCGATAGCTGCTCGGCGCTGTGTTCGCTCCGAAGGGATCCAGGAAGCCCTCAGACTCAGAGATGAGTGCATGCTCGAGAATCACTCTCCCCTCCTTGTACTTCTGGGAGTCTTCTGTGGCAAACTCGTACATCCATCCCAGCTTCGCCTTGCAGTTCTTGCACAGCACGTCCCTCACCATGTGTCGACCTGTGAGCATCACACGCTCCTGGACATTGCTGAATGTGAGATTCACGACTTTCTTGAACAAATAGGCGCGACCTTGAAAGAAGAGAAAGCACAGAAAATTAGATTGATGAGTCTTTCTTCTACCCGGACACACTTACCCGTCGCTCCAGTGAATCTCGTGCTGATCAGCTCGCTCTTGTTGGTCAGATTTGTGTCGCAGGACGCGCACGAGTACAGCTTCGTGCCGCCAATATGGTCTAGAAAGATTCTGCCCATGATTTTTGGAGGATAATTCCTTTTTCACGCGTTTCTTCACTGATTTCTTTGTGCGAAAACAAACGTCAGCTGATGCAGTTCGCGAATCGTCCGTCGCAGCAGTACTGGCGCACTTCTCCGTGCAAGAGAGGGAAAATTTGAATTCAAATTGCCAAACTTAACCCAACGAGCCGAAGACTAATTTTTCATCACTTTTCCTGCTCTTTTCCGCTAAATATTGTACTTCTTCTGACAAAAACTCAGTAAGAAAACTTGAATGTCTAACTTCTATGCACTTCACTAAATCCGGTTCAAATCACTAACTCTTGAGTGGATTTGCACGGCGCCATTTATACAATACACTTGAGTGTTGTACTCATGAAGTATATTATTGAAATGGAATGGTTTTTTATATAATGCGAAATCTATGCATTTAAGTGCACAACAATACTTTAACTGATCTACATCTAAGTTTGCTAGTGAATCAACCAAAAAGCTAAAACTTTTGCGGACTATAGCACAAAAATCAACTATATCAATATGCTGAGTCTCAACTTTTGAGACTCAGCATATTGTGCTCGTTGGGAAAGAAAACACGTTTAATTTCCTACTATTTATGTATTTTTCTCATTTCTTTCAATATTGTATAATATTCATCACAACAATGACATAGTATAACACATAATTACTTTTCTAGAGAATATTTCAATGACTTGTCACTTGTCCACTTTTCATCATCAAAAATGGCAATATGTACATCATTTCTTGCCCAAATTTACCCATTTTTCACAAATAATCGCGAAAAACATTTTATCAGTACTCTCTACTTCACCTTTTCTAAAATATATACTGGAATGTGTGAAATATGTAGCTATTTCCTAGTTAACACTCATGTAACAGTTTGGATTTTATGTTTATTTATCGATCTTGCAGTTATATTTTTTTTTCATTTTGTCAGAAGTACATTTTTTCTCTATATGATTTCATCATTGACATCCATATTCAAGGGAGAGAAACTTAGAAGAGGAAAGAACTTAATGCGTATAGGAAGAGAAACAGCAATTTTGGAGGGGGTGGAAAAAGAAAGGAACTCTCTTAGACCATCGCAAAATTCCGTTTGCCAAGCTTTTGGCGCTGCACAAAACATCCACAAAATTTCTAAATAGTGTGTTCAAGGCACATTTAGTCAACAAGAATTCCTACTTCAATGCAAATACTAGTCCTTCTCTCGAAAAATCCCCAACATCCTCCGTAGGATAAATTTATAATTGTAACAAACACAAGAATCCATAGGCCGACAGTTGATGAAACTCTTTGCCATCTACCGCTATAGTTTCAATGCTCCTTCCTCTCAACTACGCTTTTTTTTTACCTCTACTCTCAGGAAAGCGAGTGCGAACCCTGTAATTTCTCCACACTCCTTCCAATTTATTATTCAATTAACAATTTATTGGCTCAGAGGGAATTGAATTTCAAAGGAAAAGCTGTCTTCGAGTTTGCGAGTAATTAAAATCAAATTGTATGGAAGCAACATGTAATACTGATGGTGAAAATAAAGGGGCTCATGTAAATATTGTCGAAATGTATAATGAAATTTGTGCTTAGAGCTCACTTCAGTATAGTAAAATAGACACTGTATTACTTTAGCGGGCTTCAGCATTGAGACACGCCCACTTCTATGCTCCGCCCAGTCGTTTGCTCACAAAATGTCCCGCCAAAGTAAAACGGTTCCAATGTTTATGTTGCAATAAAGAAAAAAACAAATCAGTGCAACAAATTATATCCTTCATTTCTCTAAATATCGCAGAAATCGCTATTATGAACACTAAAGTCTAAAACTTATTATTTACACATTATGGAATCTTTTTTCACATAATCTTTCCAATCATTGTAACTCTAAATTACATTATATCCTCACAATTTGCTTGTCTGGCGATCAATTCGAAAAAGGATTGCAATACAATACGGATTATTTTCTTTTACCTAAATGTGTGTGTGTGTGTGTGTGTGTTTTTTCACTATATTCCTTCCATTAATTATATTGTAAAACATCTAAGGTGGTTTTCCGTCCAAAACTTGATGAAATGATTCTCTCTTGTTTTGCTTCATGCGCTAAATTTTGCATCAAAATGTACTTCCTTGAGGCTGGAGATTTTCACACCTCAGCGACTGGACTTTTTCTCTTGTTAATTTATCGACCGTGGGTCTTTTCTCAAGATTTTCATATATTTACAAATTGCTAAGACTTCCCACTCTTCAGTGGAAATTACCACAATTATAATATCTTTGTCCTCTAAGTATATTTTAGACACCGTTTTTATGGTAATTCCTCCTTTTTTCCCTTTCCCTCTCTCTCTCTCCCTCTCTTTCTCTCGTCTATTTAGTATAGTTACTGATTGTCGATAGAATTTAATTAAGTTCATCTACTTTTCCTTTATATCATATTTTCTACCATTGTTTGTGTGACTGATTATTTTCTGATTCCTGAAGATTACATGAAATATTGCAACGAGGAAACGGTAAAATCTGGGTTTTGTCGATGAAAAACAAGTCCTTATATATATTTGTGTACGATTGATTTTATCTTTTGGCTTTGGAGAAGACAGAGGAAGTTTGTTATGGCACATTTACTGTGTTTTCTTTTGTACCACACAATCAGTTTAACTGTTGAAAAATGTTTCTCTGAAAACGCGTCTTTACAGCAATTCCTTTCGTAGAAGTCATATTGAAATATATATGCATAGTTCCACTACAATATATCATCACACTATTTCTAAAGAGGTTCTTTTTACATTCAATTCAAAAAGTGCTTTGCTTTTTCATCATTTTCAATTTCCATTATCAATTACTTACTTAACTATTTTCTAAGTAATGGTATTTTGCCTGTCCTAAACATGCTTCTCTCTTTCTCTCTCTCTCTCTCTCTCTCTCTCTCTCTCTCTCGCTTGTAGCGCTATAAAGTAGGTCTCTAAATTGTTGCAGAGGTGGAGTTTCTTATTCCTTCCCAAATTGGTTTATTGGCACAAAGAATGATTCAGAAAAGGTGTAGCTTTCAACAGAGTTACAAAAATTCTCTCTAAAATGGACGATAAATAAAGTAAAAATTCGTGAGATCAATAAAAAATAGATTATATATCTCATTATTAACATTAATATCAATTTCGTTCTTAAAGTGAGTATAGGACATTTCACTTTCTTTCGGGATTCATAAGCGGGATGGGTCGTAAAACACCGCGTCTTTTCATAGAAAAAAAAATCAAAAAAAATAAAACAGATTACAATCTGCTAAATTCCTCCCTCACAAAAATCCATACGACTAAAGTATTCTCCATTGAAGCCACTAATTTTATGACTATTTAGTTGCTCTTCTTCACTATTCTTATCTTTAGAAATATATTATCAGTTTATATACTCTGGTTATTATCTACAAAATGGGAAAAGTGTCTAACCACAGATATTATTAAGTTATATATTCTTTAATTAATTCTCAAGTTTCATCTTTCAGTTTCGCCACTAAATTTCATCTAAGAGTTGTGTGTTAGGCCATTAAATACTGTTTTTCATGTTTTTTTTTCTCTCCTTCACAAATTCGCGCTTGGATGCTCTGAAGATTCCTTCCTTAGAGAGATTCAATGTGCATTCCTGCACTGTTATTAACACTGGAAGATGTCTGACTGTTCTCCGCACCGGAAGCATTGAACAACACCAAAAATCCATCCGATGAGATGCAAGAACGAGATTCTGACTCCTTCTCCAGCAAAGCGCGCCCCTGAAATGTTTCGATTCAGGAGAGTTAGAATTGACATTTGCCCTCCCATCGCGCTTTCGCCTCATTACCTTCGCTCTGTGCTCAGCCAGAGCACTCCTCACGGCATCGTGCTGACGCTGAAGCTCATCGCGACGCTTCTCAAAGGCCTGGGTCAGGCGCACCCTCTCCGTGACGCCACGGCCCACCAGCGACGACGCCACCTCGCGCTTCATCCGCACCAACTCATCGCGGTCACGATGCACCAACGCCAGGGCTTTCACCTCATTCCGCCTGTCCATCTGCAGCTTCCGCATCACTTCGCTCGTCTCCTTCTCCAGCAGCGTCTGTAAGCGACGGCAAAAAGCGCCAATTAGATCAAGATTCTGACGATAGTCAGGCTGAAGAAAACGTTCCGTAATGTGATGATTTTAATTATAGGCAATGAAAGGCCGAGGAATGAAACCACCGCGCAATCATCACTACATTAGCACAGATATTATTAAAATATCGTGATTATTTTCAGTTTCCAACTCAGCATTGTCTACAACGTTCATTCGATTTTTCCAATAATTACTCACATATTTAAGCATTTACCTTTACTTTACCCATTTCCACATCAATGCATCATATTTGTCAAGTTACAACATTTATGTCTCAACATTTACTCAGGCGCTCTTCCGAAAGTTACCATCATTATAATATAGCAAATATCACCAGATAAACAAGACAAATTGTGAATGTGTAATAGAAGATTAGCATACAACATGAAAGTTTATAAGATTCCAGTACAGCAAACTTTTGTACATTGTATTTAACTTGAATGTCTCAGGCAAATAAACCACACTTGTAATTCTGATAGTTGAAATTATTTCAACTTCTTAGACTTCACACAGGCTCTTTATTAATTTCATATATGTGGCAAGTGAATTTCCCACTCCCATCAAAGGTATATTGTTCATATATTCTCGTCCTTCTGTGCCAGCAAACTCGCACAACATTGCAAGATGATTGCAAAAAGTAGACTCACATGTACATATAGATTTTGCAATTGAATGAGAAACTTGTGTAGGAGTTCTCGAGAAAACTTCAAAGCAATAATTCTTATACGTTCCAAATATACACGCCAAAATGATAAATTGATAAATGAATAAAACATTTGGGGCATACCATAAATTGGTGAGATAATTCCACTTACTCTCAGACGTTTCATTTGATTCGCTTGCGAATTCCTCAGAACTTTCTCTGCCGTGTTGTAGATTATCTCATGGTACTTCTCCTGAATCTCCCTGTAGGCAGTGGCATATTCTCGGCAGACGGCCAGCAATCTCTCAGAGTGGCTCCTTGTGATGCCCGCCCGCTCCTCACTCTCCCCATCCGGCGAGTCCACAATATCACTGGGACACGGAGGAACTTGCAGATTCGTATCACTTCTGGAAAGACAGTGCACAAAATGTAATCAACAAGTCTTCTTAGCCCAAAAATTGGCATGGAAACTCACATATTTTTGCTGCTCAGACGCTTCACAAGTTTATTGCTCATGTAGAACTTGGACTTTTTGTCACTCTGTTCGCTGTTCTTCTGCGCCGACACTCGCACTTTCTCCTTGTCGTGCTTCTTCCGCAAACTCTCCAGCTTCTTCTCCATCTCACATCTCTTCTCGCGTATCAACTTGTGCTCCAGGATCTTCACCAGTGGCTCAGCCACAATGGCATCCGCTTCAGTCGCCTCAGCGGACTTGCTGGAGCTCGACACCGACTGATCCACTGACGCCTGCTGAACAACAGTCGAGGACACCGTCGTGCTTGACGCTGCCGTTCCACTCGTCATCTGCACACTCCCGCTCGCCACGGAGGCATTGAAGGACACATCAGAATCCCCATCAGCCAGGATTTCCACACTCAGCGACGCCGACGGAGCGATACTGATGCGATGCTTGGGACTACCAGACACTCCTTCGAGCACCTTCAGCTCCTTCTTTGGACCTGTAAAGCCACCAAATACATCGTCATTGTGCACGGAACATTCAAAGGAGGGACAATCTTACAGCTATTTGGAACATCATCTTCAGCTGTGGGCTCCATATCTTCCGTCAGAACTGCCAACTGTTCAGCGCGTTTCTCCAATTCACTCTGATACTTAATTGGATTAGCGAGAGCCTCAGCAAAGTCCGATAATCCATCTGGTACATAATCCTGCGGAGGGCAAAGAATAGAGGAATAAATAGGGATGGCATTGAGGATTATCAGTATGGGCAATATTCGGCTGAATCAACAAATTTATATCAACAACAAATTTATTCGACTCTAGAAGCATAATCAGAGCCAAATTGTACAATATTTTACCCTTAAGTTATAACTCAAAATGATACAGTATTGTGAAAAATAAAAAAAAGATAAAAAAACGGATTTTTTTCCGAAAAAATCCCAGGTCTTAATAACTTCTTCGCTATCGTCAATTCTCCATACTTTTCAATGTTTTTTTTTTAGTGTCTTTTCTTCAGGATTTCAAATATTTCGCTACTATCCAGTTATTCTGGTGTAATCTATTTGTTGAAGCTATTTAGACAAGAAAAATACCGAATTTCTAGTCAAAATAAATATGTTTTGGACTGTGTTGTGAAATTCGATTAGTTTCTACTCAATTTGGCCAGTATTTGACTAAAGCCATTTTTTCGGATAATTAGTTTTGTAGTGCGCGAGTGGTTAACTGTGGGGAAAACCCACTCGTGGGTCCATTATTTGTGGCCTTTTGTTGATCTCACACGGTGGCTGAGCAAATAACGTACCTTCACAACAATGCAGAGGAAAAGCGAGGCCAGGGTGAGTGGTTGACCCAATTCCGTCCGAAGAGAGAGATGTCGATATCCTGGACAGAGTCCAATGACAGGAAGAACACGATGACCAATAAACTTGCCGCCCTCTTCGTACGCCGTGATGCGAACGCACGCCAATTCAGGAAGAACGACCTAAAGAGTGTCCAAAAATAGATAGGCAAAAAGGCGAGAGATTTTATCACTCAAGTCAAAATCAAGGCAGGCAGAGAGGGGGAGAGAAAAAATTGATACAAGACCTTTTTGAAGACAAATGGCTCCTCATCGTAGACAGGATTAATTCCATTGTCTCGGACTATTTTTGTGCGAAACTTTTTCCTCACGGTGTCCGCCGGCAGGCCATACATATCCACCTCGACGTACGTTCCCACCTTCTTGTCGCTGAGGAACTGACCAGACAGCACCGTTATCGATACCGTGCCAGCAATGATACCATCCACCTACGAAATGCCAGAGAAAAAATCCAAATCAATTTCGGTATGACAAGAAAATAGAAAAATTCTTCGGTGGAATTCAGGACACCCAGTGGGATTCCCTCTCCGTTCGCCCAGTGGGATTATAGAATGAACAACTGTTGATTGGAAGCATCGAGCATCTGACATTGAACAAGAGAAGAGAGCGAAAGAATTTGTGTCAGAGGCCCAAAAAAAAAAGAAACTCAAGTGGAAATATTTTCCAAGTCGCTGCATTCACATTTTCAAGAGAGAGAGAGCTTTCCATCGGTTGGCACTAAAACTCGTGAGCATGGAAGCGTACATGCTGAAAATCCCCATTTAACTCACGCATTTTTCCCTCAACCACATTTCATGTACAACTTTATACCGTGAATCGCCACAATGTCAATCAAACATTTTCCTGCTTGACTTACTGTACTCTCGGCGAAGGGATCGAGACGCCTGTCTGTTCTGCGCATAAACTCAGGCTTCAACAGGTATCCGCAGCGGTGGTTGTACTCAAAGATGCCCAGATTGAGCTGCATTGCGAGATCGAGGGTCTGGTAGTTGAGCGCCACCAGCTGGCAGCCGGCGTTCCAGAACAGTTGTGGCATGAAGTTGGAGCTGTCGAAGCGCGTCCCCGCCGGATAAACCCTGGACAATTGGTGCTTGTTGTAGTTGACAAACTCTATCGGGCGCTCCTTCAGCAAAGTCGTCGCCTGCTTCTCATCGAACGACGACATCTCATAGTAGCGATTCTTCTCTGTGGTCGTTTCAATCCCGCGAGGCATTTGGCAAAGGAAGAGAAGGGAAGAAGGAGGAAAATTAATTACATCTACTCACTTTATATATTGTTTTAGTACTTGGGAAACTTTACTACTGCTTAAAGTTGACGAAAACTCAGTGAGAGAACTTAAGGAAGCTTGCCAATTGAGATAAAAACAGTCGTAATATTTTTTTTCTTCTTCCTTACTTAGGGATAAAAATTCAATTCATTTTCTACAACAGTTGATATAGCCTAAGAAATGCACAAGGCGCATAAGAAAAGAAGCGTATAATTACTTTCTGAATTCTCGAAACTGCTGAAGTGCACCGGTTGAACATAATTAACGAGCGCCGATATCTCAGCGCCAGCTTCAGTCTCTTTAGCTTGTTGTACTTTGTCTCTCTGCTCTGCACCGCCGGCGGCATTCGCCGTTGATCCTGGCATGGATTCGTCATCACTGGAGCTGTCCGTGTCCGACGATCCTGTGCTCTCCTTCGAGCTCTGGCGTATTTGCTAATAGCACGAACCATTTAAATAAGAGACAAAGAAAGTGAATAATTGGCATATGAATCTGCATTTTCCTACATTTTCTCTTTATTGCAACGTCTTTCTCTCTCTCTCTCTCCCTCTTTTACAGCCAACCTCTCAGTGCAAATTCTCCACACAGACACAAGTCCTCAAACCATATTGAAATATGGGGAGAAAAATTAATTTTCCACCCTACACAATGACACAACACTCACGCAAAAAGGCAGGAAAAACGCTGGCACAAGCAGTGAAACAAGACGTAATCTCAGCATATCTAAATGGATGTATTCCAACGTGGATTTTTCATCTGCTCGATGCGCTCCTTCTCACCCTTCCGGAATGGCTTCAAGTGTGCAGAGTTGACAATGTCCTCAAATTCCTCATAAGTCGCTGCCGTATTCACAGCACGGAGTTTGGCATCATTCCTCAAATCCCGCATTTTGCCCAAATTTATATTGCTCAGACACATCTCGTACACCTGAAGAATCTCCTCCTTGGTTATTGCTTCCACATGAGACATTTTTCACGTCTCTCCTCTTTTTTTTCTCCTCGCCTACCACAAAAAAGCACCACACAACCCTCAATATATTAAATTTTCCACAAAATCCTCTCTCCCTCTCTCTCTCTCTTTCCACTTCAGTTTAATCGATAGTGCGCTCTCGCCATTTTCGTTGCTAAGTGAAATTTTCACAACAATACACACACTGAGGATATAACCATGTGAAAAATCCTCGCCACAGAGTTAAAATTTGGGCGGCAGATTCTCAAGATGGTGTGTGGCGTTGGTAAGTAAACACTGGCCCTCGCCGTGAAAGCCGAATAATCATTGAAGATTGATTTGCCATCAAATTCCTCGAAGTGCAATCAATACGCGATGGTGTTTTGGAGGCGAATTGTTGAATGCTCTCCGCAAGAAAGGTCAAGAGGAAGTTTCCACGCTGCCACAGCCAAATACAACATGCACACTGTCCAGTGGCCAAAAAGCAACTGAACCATAAAATTGCAGTGTAGTTACAATGTGTCTAAAGCGCATACACCATCTGTAAATCCTCCAAAATCCCACCCAGTACGCAAAACTTGCCCCACAAACGCCTGCCAACTCTCAATCGTGCCGTCGCGAAAGAGCTGCTCAGCCACACTCAGCTAATCATAAATTCCCAACCATAGTGAGTGTCATGTAATGCCAGTTAACTTATTATCTATTTGCATGTGAGAGATCCGACGTGCAGAGTGAGATTCTGAGATATGACAGCAACTCACCTGAAGAGGGGGTGCATGATGGGGTAAATCTCCATTTCCGGTGGGTACAGTTGAAGTTGTCGGCACCGCCTGAAGCATCTCATCACTCCCGATGCCGCCTGAAAGTGGAGCGAGTGAGCGAAGAAAATACAATTAAAATTTCATCAGGAAAATACTCTGCATTCGATTTAATATTTCACCATATCACATATGTATGTTTGTATTACTAATTTATATGCCTTTTATCACGCTTTCCATTTCATCCCTGAAATAATAATTCATGAATCACATTTTCCGCTAAAGACAACCCTTGGAGAGCTTGCTGTACACGCCCAAGGATCGTGGCTGTAGCGCAAATTTCGCTATATTTTCAGCGGGGGATATGAAAAATTCTCGGAAAAGATGTATTTTATCGTCAAAAATATGACGAGAGCTTGAATTTCATTTGATTTTTTGTTCAACTTTCGCTATTTCTGTTCTGAACATGTCCAAAGTTCATCCGACCGCACCTAGTGGACCAGACAAACTGAAGTGGAATTGTATGTTGGCTCATTTTAAGCCCTCTGAGCTCAGTATTAATTTGAAACTTCCAACATTAGTTGACCATTTTGGTTTAGTTTTATCACAAATTGACTTGCTATTTGCCTATTCAAAATGTCAAAATTGTAATATGAAAATCCCTCACGAGTCCTTTTACGACACATTTGATTATTATACTTAACGACATGTTTCCCGAGTGGACAATTTTAATCCTCTTGCGGCATTTGCCCGCCAAGTTATGGCTAATTTCAGAGCCATTCATTAAAAAGCCATTGTGAAGCTCTCTCTGCCGCTGGCAGCCTCCAAACATGGGCATCTCATGAGCGAATAAACAAAATTAAATCATGCACTGAGCGGTCTCCATTAGTCCTCCTCCCTTTCCCGTCGTCCTGGCCCAGGTCTCTCTTTTGGCCACTCGCACCAAACTCAGCGCCAAGTGATATAAATTATGAATTTATGTGGTAGAATACTAGTTCACCTCCATCCCAATGGGAATATTTGCTCTTCTCACCTGTTGCACCGCTCTGTGGGCCGCTGTTCTGGTTCGTGGCACCGGAATTCGCTGCAGCTCCCGCCGCAGCAGCCGCCACAGCCGCCGCCGTCTTCTTGTAGTGATGGTGATGGTGGTGGTGCTTCTTCTTGTTCTTTATGATTATCTTACGCCGCAGCATGGCCGGCGGCGGGAGTTCTACATTTGGCTCCAGCGGATGAGAATCCAGACACTTGTCCAGCAACATATCACCAAAGATGTCCCGACAGTAATTCGCTATTTTGGCCTGGAAAACCACACAATGTTCATATTGTCTTTCAGTCAAGCAGAGTAAGAGAGGAGTTACTCACTTGTTGCTTAGTATTGCAATGATTTTCGAAACTTAATATCACAGGATAGTCTGAAGTTTTAAATGCACTCTCAGCTATTGCTTCCAGCACATCCTTCGCCGTTATTTCAGGAACAAACGTATACCCATGAACAATAACAGGCTCCTCGAGTTTGCCATTCCAGAAGTCCAACTCCACACACCTTCAACGACAAAGATAAACACCCCGGCGGCCACGTTTTGCCATTAAACCTTAATTAGATATTACATTGAAATTGTCTCTACACTCCATATTAATTTTCTCTATAGCGAAATTAACCAAACACACTCCAGAGGATTACTTTATAGTCTCGCCACACCCGCTCTTCGCGAGATGAAAAAGCAGTAAAACTGCGCAAGGGAGATTTGAAAATGAAAACACAAAGAAATGGTGGTTGCCAAGAGGCATTTCACTGCCCATTTCAGTGGATTATATGCACTCATTACTTCAAGCTTTTCCTCACCTGCAGCCAGCCAGCAAGCACTGTCGATAAATCTCAACGGAACTCTTCCCAGTCAACTGATGACCGGTGAGATAGGTGTTGTGGGAGGAATTGATAAAATAATGCGACATTGGTTGATCCATATCATCGCAAATGTCCAATTTAGTGGGTGCCATTATTGGATTATCCTCAGACATTAAATACCTGTAGAATTCAAGCATTAGAGTAAAATCCGATTAGCATGAATCACATTTTAAAGCTTCTCACCTCAGGAATCCATCGAAACTCAGAAGGCCCTTCTGGGCGTTGAATTTATTTGGCTCATATTCGGCTATTAAGTCTTTAGCTCTCGCGGGATTTGCATACGGATGGAGAATCTCATTGAGGCGTGGATCACGCTGAGTTTTATTGAGAAAGTCAACCAACTGTGTAGTGGACATCAGTCGCCTCTTCGTCGTGCCAGAACTGCTGCTTGGTGTGAAAGGAGAAATGAAATAATGACGGTTTCGCATTAGGATCATTTTAAGGGAGAATTTTGCATTTTGATGCCTTCCCCGCATCGAAACGCCTTCTGCTCTAGGAGATTTGCATATCATTATTCGCAGAAGCTTCGAATTTGTGGAGAATTAATGATAAGGAGGTAATATACTTGATGGGATGCTTTATACTGAATAAATTGTACACAAAAACAACCCTCTGCATTCGTCCTGTGCATCAACATTCCTACTCGTCACAAGCTATTTTCATTTATAAATCAGAATGCAAAACATGGTGTGTGTAAGAAATGCAATTTATTTGAGGATAAAGACATGCAAATGCAAAAATCTCTTATGCAGTGAAAGTTAGAGTAAATAACATTGTTTTCAACTTACAGCTCTTCGAAAATCTTCTCCAATTCTGAGCGCTGCGTCAGATTTTTGTAGAGATTGAAAAAGTCTTCAAATTGAAATTTATTGGGCAGAAGAGATTCACCCTTGCCAGAAGGGAATCCAGATATATCCATGGCTTTCTCCACACGCCGCCTGTCATCTTTATTCACAGCGAACATCTTCACGATGCTGCAATATTTAAAAAGACGAGCATTTCAGTTTCATGTTCAATATTCTGAATTAATAAATAGGGTGCGCGTATCCTTTTCCCCAATCAATTCCCGCATGCGAAAAGGGGCGCAGAAAGATTATGTTTTCTGTAATACTATGTTTCTCTTTTTCTTGATTGCCTCCCCAATTTCCCACCATGGATCGCTGTCTGAGCAAAGTGCTTCTTTGACCGAAGAGCTCAACTCTTCTTGTGTGAAAATCTCAAGTCACGGGCTCACTTTTTACCCTGGATGAATAACAAATGAGCAGCTTCTGGTCAAATTCTCGTGAAATTCATTTTGAGAGCACAAACCCATCCTTGAGTAATGTCAATTTTCCAAGCTTGACATGGTAAAATCATGTTAGACAGGGGCAAATGAAGCAATTCATTGCTTCTTCAAATACACTGCACGAGTCCTGGGGAACATCCTGAGAGAGTTTACTCAATCAAAAATTCATTGAAGACTGAAATTATTGATGAAAGACCAAGACTTGATGTTTTCCCACCGCTTGTATTCTCTCTCTCTTCGAGTGTAATTGGAACAAATGGGATCAACTCTAAAGATAAGCAGTTCAGCCTACAAGTTTTTTTGCAGATAAAAAATGATGCTGTCTCGAGTGGTGTTGATTAAAATGCTTCACGCCAGGTGGATCACAGTGGGTGGTGACAGTTGAATTTTCAAACACTCCCCAAGTCAATTTTCCCTTCTTTTCCACACCCACACAAAGTCATATCTTCATCGATTCTGCCACTTCTTGTTGGTGTAGCAGCAAAATTTCAAAAACCACCCCTCCTCTTTTCATTCATATTCACGCAGATCACGTTCATTGGCGTGACACAAAAGTGATGACATTCAAAAATTGCGATTCTCTCACGACTATATATTTGATCCGCTCAGCGATTACTCAACAATCTCCCGTTTCGCCCTCTTTGCCGCTATTTATTTTCCTTCCATTGAATCCTCCCGCCCACTCACTTCCTATTTCCACTGATAACGGAAGCATCCCCAGTCGTTATCTCACCCTTTCTCGCGGATCACGCATAAAAAATCACCCGCTTCTCCCAGTGATAATTCAAACTCGCCAAATAAAGAGGAATTTCAAGGAAGACATTTGCGTGAAAACATTGCGCAACAAGCAGCATTTGCATGAGCGAATAAAGAAGGAAAAAAAGCACTTTCCAACTCTTCCAGGATCTTATCCTAATGAGACATCATAAAACACCCACGATGAACATCAAATTCAATTGCGAGGAATAGTTGGTAATAACTCCTCATCCATACGGTGGAATTAAAGTGTGGTGCAATTTTTACGATTGCACAAACTCACATAAACTTACATCGAGGATTTATGTTCAAACATTTAATTGCTTTTTCAGAACTATTAAACTTTCCTGAAACTCTCACTACAAGTAGCGATATCACATCTTATTCTTCTTGCTCGGCTATTACAATACACAGGATAGTTTTCCCACATGATGGACATTTGGTATGCCTGAACAACCATATAAGCTGGGCAATGTTGCCTCGAAAATCCCATCTGTGGGACTTTTATTGTGATAAAGAAAGCATTTTCCAGATGAAGCTGAGAACTCACAAGTATGGCGAAGTGATGTGTCTAAAATGGGGTCAATTTCAGGACTTTTCAGCATCCTCAGGTGGTATACGCTGTGCTCTCTAGGGATTGTGGGAATTCACAAAACACAAAATTGAGTGATTCCCCAGTTGACAAACTTTCCAACATTTCTTCCAATATTTTCAGTGAAAATGAGTGGGAAAACTACATGTATGGCATTTTGAGAAGGTGAACATGGACAAGCATATAACACAGCATTAGGCGTGTCAAGTAAAATGTCAATATATGTTGAAGGCAATATGCTGAAATATCACAAGAATTGCCACACACTCGAGAATTTCTCCCAGGACTGTTGAATAAACAAAACACGCGACTTGTGCCAGACAAATTGTCAGGAAGTCCTCATCATGAATAAATATTCCTGTCACCTCCGCATGTGCAATGAACACTGTTCCCCTGGAGTGCTCGTGGCGCAGCCCAAAGATGGCACTTATGGATGATGTATTGGGTTTCCAGCTCCATCCATCAAACTGTTGCTGCAGCATTCTGCCACACCGTTCAATGATGGAGTTGGGAAGGAGCAAGGCAATTACATTCCTTATCCATACACGCGCAGCTTGAAATCTTCACGTGTGTCATTTGAAACCTTCCCTTGTAGAAATTTCAAATTAACAACAACGCCATTTCGTCGGGTGAATCGAAAACGTTAATATCGCTGGGAAATTTGCGAAATTTATCTCATACGGTTTCCTTACTGGAATTTTTGACTGAAATATGTCAAAGTTAATAAATAAACTGAAAATATTACTCAGTTCTCATTTTGAAGAATGAAAGAATATGCCAAATATTCTCAATTAAAAATTTATGAGCATAATAAGAAAATCTACATTTCAAATGTTTACAAAAGAAGCATTTTATGCGGATAACTGTCGTTTCAAAGACTAAAGAAATGGGAAAATCAACAGTTGCATCTGCATAGTTGATGGAAATCGCCCTGTTGAATGTGCAACCCAGCTTTAGTGTAACACCGCGTGCCTTTCATAATGAAAAATTCTCCACAACACATTGTGATCCACTTTTATCTATTCAGAGCACTGACAGGGATATCGCTCAAGGTACATAACGGTAGCGATATCGGAAAACACGGACAGGAGACAGAGAATGATGCACAATAGTGTGATTTATGGGGATTATTACCGAGCTGAGAGGAAAAATACCATCAATTGATCAATCCTTATAATTGAGAATGTTACAACTTCTCGTTCAGCACAATACCTTTCAGGATATCCATATCAAGAACTTTTCTATGGACATTCACCGAAAGCTCTCAAGCATTCTCTCCATTACAATGATGCATCTGTTGGAGAAAAGCTCCTCCCCGTCAATATTCTGCAGAAAATATTGATTTATATTCTCTCATATCCAACAAATTGGAAAAGGGGGAAATTAGAGGAAAAGAAATGATGAGGAGCAACAGTGTCTGCGGGGATAAATTGAAGTGGATGCTGTCGGAAGATTAACCGCCCAGTGGAAAGTGGTTTCGATGAATTATTCATCCTTCGACCAAACAATGGACTGAGGAGAATATTACGGAATTTGCGGTCGGAAGTGATAGTTTTCCATTCATTTCCACACAAGAGCTACACAACATTCGCAAGAATTTTTCTGCTCTACTCACTTTTTCACAGGAATCTTGCCAGTTTTGTCCACGAGGAGACAGAGTTTGGTGTGAGCTTTCTGCAAGTACATGACAGCCGATCCATTCAGTTGAGTCATATTGAAGGACAATCGCACCAATTCCTCTGACCAGTGCTGAAAATGGAAAATTTATCATCGTTTTTTTTCACCACTCTCACAATATATCACAGCTTTACTCTATCTATTGAGCAAATTGTAAATAACCCATTTTACGATGACAAACAATTTTCATACATTTCCAAAATGATGTAGGTTCAACGAGAAACTTTTTTTTTTCACTTCACCCCAGCGTCATTTTGGCTTTCCACCACCGCCTCCACCCGCCGCCCTGTCATTCTAAAAGCTCTTTGGGGCATTTTCAACTTTTCCCTGTGTGTGTGTGTGTGTGCTTTTCAGTGTGAAAGGCAAAGTTAAAAGCTTCAATCTGCCAGACTATTGGCCGATTTACTGGGAGACTCTCTGCGTGGCACCATTAAAGTGATATCCCACCTCCTCAATCTATCCGGATTTGTTGTTTCACACAAAATTCTCTCAAATATTTGACTTCTCCCCCAGAACGTTTGTAGCCACTTTGGAGAGTTGGTCCGCCACCCCCAGTGAATTACACACCCATCAGAATTGAAGCTCATTCATCTCTATCGATGTAAATTTCTTATACGCAGAATTATATCCACTCTGTGTAATATCGAGACACGCAAAAAGCTCCATGTCATCATGAAAATACTCTCCCAAGAGATTGTTTTTCCACCCCTCAAACCCCAAAAGCCAGACTGTTTTCCAGCACTTTTATTGACTAAAATACTCGGAGACAATATGTCTCGTGAAATTTTCCTCGGGAAAATCAACAAGTTGAACAATCGCATTGGAGCTGAGATTGCTGACAGTAAAAACGGCAAATGGTTTTAATTTTCATAAAAATTCCTCCCCATCGACAAACACGAAAACTTTCAAGTATGCACGCGGGAAAGGCCATCGTACATGACGTAATGTGTGACTCTCCCTTGTGCATTCCACATCCCAGATCATCTTACTTAATGTGTGCCATTTATGGCTGCAAAACGACTCCTTTGCTGACTGACGAGACGAATTGGCAATGAATAGTAAACAGTCCATTGTTACTTCTCTCCGCCTTTTATGGCCACCTCTTCGGAACACTCTCAGGAAAGTCTCTAAAATTTTAATTCTCTCTTCTATAGCTAGATTTGAGACTCTCTAATGCAATACAAACACATGTTACAGCTTTAAGACAGACCATAAATTGCAGTTTACAGAAGTAGTGGAGAGATTAATCACACACACACAAAAAATCCCATTAAATTCTATTTACTTTCGGAAGTAATTCCTGTGTAATCTTGTAATCCGACATTCGAACGCCTTCAGTAAATATCACTTTTAGATTGAATCGACCAGAGAGAGAGAGAGAGAGAGAGTAAACAAATCCGCACGTACATCACATTTCACCCTTTGGGTAAAATTGCACAAACCAATTACAACTTGATGGAAAACACTGTTCAAAAGTATCTTACGCTCAATTCTCCGTTGACTTTATAGACTTCCGTGTATCATATCACACATAACGCAATATCCACCCCCTTTTGTGCTTATCTTTTCGAAATGTTGCCAGCCCACACCCTCGTGGAGAAATTCGCTTCTTAATAAAGTAATTCCAGAGCTCCCACACAGCTGTCATACAATTGACCTACAACACCCTCCCACACTCGAGGCTTTCCGCCCCGAAGCTCACCCCCCAAAACGCCCACCGTCAACAAGACTAGTGAGGCGTAAAAGGTGAGAGAAGAAATCAATTTATGACTTAACCGTCCACATTTAATAAAAGGAATCACGCCATTAGCAAATCACGAAAAACATTTTCAATATAATCCCCAAAAGAATACATTTATTTTTTCAATTCTCTCTTCAACAGAAGTAATTTTGCCTTCATCGTCTGAATCTTGATGTGGTGCTCTTCCTCCTCTCTTTTCTCCTTCTTCAGCTGCATCGCCAGCAGTTGGCTCTCGCGTTTGTCCCGCTGAATCCTCAACTCCAGACTCTTCTTCTTCACGCCCAGCAACTCTTTCTGCAGTTCCAACTGTTTATCCTTCAATGAAACCAATTTATCCATCTGCAAGTCATGTTCTTCCACGATATCATCTCTCTTGCGCTTCTTGTTTTTTGGGATAATTTTTGGGGGACTCGGGAGAGTCATCATAGTTGAAGACACCGACAAATTGTCCTCTATATCGTCCAGTAAGTCATTATCATCGGGCAGCCACACTTCAGACACAGGTTGTGAGTGAAGAGAACTTTCTGCCATTGAGGTATCCGATCCAGAGTCGGCAATGTGCAGCGGAGAACATACCATCACTTGGTCTCCTTCATCGATGCAGCATAATTTCAGAAATCGCTGATCAACTTCGTCAAATTGCTGAAGTATGAGCGCGGGATCGACCTTGTCCAATTTCTTTGATTTCAGCATGTTGCTCGTCAAAGTCGTGTACTTTAGTTGCACTCTCTTCCGCCAGTCTAAAAAGTACCTCCGCCACTCCGTCCACTCCTTCTGAGATCCGCCGACAGCGTTCACTATATTCGTCATAGCCTTCCATTTCTTCTTCTTTTGATCGTTTTCGGTCGGACTTGATGTGTGATAGAGTGAAAATAAATGCATTTACATTATTTTATTTATAGTTAGAAAATACCAACAATTTTTACACTTTTCAATAATCCTAATTCAAATATCATTCTCAGCTTCTGCAGAAAAATTTCCGCTACAGTGAAAGAATAGTCTTTGACCGGTTCCTCTCTCGATTCCTCTCTATTTTGCACATCTGGCGACTAACTCTCCAGAGTTTCTCCCTACGTTCAAGCATTTCATCCACTTTATCTCTCTCGAGTTTTGTCTCTCACTGAGCATGAATACAACTCAGAGTGAAACGGGAATACAAGCGAAGAGAATATCGCCCAAAGTATACAAAATCACTGACAGCACAATTGCTTTTCAACACTGTTTCATGCAATAACTTTATCTAGGTACTCACCACTTGTTAATTATATCCATATTTTTCTCCAAATAGTTTATAAACTCGTTCTTTTGAGCGGCGCTTGCTCTCTTCTTGAGTTTACGCGACATTGTCCACCAACAAAAGTGACTTTCTCACCCAGCAAACGCTTGCGAGTTTGTCACTTCTCGGGCGTTTTCGGGGAGTGCGAAAAAGTTGACGTCAGCATTTTTAGTACACACGAGAAAAAAAACAAAATAACCTCTCAAATTGAGCAATAACGTAAAAGGAGAAACAACAACATGGTAAATTTCACGTATAATTCAATTTTTTCACAACATTTTTTTACGGCATTTCTCATCAATGGAGAAAAACAGCAAACTGATAAAACAGATGAAAAAGAAGTTTCATTGTAAAAATAACGATATTTCCACCGATTTAAGAATGTCTGAAATAAATATTTTATTGCTTTTGGTGTCTCTGATATTTTCCCAATTGACTGTACTTTTTGGAGGAAATGAGTTTGATTCATGTTGGGCGGAAGTTTATAGGCCGTTAAAAAGTGATTGGCAAAAGGACATAAATTTAAAGAAACAGAAGCACCTTCACATTTATGATAGTGCTTCTTCTGCTCCTTAAATCAATATGCCATAAAAGGAAGATATCACAGCAACTTCCTTTAAAGATTCCTGTCAATATTCCAAGCAAAAATATTTGTGCTGTTGCATATATCGACCAATAAATGAAATTGGTGTCTTTTGACATTGCGTAATGGCAAAATATGCTGAGGAAGAGAGAAAGACGGTAAGAGGATACGTTTACTCTATTCCAAATGTTATACACCATTTAAGATCTCATGGAAATAAGAAAAATAACACAATCGTCCTTCGTAGAAAACAGACATGAAAACCACGTATTATTCCCGTTGAAGAAAAATCTCATATTTTCCCCACATTCGTCCAACAATACCCAGATATGTACATTTCTCTTCTCTGTTTCCTCCCCCAAAACACATACATAAAGTAATAATATATTGTATATTATTTCCCACCTAACATCAAAACATCTAATTCATAATCCACCATGTCTTAATCCCTCACTTTATGTTGTATTTCGGTATTTATTTGTATTATATTCAGCGATACGTGTGCAATATTCTCACGTAAAACTTGTACAATTGCCTCCTTATGTAAGCAATTTCCCCCTAAAAGCTCCCCATTCTCACTTCCTTCTCCAAGCACACTTCTCCCGCCTTTTGTTTGGCCAAGTGCGTATATATGCGTATTCATTAATCATGTATTTATGAATAGGAATTTAATTATAGAACGGGACAATAAACGCTCACCTGACTGTGCAAATATGAAGATTTAAATAGCCTAAAATAAGATTCAATTGATAACCACTCAAAATCCAATTCATCCGCCTTCTCGGCACGTAAAAGAATCTTTGCAATGTGTTATTTTTGGAATACAATTCAATAACAAACCATATTTAAATATATCATGAAATATCTATTGTATAAGTGAAAATTTTATTTTTAGGCACAATATTCTGAAACCGTTATTTTAAAAAATTTCCACTAATTCAAATTGCTCAATGTGTGCAGTTTATTCACACAAAACATAGTAATTGATTGAGAGTGCATTAATGTACAAAAGACCCGATTTTCACGCGCGTAACTCAACAACAATATTGAATCTACATAGATTGTTTTACCCACAAATTGTCACTAATTCAGCACATATTAGTGTGTCCACTTTGATGTATAATTAAGTTTAATAATTAACCCACTTTTGTCAATCCATTCCAATATATAGCGACTGCGATGCCACCGCATCAGTTCGCGCCCTTTCATCACATTTCCATCAGCAACACTCCTTCACATATATCACTTATTTTCAGCCCTATCCAATATAGAAAATTACACGCTAATCCTTTCCACACTCTCCTCGCATTCTATAAATATCCATCTGAGGAGATATTGTGCGAAAAATCAATCGCACATTGATAATTTTATCTCTCATAACTCATCGTGAATAAATACAGCAGAAAGGTGGAACTTGTTGAGAGATGTTCTAAGAGAAATCCTCCTGACTAAATCCTCCTTCCTGCTTTATG